CTCTTTCTCGTTCTCCTTGTCTACCTTTACAAGTAGAGGCAACTAGCTTAAATAAATAAACCATAGGCTACCGCTCATTCGGAAAGCTACAGCAAGCAAACGAGCAAGTAACTTGCGTGATGCTCTTTTAAATAATTGTTGTAACTTTACATTTTTAAGATGTGAGAATATAAACTACCACAAATTCATTAGAAACAAAGTATTAAATACTTACTAAAATTATAAATGCGAAAGTAACTCTGTTAGTCTGTCTGTCTCGCTTTCACGCCTAAACCACTGAACCGATTTAAATTAAATTTGGTACATAGATAGTCTAGACCCTGACAAAGGACATAGACTACTTTTTAATGTGAAAAAGGGTTGCAAGAGGTTGAAAGGGAATATGAATGATTCTATGGAAGTATCGTCATTTTACGCGGATGAACTCGCGAGCGCAGCTAGTACTCAATAAGACGCAGTGATTAGAGCAGACCAGCAGCACTCGTTCACGAATATAACGGATGAGCCAGCCATCACTGCGCTCGACCATATTTTATTGCTTTCTGTGACTGTTACAAAAATATAAAAGGTCGGCAAAATGGACATGTCTATATGCGACACTTTTTACTTACCATCAGTTGGGACGTCAGGTTGTTTAGTTTTTTTCTTTATTTAATTAGGATCATAGCATTTTTTCTATTACCACATATACCTTTCTGAGACTTCAGTACGGAAATATGAAGGTTTCTTAAGGGTCGGCAACCTACATTATTAACCTACAAGTGAGATTTATCTATAGGCTATGGTAATCGTTTACCATCAGATGATTGACATTAATTAGATTTTGACAAAATTGCAATAGCATATGCGAATGGTCACTCTATTCTCCCAAATTTGAATTTAAAAATGAATCTGTATTATTGTAAACATATACAACCTCATTTGAAAAGAATACTAGCCGAGTTCCTTGTCAGTTCTTCTCATCTCGAAATCATTCCGAACTGCCGGTAGATTTGACATATCATAAGTCTGTAATAGACCTATATAGACCTATATAATAAAGATATCTTGTTTTTGATGGGCCGTATGCTTGATTGCCATCTCAGTAATATAAAAAATTGAATGGATTTGAATAAATAAAAAACATGTTATTTTTTATTATTTATTGTACATTGTTTCTGTAACACGATACAATATAAGCTTTCTATAACAGCATGCACTTATAATATACATATATATATCAATCTACAGAATACAATTTCTGAATACATGTATATATATTCAATTCATTGCAAATTCATACCATAAGCTTTTAACTTGCGACCACGAGGCATGATAAAATTTATAGTGTATTTATTTTAAAATCCACAAAAGTTTTAATAATAAAGAACCTTACGGCCTCTTATGTATGATATAAATTCATTTGACAAGAAATAACGATTATGCAGTTGATGCTTATATACGTGGCAAACATACGGCCCGCCTGATGTTAATTACCACTGCCTACGACTGCCGGTAGTTCTACAGATATTTGTTGGAATAATTTTAGTATATTTTTAGGAATTCAGACGTTTTTCAAAATATATGTATCATATATTTTAAAATACAGTATGAGGTTCATGATTAAATACTACATACGATACATACATTGATGCTATGATTACTTCTGAATACATATAATTAATAAATTTCGTATATATTTTTTTTATAATAAATATAAATTAATAATTTAATTATAATACACTATTTATCATATTTTTATCATGCCTCGATACGATTACCGCGTTAAACTCTAATTCCATAGTGATATAAATACATACAATTAAATCTATATATATATATATATATAAAAGGGAATTTTATATATCTAAGGAATGGTTACAATTGTTAGTTTGTGTCGGTCATTTTGTTGCATTTTTTCTAAACTGCAAATTATTCTAAAAACGCGGCAACATTATGACAATACTAACACAAGTTTTTCAGGGCATTAGAACATGCAAAGATATAAGACCATACAGCCTGATCTGTAATATGTTCTTAACAATTTATTTTTACTATGACATAATTCATAACAAAAAAATATTATAATAAAAAAAAATTGTAATATTATCTTCACGCTGCCATTAACATAGGTCGTATCCGTGGTCTCAACACTTGACATGACCACATTTCGGTCGGTAAATTTAAATATAACGTTATCCTATCCCATTATTACCATGTGGTAGCCAGGTAGCCCACTCGTGCAAAAACGAAATATATCTTTTGGAAAGTATAGATATACTTTCCAAAAGATATATTTCGTTTTTATTTTTTTATTTATCCTGAAAAGATAAAAATCATCCTTCAATTCTGGTCCCTGACGGGTCTAGGCAGCTAACCTTTATAAAGGACGAGCACAATAGATCTATGCAGGTCGCTGTGCTACAGGTCTAAAGGAATCTGGCAATATAACGAGGAAGGATATTGTTAGTAATGTGAACTAGTAACCCCATGTATTATGTCAGTTTGACCTCCACGTGGTGAACATCGTGATAATTTCATGGTGAATTTATCACGACGGACTAACTAGCCTGACCTCGTGATCATCTCATCATCCCCCACTGGTGCTCCGCCAGCATAGACCGTTAGAGCAGATGGGTCCATTATCATCCATAAAAAAATCTGGTATTCGTCCAAACACCCCAATAAAAAAACCCACTATCCTTGAGTCAGTCAAAAAGATCAACTGACACATAAATGTCTATATGGGCTGAACAAAATTTGAATTCGCGACCTTAGATCAAAATCAATGTACTAAACCACTAGATGACGCTAGTCTAATGAGTAAATTACTGTTTTTTAAAAACATACGCTGTAGGAATTCATTCATGTACTACGAATAATTTAATATATTACATCCAAATATTCAATATAATACTTTGAGACGAATCAGTGAGATAAACAATTAAATCACTGATCAATATAATTTACTTATACAATTTTAATAACGTGTGTATAATTATAAAAAAAAATGTCTTCACAATTCATTGACAATAAAATATTAGGGCATTTATTGGTCCAAGAAATAAAACGATTAGAAGAATATAATGATACCATAGGGTTCCATTTTTTCAGACTACTCTAATGCTGTTAGCCCCAGCTGGCCATTACAGCTTCACAGGACGATAGGGAGTGCAGATGGCACTCTTACTTTTTTACTCTAGACTTATGGCGCGGCTGAAGGCCAACTCCCGCCTGACGGATACGACTTTAGTCTGACGGCAGCGCTAGGGGTTCGAATCTCGGGCATCCCCCTTTGAATTCGACGAGAGATCGATCAAAGGGGATAATTTTTCAAACTAGTAATTTAACGAACTAAATACAGTCCTGTATAATTCTTTCATATTTTAAAATTTACCGTGTCATTGATTTTCTTTTTTTGTATTATTTTTTAAATAATTTATACTAACAAATTTCTAGGACCAATAAAAACCAAACCATTCGGCATATTGTACGAGATTACAAAACGAACTCTGACACGTTATACCAATTATTCAAATTCAATAGACCGATATATGTTTATCTTATTTGATAGTAAAATACAATGAGAGTATTTCTATATACCTTACCTTTAAATATTAACAGCAGATATATGAACTTACAATAGATACAATACATATGATTAAAGTAAGCAATAAGTAAAACCATATAATATATAAATAAACTAAAGTTCAAATAGTTCAAATTTGTAATAAAATATTATTATGCCTTAATTTTCACAATAAAAGAAAAAAAAATATTTTAAGTATTAAAAAAAAAATAGTTTTATTTCATCCAAAAGTTGAAAGGCAAAGGAACAAGACCATACAACATGAACTTCTGCAATATTATTTGAAGAAATTATGAATTTATGAAGTCTTGTAATCAAATTTTATTTCAGGTTTTAAATAGGTTTTATCATTAACGTCACTCCTATGACATTGTGTGCATATTGTGACAACATTACAATTGATCGTTTACACAATGTAGATACGATTTACCAACCGTTGCCATGACACCTACATCATAGACTAGGTACATTACGACTTCTTTTTTTTTTCCATTGACACAATGTGCACACAGGATAGTGACGTCACAAAGAGTTGCTATGACACCAGCATGCGTTAGAGACTAAACTAAAAATCGATTTATAAAATATAAAATTTTGCTAACGTAATTTTATAAAAAAAAAATATTTTGTCAATTATTAAGTGCAATATATAGAATATGTTTTGCAAATTATTATGTCTCTTCTATAGTATAATAAACAATTCAATTTTATCTTTATGCAGCATCAAACGGGATCCGTTTGATAAAATTAATATAACATCAGATGTTGAGATTCGATGTTGTATCAACAGAATTTCGACCATTATAAATCAATAACAGTTATATAAACCTCGCTATCATCTCTCAAAATTATAAAGCCACGTTTAATTCAAAAACCGTAGAAACGAAAGGTTTCTTAGATTTTTAATAGGAGAAAAGTGGATTAACCAAATTTATGTCTAATTTCATTTATAATTAGGGTTCACATTACAAAATTAAGTTTGATGTAGGTACAGTTAAACGGGTAGAGCTCACCTAATAAAACTTCTTTATCGTCTTTGAAAAACATTGAGTATAAATTAATCAATTTTTAAAATAATATAATCAAATAGATAAAATAATATAAATATTTATTTTTTTTAGAAAAAAAAAAATATTCATATCTATTGATTTTGCCTTAACAGAGAATCTGTTAATCTGTTGAATCTGTCTCATTATGAGACAATTAATGATATCTATTATATTAAAAAAAGTAAAATACTATTATGGCTGATCGATCGAATCGAATCTTATAGAAGTGATTCAGACTGACAATTCAAAGGACGCTATAATGCGGTTTTCAGGACACGTTTTATTTGGTGAAGCGCTAACTCACTTCTTTGTTACTGACGACATATTAATTTTTGTTTGAAAATTAAGGGTATATAAACGAGAGAGTACTTACTCTTTACGTATTAAAAATTATACTAAGACCAATAAAAATAATCTCTTTTGTCACAGCACAACAAAAGGGACAATAGAATAATAAATTGACGTAATTAAAAATAATAAAAAAATATATCTCATAATGCTGTATGACAATGGGTTATGAAATCCTATATACATTCATATATTATGTAACATGCCATATTCCCATGCGTGATTCCGTTCGATCGGCAAATTCCTGAAAAAAAAAGAGAACCTTAAAAATAGTATTTTTTGTTTTAATTTAAAAATTAATCTGTATTAGTGTATTAATTTGAAAAGAATACGAGCTGAATTTCATGTCAGTTCTTCTCATTTCGAAATCATTCCGAACTGACGGTAGACTTGACATATCATAAGAGTCTGTAATAGACCTACATGAATAAAGTTATTTTGAATTTGAATAATTGAGAACTGACCCGCGCAATTTCATCTGCATCATACTTAACATTTATCATTATATTTCGTATCTATATGTTTTTAAATTATAGCCTACTAACTACCCGCCCCTGTGTCATTTGGCTATACATGTATTATACATATAAACAGTCTCCTTGAATAACTAATATAATAAATTAACTATTGCTGAAAGCTGAAATAAAATCCGTTGCGTAGTTTAAAAAATCTGAGCGAAAAGACAGCGGAAGCGAATTCCTTTTACACTATGTAAATATATATATTATATATTCAATATTCCAGAAATAAAATAATATTTTATAATCTATGGAACTTTTTAAAAGACATTTCTCCATGCTTGTTGATAATAACTATGCTGAAGAATTATAGTTTTAAATAAAGTAATGTGATTATACCAAATGATCAACATTATAGTTATAAATATTACAGTGTGATTAAATAAAATCCATTTGGCCAAATTTCTGATAATTGCAATGGTATGGCGCCAGGTTGATTGAGGTCGTCGTCTTCGCCGGCGAGGACGGTGTCGTGTGTCTGTGTGTGAAAGCATGGTAGGGACGGAACGTGTAGACCCGTGGAAAGGTTAGCTACTGTTATGGGGTCGTCGGGATCAATAAGAAAGTGCCTCAGGCGGCATGGTGGCGTATGGATATGTCTCTTTAGTGCATAATTGTTTCAGCCAGTAAAAAGGTATACTTACATGAAACCATTTGTGTGTGGTGCTTAGCATCGTGTCTCGTACAGTCCTGAGCGGCCGATGTACCGCACCCATTTGATCACATCATGGTCCGAGTAGTTCAGCTTGGGTTCAAACACCTTCAGGTAACGGACCTAAACACACAGAATCACATTTAACAGTGCAACTGAAACCAAATCAAAATATCTGTATTCACATTCAGCGTTACTAGTTTTAGCTTTTAGTTGTATTGTATATAAGATAAATAGCATCTAAGAATACTGTAATGCTGAAGAAATGTTTATTATTATTATGTATTTTATATTAGTATTCATGTAGGTCTATTACAGACTCTTATAATATGTCAAATCTTTCAAATGTGTGTGTTGTTTTCATTTTTCTAAAATACAGAATCACTTTTCAATTCATGTTAGAGAGAAAAGAGTGATTTGCTTGTAAATAGAGAATAATAGAACCTTCTTTTGATTTATTACATACCAGCTACTCACCCGACTTCGCCCGGGTGTACATGTATTATATATATAAACCTTCCTCTAGAATCACTCTATCTATAAAAAAACCCGCTTCAAAATCCGTTGCGTAGTTTTAAAGATTAAGCATACATAGGGACATTTTATACTATGTAATTATGATGATAAATAAAATGGCATACATGCTGCTGATCGAAGATATATAACTACATACATGTTTACAGTTCGCTATATACATATAGCTATGTTTTTATATTTGTACTAACTGTCCCGGCAAACGATATAAATTGTTTTGCCATATAAATTAATCCATGAAAATTTGGTTAATTTAAAGATGTTTTTATATTTGTAATAAATAAATGTATTAGTTTATGTGACAGGAACAAATAAAGAGTTTTAACTTCATTTCATTTGAAGACTATCATAAAGCTATGCCTTTGTAACACCCGTTGCTTTGCACACATGGCTCTCTTTGACGGCCCTGGTGGTTTAGCGGTTAAGCACCGCTTTACTTCCGATGATCGAAGGTTCGATTCCTCACACAGTACAAACATTTCTATTCAGGAGTAAGCATGTTTGTATTGGTCTTGGTGTTTTCTATGTATATTATGTTTGTATTTAGAAAAAAATGTATATATCTATTTTTATTATCAGTTATCTAGAATGCATAACATAAGCTCTGCTTAGCGTGGGGACTAGATGGCGCTGTGTGAATGGCCTGGGTTATAATTATAATCCAGGTCCATAATTATAATTGTTAACAAGGGAAACAGCGTTATACAATCAACCCCTATTTTCTAATAGCGATGTTAATTTATATGGCAAAACAAACAATATAAGAAATTCAATTTAGTTTCTTGCCAGTTCTTCTCAATTGAATCTGTGTGCTGATCTGGACGTTAGGGAAAAAATATTAGTATATAAAACTCGACGTTCATAAGCGGCTAAAATGTAATAATGTAATGTGAATGAATGATTTTGAATTTTAATTTGAAATTGAATAGTCAAACCTTAAATCCGGAGGGTGCGAAGGGCACCTCGAATCCCATGGAGATGGGTGGCCGCGTCCACTTCTTCTTGGTGTCCGTTTCCAGCAACTCGATCTCGGCAGACAGCTGGGTCTCTTTCATTCCCGCCATGCGTTTGATTCTGAAAGCCGATTACCACGTGAAAGAGCATATGTGTACAGGCAGTATCACTCACTATTGAGCGTGTGTGAACATTTCTCCTCTCTCTCTCATCATAAATAAATGTATCGTGTAAAGGAAGCTGTTGAGTTGGAGGTAGGGAACTCTATTTGTCATTCATCTCCTTTCTATTCATTCACTCTCATTAATCATGGTCAACTTTGTATTCCTCTGTGGAGACAGACTGACTACAAGGTGTTACCACTCATAAAAATATATTTAAATATGTCTAGCATCGAGCACCTAGAGTCTATTCTCCGACATTTTTTCGAATAGATAGGCACCATTTGAAATGTCTAGTAATTATGAAATAAACTTTTTATTAGATAAGTGTTCATAAAAAATATATTACTGTATACGACACTAATTCTTGTATCGGTCTGGATATTATTGTAATATGTTGTCGGTTGAGACGATGTATATAACAGATGATAATAGACTGACCAAATGTACATAAAAATATTGATCTTATATACTAATTACCAATAGCAAAATATAAGGTGGGGTGACACAGTTTAGACATGGTGCTTAGTCGTTAATATTGAGTTTGTTTTACTAGCCATAATTAATTGCAATTATTATATTGATGTATCTAGGTAACTGTGTCCCATATACATATATTGATGGTAAAAAATATATACGTATTTTATCACTTGCAGCAGCAGATTTGCTTAAGACTAGATGGCGCTATTTAGTAACTAATTTACCGTACTTACTTCCAAACAATGGCGTTCTCTGAGGCTTTATACTTGGCTTTCCCCTTCAGGCATATCAACTGTACCCCGCTGGTGTTGAGCGGAGTGGGGATCTTCACCTCGATCTTCTGTCCGAGGAGTGAGGGCTTGAAGTTGCTCTTCAGCACCACCTTCACCTCCATCTTGGTGCGGCCGACCTCGCGGACCAGCGGGATCACGCGGAATGGTAGCGATATGTCTTTAGTTGTACGATATCTGTGGATTAAAATTATTTATTAATAGTAGTTTTGACGACCTCGGTTCTATACCGGTTTGGCACGCCGATTTACTTTCGACAGTCGCGGGTACGATTCCTTGGACAGTGCAAACATTTGTATTCATGAGTATGGATGTTTTCTATGTATATTATGTATATAAATAAATACAATTAAATACATCTAAGTCTAGTATCCATATCATCATTTGTCCGGTACCCAGAACACCTTAGCTTGAGATTAGATGACGCTGTGTGAATTGTCCTAAGATATTATTATTATTACTATTACAGTAAAATATAATAAATATACAGTTAATCATATTATTTTTATAAAAATATAAAACAGCCATATAGTACTGACCTCATCAGCTCAAACTCTCCGTCCGGAGGTATAAACGATATAGAGTGCTCGGTCTCGAACTTGCTGAGCTTCACGCACTGGTGGAACTGACAGTCGTCGATGACCACCACCGGCTTGCCCGACCGCGCCGGGTCGCTGTCAGTGTTGCCAGATATACCACCTGCAATATCCGCCATTTTTTATAGAGACATAGTATAAAACCTTTATTGCCAACATTCAGATTACCGAACATACACAAAACAAGAAAATAAAAACATAAATCAAATAAAAAAAAATATTTATTCATGTACGATATTTCAGACGCTAATGAATTTTAATTTTGTTGTAATAATAATTTTTCCATATCATCCAATTCAATATACAGATTGAATTGAGAAGAACTGACAAAAACTTTTTTAGAGCCAGTTTATTTAAATTAAGTTATTAGGAAAGTGTCTTTTAATTTTAACTGAAATTTTAATGTAGATTATTAATAATAAATGAAAATCTGCCATGCATATTTGTCATTTAAGTAATTGTTTAGTAAGTAATAGGCTTTGCTCGATAATTACGATTTAACAGATGTTTTGTATTTCTATTTCTATTTCTATTATTGTAAATTTTTATACTCATTCCCATAAAATACCCATTGACTTTCTCTAACCGATACTTAGGAACAGCAAGTTCTTAAAATCTAATATTATTATTATATTGTAGAGAACTAACCATTTCCTTTCCCTTTAGCTTCCATGACGATTTTATCATTGATGCCAAACTTGCACTCCGGCATACCAGAGAGATATGACTTCATCACCACCTTCCCGGCAACATGGGCCGATAGCACCTGACCTGTTGGAAATAAGGCTGTTGTTAAAGACTGACTTCTTAGCATTCCAGGGATTTACGGGATCAGTGTTTAGTAATTTGCACCAGCCTTTTAATTTGGTGACATTATTACCACCTGAAACAGAACAGCTTACATTCTTGTCAAGATTGCATCTTACAACAGTTAGAATCATTTTTCTGGGACTACTTAATGCTGTTGGCCTTTAGAGCTTCATCGGACGATAAGAGGCGAGTGTCGATGGCTTTCTAAACCCGCGGAAAGACTTATAAAGCGAATGAAGGCCAACTCCGGCCTGACATTATGACTTTAGTCTGAGGCGACTGCTAGGAGTTCGAGCCTCGGCTCAGGCCGTCGTAATATCGATCTCCGTTTACATTGGACGGAGATCGAACACTTATCATCCCACAAATAGAGCGAAGAACTTCTTAGCAATCCCTGGATTGGATGGCGTGCAGGTGCCGGGCCATCGTATGGCTGAGAGGTAAACTCGGAACAGTTCCCAGGACTTATGACCCAAGGTCGGGGTTTAAAGAGCTATACGACATACGGCAATCAAGCATGCACCAAATAACACTGTATTATCTATTTCTCTTACAAAGTACCTTGTTTTATATTTATAAGCTTTAATTCAGTATAAACTAAACTGATTTTACCTAAATGTCGTTTGGCTAAAGTTAGTAATTCGTTTTATGGCAATTGAGTAAGGTTTTACAATAAAATACCAGAGTCTGTTATAAATCTGCCAGAAAAAAGATTTAAATGTCATATAAACAGTTCCTTTGCAAAATAGAATATAAAATTGAAGAATTCGTTAACGATAATAATGTTTTTATAGAAAATCTTTAAATCCATAGCACTGACAATATTATCTGATTACACTAATAATGAGTGCGTAGCGATTTCTATGTTGATTATCGCATGCCTCTTACTTGTGATACTGTAATTATTATATAAAAAAACATCTATTCAAAAAAGCAACACACAAGTTTCTTGTGATGATTCTGCATTCCGAATAAGTGGTAGAATCAAAATATGAAATTAAAAAAATAATTCAAAAGTGCTTGTAATGAGTTTATTTGAATAAAGATTATTTCTATTTTCTATTTTTCTATAAAGGATGGGAAAAGGTGATGAAATTATAGGGTATGGAGAAATGAGATCTTAACCCTCAGAAATGGGCATAGGGGATTTTTAGTAATCTGGACTAAAAATCCCATTGCTAGCAATGTACAATGTCAGGTTAAACACCATGCGATTCCTTCAGGCAGCCATCGTGATAAATTCTTAGTAACTATGTCATGATAACGCTAACTGACCTGATCTCATGCTCATACTATCATCCTCCACTGGTGCCCCGCCAGCGTAAACCGTTAGCGCGAGCGAGTGCACCATTCCATTATCTTATTAAAATTATAAACGCCAGTTTGTGAGTATGGACGAATGTTTGTTACTCTTTCGTGCAAAAACTACTGAACGGATTTTGATGAGACTTTACAGTAATATAGCTTATACATCAGCATATAAGCTATAAAGATCATGCGTGTGAAACCGCAGGCACAGCCAGTGATCCCTAAAAAAACTCTATGTTATTAAAACACATCAAATGTCATTGGAATATCCATGGTGCTGTTCATGTATAGACTACAGGCTGCTAGAGTACCTTGTGGTGACATCAGCAGGTTGACATACTCCAGCACGTCCAGGAACAGTTCATTGCGTCTGTATTTAATACCTTCCCGACGCCATCCGATTTGACCTGTCACCTGTAAGTAAAATTAAATATATTATAAAATACATATAGTAGGATGAACTATCTTTTCACAGTGTCTTTGGAGTGATCAGCTTTGATCACGATATAGTTGTAGTGATCAAAACTGATCACAGATTCCTATTTTGACTTAAAAATGTAAAGTTGTACAACAATGTTTGAAAAGGCAACAATAAACTTTCTTGTTCATTTTTCTTGTGCTAAAACTGCATTTAAAATGTGGTAGATTAAAAAAAGTGATTATTCCAAATTACAATTTATTTGAATATAGATTATTTCTAACTTAAATGTAGAATAAGTTAGAGTTAAGTTAAGTTTTAGTTAAGTTAAAACTAAAACCGAAATATATAGGAACAAAAAAATACAAAAGTGACTGTTACAACAAACAAAAAGGCAAATTTTTAAGAATTTTTCGTTATAATTTATTTCCAATATATGCATATTACTTTTTTTTGTAATTATCTTGCTTTAACTCTTCCTCGCTATTAATGACATTAGAATAATAATAGTGCATTTTCATTTATCAATGCAACATGCTTCATTGACAGCATAAACTATTAGAACAGAAGGCAGCATCATTCAATCATCTAAAAAAATGAAATGGGCCAGTTACCTGTGAGGTAATCTGTGCCTGCTCTTCTTTGGACGCAGATTTGATGCCCTGCTGTGTTATAAATGTCTTCAGAACACCAGTATCAGAATTTTGGGGATAACCAAAATCCAGGATCTCTGAAAAAGAATAATGTTTAATTAGTAAATCAAATTGAAATTATTATATTTTATTGAAATTAATAATATTATATTTTTATTCTTTCTCCTAGAAGGACATTGTAAATTTCTGTTTAATCTGTCGAGTTTAATAAACATTATTTGTTTTGTTAACAGCATCTGAGTTAACTATGGCTAGTGGAAATGTGTATAAACCTTTATTTGCCATAAAATTATTCGCTTTGTTCACACTATAAATAAAGATTGTTAATTGGACTGTTTTTTTTTATATGTGTTTTTGGTAAACTGCGTTTGATGATTCTTATTCCACAATTATTCGATAATAAACTATGATAGGACAATCAGAAATAAGGATATCTTACCGTCCAAAAGTTCATAAATGAGGACAAAGTTATTCTTGATGTTCTCTTCAGATATTTTACCAAAATATGACTGCATCACATCAATGATCTTCAGCAGGAACTCAAAGACCATGGCTGCATTCACATTCTGCTTGGTGACTGCTGCCAGCCAAATGTTGGCACGCTATAAGTAACATATAAGTAAAAATATTAATACACACAGTAAATAAAAATGTTATATATGTATATATACCTAGACAATTCAAACAGAGCAATCAAGTCCCATGCTAAACAGAACTTGTGTTGGGTACTGGGGTAGACAAAAACATACATAAATACTTACATAATAAACAAGCAAACATACAAAACAATCAGACCAATACAAACAATTATATTCATGAATACAAATGTTTACATCATGCAAAGAATAGAACCTGCGGCCATCAGAAGTTAAGTGGTGTCTTAGATTGCTGTACCACAGAGGCCATCACAAAAAAAATATAAGAATACAATTACAGTATTCTTATTGTGGGTTCCTGCAGGACAAGCCCACAAGTTGTAGGAGTTCAATTGAAATTCTATATACACAATACTTTGTTATGACCGTAATTTTATAGAAACATATTATTTTCATAACAAAATGTTGTCCATGTCCAATAGTAGGATGATTATTGTTTATTATTAACTAGCTTTGCCAGCAGTTTCACCCCACATTAAATATGTATAAGCTACATATATTACTGTAAGGTAATGGATTTAACGAATCCATTCAGTAGCTTTTGCGTGAAAGAGTAACAAACATTCATTCATCCATTCATACTTACAAACTTTTGAGTTAATAATATTAGTCAGACAACATTAATATTACAAACAAATATAAATGTATACTATACACATAAATGCTAAAGTTTGTGAGTATGGGCAGATGGCTGAATGTTTGTCAATCTTTCATAAAAAAACTACTGAACAGATTTTGTTGAAACTTTACAGTGATATAGCTTAGACTTCAGAATAACACATAGGCTATAATTTAACTAGATATTATATAAATTGGGCAAAATATATTCATAAATGTAGTCATCGGTCGGTCGTTGCATAGTTTGTAATATTTTCAATATTTATAAAGATTTTATCTATCTATCTTACCTTAATATGAAAGAATGATGTGCGAGCGATATTAGTGACTGGCGACCTCACTTGCTGTCTTGCATGGATGACATTCACTCGGAATGCGTCCACTGCATTCCGGCCAATGTCATCTCTATACACTCTCGAGATCAGCACCTCGCCCTTATGATTGTAGACAAACAGGCCCCCGATCATTTTGATTTAGGCCTGAACAATCAAAATTTTAATTTATAAACATTTATAATTTTAATTAAATTCATTAATTAAATAAACATATTACTAATTCATTTTTAATAGCAATCACAAAATACTAATAAAAATTTGCGGTATATAACTACTCAGAGAATGGTAATCTAAGAATCTCCTTAGTGCAGATTTGCAATATATCTTACTGTGAGACATCAAATATTTTTTTTTATTTCACTACCATGTGTACACCACAAATATTTGGTGCGGAAATCTGACCACTGCTTCAGGAAACATTACAATAACACTAATAGTGATCAAATTGTGACTGTTATTGAATCTACACAGATATTCCAATACATATTCTACCTCTGACATCTGCCATGCCTCTGCCATCAACAGGCAATGAATATAGATCAGATATAGCTTTGAAACCTGACTCTTTTGAGACCAAATGCCAAATGCTTCCAACAGCAGTGATCATGTTGCTGAATTGGATATGGGAATCACACATACTAATAGCACAAAATAATATGAATCCATTAAGTAATAATTTATATGGCAAATTAATATTTGCTAGGTCAGATAGTAAAGATGTAAAATTAAATAAATGAGATCATATTACACACAGTAGAATTGTACTGGCAAGAGAAGGCAAACAAATGAAGCTACCTAGCAAATGGTGATAGGTTATAGACTCCTGTTATGAGAAGCAAGACTGTGAAGAAAATATGATGGTATTAAATTGTTATAATGTAATAATTTATTATTCTATGAATCTATATTATTGTAGTAGAGAGAAAGCTTAGACTAATGACTAAGAGATTCAGATGACTAAATCAATAATTTCACAAAATTTTATTTCTCACCACCCACTTTTAAATTAAAACAAAAAATACGCAACCGCCTTTTTTTATACCGACGATGGTCAAGGGCTTAAACACAATAAATTATTCTCATTCTACCAAGCATCTAGCAATAAAAATTAAATTGATTAGTAAGATAATATATTACACATTTGGTGTATATCTCTTAATATAAAAATTTAGATTTTACAAAACGCTTATTTAATATATAAGTAGCTAATTCTAATTCCGGAAGATCAATAATAATTACTATTTAGAAAGGGTATGCCGATTACAATTTTGTAAGGTCTAATAGAATGACATTAAAAAATTTACCTGAATTACGTTGAAGAAAACATTAGATATAAATAAGACTATAATCTTTTCATATTATCGAAGAATCAAATAATTTCATATTTCTCTAAGAATTTCTTCTTAAAATTAACAAGGATTCATTAACAGGAAACAACTGGAGCCGCCCCCAAAATGAAATTACGAGAATGAAACGTCAAAACGTCAATAGTTAGTGGTAAGCCCGTATTCACAGGAGCTGAATTCTAGTTTCGTGATTGTGTGATACATAAAAATGGCGCTCGTGTGACTGTGGACTAAAAACCATAGACAAATACCCTTTCTTTTACTTTTACTGTAAAGGATCAAAATTAATATCATTAATTGTAAAAATAAAACTATAACATCATTAGGAATTTAATGAAAAAGTCACATCTTAAAGCGAAAGGACACCATCATAATCATCACGGCCAATAAACACACAGTAGCGCTATAGTTTGTAGAACGAAAAGTACTTAATTTTCTGAAATAGTAATATAGATGGCGCAGTAGTGTATGTCAGTAGGACGAACTCAATCTTATTTATTATTAAACATAATATTTTTTTCAGATAATCCATAAGTACCTACAATCTTTAATTTTTCCTTGTACATTTACTGCATCGCTACGTTTTAACACATATTTTTCTTATCACGTCAGTGAATACGTTATAGTGTTATAGGCTATCCAATAATATAACAAGTTAAATGTGAATGATATATATATTTTAAATAGTTAATAGTTATATAATTCAATATAAGGGGAAGTGTAGATTATTTTACCCCCAAAATGTTGAGACATTTTATAATTTTTGTTGCCGTTGGTGACTTTTTTGCAATCGGTATGTACGTTATAAATCCAGGACCCCTTTATCCTCCGACAAAAGGAGAGGTGTGGCCTAAACCTCAATTTGAGAAAAAAGAATACACATATTTTACACATAATTCCTCATTTATTATTACGGTAAGGATTTTAGTTTTTGTTCAAATTATTGATTTCTTTATTAACTACTGATGCAATACGAAATATTTTAGCGATCAATATTTAATTATAAATCAATATATAGTAGTTGTTTTATTGATTTATTTAATTTGCACATATATATGTTCCATTTTGTACGTAATCCACTGCATGTATCAGCACTTGTTTGTTTATACTCTTATGTAGATAATATACTCTAGTAGTCTAGTATATATATGTATATAGGTTACGCTGTATTTTTATCAACACAAATGGATATTGATGATAGTTTGTCAATTGTTAACTTTTTTAACTTTCAATTGAATAAGTATATTGTTGTATTAAATTAGGTCTTCTTTTTGTTTTTTTTTAATACCTGATGGTGTAGTTATATATAAGTCTCGTAAACTAGCGTGTATGCATGGGATTTGTATAGTACATATGGTTGAGTTTAAGGATTTCTATTCTTATTGGTTTCTACCAAATACACGCGTTTTCCATTGCCTATACCGTAAGGGATCTAGCGTAAAGATTGATACTTAAGTACTTATGTAGTCATCATCATATCATATCAAGAAATCAAGAGATCATAGAAGTAAGTACCTACTTATGTAGGTACTTACTTCTATGATCTCTTCGTAAGTTAAAACCTTGTTTATAATAATAATAATTGTTATTATTAACCTACATTGCCTCACTGAGATAAAGATCCGTCATATATTTTACTAGATAAGGCCGCGGTTTCATCCGTGTGAAATTTATAGCGTTTTTCTGATGTATAAGCTAAATTACTGTGAAGTTTCATGAAAATCCGTCTAGTAGTTTTTGCGAGAAAGAGTAACAAACATCCAACTATACTCATAAAGTTTCGCGTTTATAATATTAATAAGATGCACAATAATAATAAATAAAAAAAACATGTTTTTATTGTCAGCCAACAAACTATACTTGTGAAATATTGGATAAAGCAATAGAGAGATATGCATTCACCGTTAGAACATTCCACGGTATAGCACGGCGATTTAAGAAAAATCGGCAACATATACATAAACAAATTCTAGAAACGTCTACAGTAAACAATGGTCATGATAATCATAAGTTGGAGAGATTGGAAATAGTTTTAACTTCACCATGCGAAGACTTGCCGCATTTGGATATGGATGAAAAATGTGAGTATAGTTTTTTAACTCTGTTATCCTCAAAGAGTGAGACGAACTTCTTGGTATTCCATGGACTTACTGTCAGAGGTGAGACTTACCGGGTCACCGGTCAAGTCCCGGGAATTGCTTGCTGCAACAGCAAGTTGATGTTTTTCTCTCAGCCACACAAGGGAGCTGGGCCTTTTTTGCTGCTAATGCTAATTCGGGTTAATCTCGTTGTTATTGGTGTTCTTCATCATCGGAGAGTTAATCAGAAATTTAATTGATACACAGCCCTTTTAGTGTCGCCGGATTGAATCTCACGACGTTATAATATTATAGATCTATATTGAGTTAATATTAAAGAGCTAAAGTTTGGGAGTTTGGGTGTATGTAGTATTCTCCGTTAGTACTGATCCGATTATGAAAATTCTTTTACTGTTAGATAGCTCATTTATCGAAGAAGGTTATATAACATTACGCTACGACTAATAGAAGCGGAACTGCAACGAATAAAATAGCAAATATCGGGAAAAGAGCAACACGAAGAGCGAGCAAGAAACTTGCTTCGTTCGTAATTTTCGAATGAGCGGTAGATTAAAAAAAATAACTACTTTTCAAGACTGATTTAATTATCTTTATTTAAATAAAACATTTTCTATTCTATTCTACAGACGAAGTTGCGTTACAAATACATATGTAAATATAGACCATTACTAATTATAACCGTAAAGTTATTATTATAATTAAAAAAATACATCCACGTCATTTTCATAATTTATTTCTACCGATATTTATTAATAATTAGCGTTCGTAATATGTGTACGATAAGAATTATTTTTATCTAATTTACGTACTTACCGTAACAAAGTGGCCACAATAACACCCGGCGATAACCCTTTTAACGCTCGATGGCCCTCAACGGTTTATTAGAGGATTTATTTGTTATATATATGTAATGCAAAGTACACTCCATTGTCTGAACACGCATTGCATGTCTATTTTATGTGTGGATATATCTTTAGGAAATCCTCGTATGAAGTTGTACATTAATTGACGGACTCGGTCCATCGGTTTAGCACACCGCCTTACTTCCGATGGTCACGATTTCGATTCCTCACACGGTGCAAACATTTGTATTCATGAATATGATTGTTTGTATCGGTCTGGGTGTTTTCTATATATAATATGTATGTATTTACGAAAAACATATATATCAATGTATTTGTATCTGTTATTTAGTACCCATAACGTAAGCTTTAGCTAGATTAACTTGGGTCTAGATAACGCTGTGTAAATTGTCAAAAAAAAAGTTTTAAAATGTTTTATTTACAGATGAACTGATCATAGACAGAATATCAATATTAAAAACGGATTCTATATGGGGTGCTCTAAGAGGACTGGAAACATGGTCGCAGCTCTTTTATCTAACCGATGATTACAATGTAACTTACAAATATTATTTTCATTATTAATATGTTTTTTTTATATGGTCAACCTAGGATGTAATGTAATGTGGTAACGGTGACCTATAGACACAAACAGAGGTAGCAGACATCGCATCTATAGTATAGAGGCATAGCCACCTTACTTTTCTATACTGGCAGGTTCGATTCCTCGAACAGTATAAACATTTGTAATCATGAGTACGATTGTTTGTATTGGTCTGAGTATTGCCTTTATATGTTGTGGTCATATTTAAAAAAATATATTAAAATAATTATATCGATTGTCTAGTAGTTCCAAGCTGAGCCAAGCTGTACAAGCTGTGTGAATTGTCCAGGAGAAAAATATACTTTGAGAATTTTCACTCTGTTTTAGTTTTTCTTATTCGATCATAAGAATCATCATAGTCATTATATAGTGAAGTAAGATGTCTTACCACACCATACCAAAACGAGCCATTTCTCACGTCTCTATCGTTTGCTATTCTGGTACACTCTTGGTGTCCTCATCATGTACCACTAATTTGACACTCGATCCATCAGATAGATAATCTTTTTTGATATTTAATTTTACTTCTACCACTCTCTGTCTACTCTCTTTTCTTTGGCATCTATACTAATTTTAGATCTACTACTCTTTTGCAGCAACTTCGAATTAATAAAACCCATATTATAGACTTCCCCCGGTACAATCATCGTGGTCTTCTGTTGGACACCTCGCGGCATTATATATCAGTTTCGAATATTCTGAAGACATTAAATGCTATGACAATGAATAAACTAAACGTTTTCCACTGGCATATAGTAGATGATCAAAGTTTTCCGTACCAAAGCAAGAAGTTTCCAGATTTGAGGTAATGTTTAATATCCACTTATTGGGCGATGGGGTTGGCAGCAATTGAGATTAAATCGGGGCAATTTTGCTGTTCTCTTTTATGGATGACTAGCTGTACACTCGACTTCGTCCGCGTGTATTTAACTTTATTTTTCTAAAATAAAGATAGCCTAAGTTATTCCTTATTACGTCAGTTACTGATGTAATAAGGAATAAATGCCAAAAAAAGTCCCGTCAAAATCAGTCCAGCTATTTCAAAGTTTAGCCAGAACAACAAGACCGACAGACAGACAGACAAAAATTGTAAAACATGTTATTTTGGTGTATGTACCGTATTTATATTCATATGCATGTAGTAAAAAACGGTTATTTCAATATTACAAACAGACACTCCAATTTTATTTATATGTATAGATAAAGGAATGATGCCGCCTCCTGCGCTAACGGTTGACAGTGGCGGAAGTGAGGTCCGTTAGCCAAAATATTACAAATTATCAAGATGTTTTCCAAGGCGACCACTTGGAGGTTTCAATATTTAAGGCATCAAGTAATTTGATTTTTTTAAATGACAAGTTCTCTTTTATTCGAATTACATGTAAACGTGATTTTTTATTTTAAACTAAATCATAATATCTTTGTTCATCTAAGTCTATTACATATGTTAAATCTACCGTCAGTTCTTAATTCTTTCTAGTTGAGAAGAACTGACAAGAAACTCAGCTCTTATTCTTTTCAAATAAGCTTGTACAACATGATTACCAAAATACAGATTCATTTTTAATTTCAATATGAAACAAGACATCCTTCCACGTAGTTTCTGTCCACAGTGCTTTTGGTGCGTACCATTCTTCTATGATCTACACACATGAAGATATCCAAAAGATCTTAAAATACGCTACAGAACGAGGGATACGAGTTCTACCAGAATTCGACGTACCAGGTAATTATTATAAATTATATGTAGATTGTAACAGTTTTCCCCAAAACGTAGAACCCACACCCAGGTCCAGCTTTCCCTCACTAGTTGGTGAATTCCCCCTACAAAGTCAAATTCTGTTTTAAATTTGAGGCAGTCATTATTTATATGTATAATTAATAAAATTCACGGAGTCTTACCATGTTTTATTTTTATTAAGTTGCCGATATACTGGAAGTGTTTCAACCGCCGTAGTCACAGTCACAGGTTCAGTTTACCCGTGATTTTTGTCCAAATCATATCATTTGTTTTATAACAGTGCGTGTAAGAAGAAAATTTAAGTTTAATTATACATAATTGTGATCATTTATTTGCTCGTAGGCCACACTCGCTCATGGGGTGTAGCATACCCTGACATCTTGACAAAATGTTACAACAAAAAGAAAGTTATAGGTTTAGGACCCATGAATCCCATCAACAATGCCACGTATGCATTGCTAGAATCTCTGTTCGGAGAGGTCCAGGAATGGTTCCCTGACAAATATTTGCATGTCGGCGGTGATGAAGTGGAGTTGAATTGCTGGTAAGATTTTGAATTTGACAAAATTTTGTCTTGCTAATTACTATTTTCACTGCCCTGCCAGTCTAGCGGTGACCCCCCGATGGACTTACAGTGATCGCTGGTTTGATTCCTAGCTCAGTGTTTCGATGTATATTATGTATTTATTTACATTAAAAAAAAATTAAGTATATTTTATCTGTTTTAAATAACTTTATAATTTATTTTATTTCACATATTGCGTACGATAGTGAATAATAAAAAATATGGAGTATTTAGTTTTGATATTAATAATAACTCAGAACGAACGTTTGGTTATAGGTCAGTGCTTACTGCTTAGATAAACTATTAACACTCGGTTAATGAACTTCGTTTAATTTTAGGCCTGGTAGTACCTATGTTTAAGTACTGTTTATAAATAAATAAATTTATTAACACGTTTGTACTTTTATGTTTTACAGGAATTCAAATCCTGAGCTTATGGATTATATGGTCAAACATAACCTGACTACAACTCAACTACATGGGCTCTTTATGCAAAACGTTATACCATTATTGCAGAACAAATCTATTCCCATCGTGTGGCAGGTAAGTTTGAATAAAAATATTTAATTTTACCTGACTCTGACGTCCTCGGTAATCTAACGGTTTAGCACGCCGTTTTACTTCCGATGGTTGCGGGTTTTATAGGAATAAAACCATTGTAGCATTTGTATTTATGAGTATGATTGTTTGTATCGGTCTGAGTGTTATATATATATATACTATGTATTTACGAAAACAAATATATCTAAGTATTTATGTCAGTTGTCTAGTATCCAACTCTGCTTAGCTTGGGATTAGATGGCTTCATGTAAATTGTCCAGGGTTGGGTTATTACGTCTTATATTTGTTTTTTTTTTGGGAATAAAGGTTACTCTATTTGCAGGAAGTATTTGATGAAGGTGTTCCGTTGTCGAGAAATACTATTATTCAAGTTTGGAAATCGCAATGGATTCCTACTATGATTCAGGTAAGTATATAACAATTTTAAACAATGATATTTTACATTGATGCTGTGTAAATCGATTATTATATTATAGTTTATTTTTCTGCATAATTCACAAATCACTAAACTATTCAAAATAAGCAGAGCTTACTCCTGAAATTTTGGCTTTAATATATGTTTTTTACAAACCTATTAATCCAAATACGTATTGTTTTTAAGTGTGATGCAGATTTAGTTATGCGGGCCAGCTTGTTCAAAATAAGTAGATTAACTTTTATAAGATTTTGTTTTTGATAGATTATTAATTCATATTTTATATAATCAGGTACTTCAACATGGATACCGACTCATATTTTCTGCTAGTTGGTACCTTGACCATTTAAAGACCGGCGGGGATTGGACGGACTTTTATACAGCGGACCCAAGATCTATGGTTTACAACGCCACGAATAACAGCTCCTTGCTGCATAACATCATAGGCGGAGAAGCGTGCATGTGGGGAGAGGTCGTTGATGATGTTAACGTCCTTAGCAGGTTGGAACTTTGACTATAGGAATATGTATTTTTTTTTGTTACCATAAAAAGAAAACATAAATTTCATACTTATGAATTTTTGCACTTTTAGAAAAATTTTGTTTACTATTTAATTCTTGTATACTTATTACTTAGGTATACTTTTATTGACCGTATGGTATATGTATTTCCATGTTCTTATACTGTCTAAAATATAGTAGTATTGTAATTTTGCCTTTCTGACTTCTCCCAATATTCAGACTTTTGGTCGCCCCAAAAGACAATAAGAAGGACGAGACGCCAGTCACTGCATTTGCTTTTGAATTTAAAAAATATATTGTCTTCTGTTAAAAAGATATTGTTAACGGTTTCTGAGCTATGGAATGGTCAATTGTATTTTTAGTTTACAAGCTCTTCGGAGAGTTTACATTTTGTATGACTCAGACCCGATAGGCCATTTGGACAGCTATAGTCCGTAGCATAATTTAATATCGTTTCTGAAATCTATAGTATGTGGTGCTTATGGTATATACTTACTTAAACTATAAAAAAAATTATGATTCAATATATTCAAATTGCCTTGCCTAAAGCTATCCTGTTAGTTAAATATATGTGTTGGACTCCATTTTCCGCAATCAATCTCTCATCTAGGCCGTTGTACATATAGTCAAATACATAAATATACTTACTTTACTTCATAAATTCTTTTAATTTGTATTTAGTTTCATTAGTATTGTTTTATTTTCTTTTTCTACAGAGTGTGGCCACGAGCTAGTGCGGTAGCGGAACGACTGTGGAGTAATATTCCTGTAGCTGGTTATAGAGCTAGAACGGATGCTTTAGACAGCGCTCGTCATCGTCTAGAGGAGCACACGTGTCGTATGAATCGGAGAGGAATAGCGGCACAGCCACCAAACGGGCCCAGTGTTTGTGTCACAAACAAACATTAACACTTTTTTTTATTTTAACTATATCAATAATATAGTATAGTGTTACAATAAATAATGCTGACAAAACGCGTTTGATTCATATTCCTTATAAAAATCTGAATATAAATAAATAACCCTGGATCATTGATACAGCGCCATCATCATCAGATACAGACGATGGTAAGAAAGACCTTTTTATGATGTGGATTAAATCCGTTTATTATTCTTATAACGACCTTTATGATCCCACGACTAAACATACGTATTTCATCCGAACAAATCTCTTTCGTTAAAATTTTAAGTCACTTGTACTATATAGAAATTTTGAACAAGTGTTTTTAAAGTTTTTATTTAAAATCTACAAACTAATAATAGCAAGACAGGGCAATTTAAAGAGAACTTGGTATCGGTACTAAATAACTAGACCACCAACGACGACTTAAGAGTATTTTCCTTTCAAAAACATGACTTAAGTTGTTTTTCTAAGAATACATTACATTTTTATGGCCCATATAATTTCATACAAAATTATGCGAAAAATCAAAAATAATCATGAGGGTCATAGTATAATGGCGCCATCTGCTTTTGTTTTTTTTTTTTACAAATTATAGTATAATATTACGCTAATGCCTGTTTTGTATAGATGTTGGTATGTATTAATTTTATTTTTGTTTATAATGATTGTTGTATAGACAAATAAACATACATGACTACCATAGACAAGCACGAATTTTTGACATTAGATGACAAGAAATGAACAACACTACAGCATAGACAAAATGAAAGCAAAAGTTCTACTTTCTTATGGTTTGAGAATTGGGTCGATTATGTCATGGCGGGTTAGATGTTTTCGGCAGTTAAATAAATGGAATTTGTTTTGAATTACGCCGTCAATGATCTCGTTGCAACCGCTGTTGATTAATACAAATCATATTTATATAATCGTAATCCTCTCTTAATCTATTCAAATGCTGAAGCAATTGCAAATGGGCCTTCGCACGTTTATGCTTATCGCGTCTAAAGTATGGAGTTGTTTTTGTTATATGTTTAAGAAGCAATATCGAGCGGTAAATATGAAGTAAAGTGTTTTGGGCGTTCAGTGATTTATTTTAAGTACAAGACCAATTGAAGTCTCACGTGGTGTTTCGTTTTCAGTTGGCGCAGTACCAATCTGTCAAGTATGAAATTTATCCGCTTTCCCCGGTATCTAGACACAGGCTGAGTAAGTAATCATTTTTATCTGGTTGAATATTTAAAATCATCACCTGATACGGCGCCCGGTGTTCTTATCGTGTTGTATCAAAACATCGCAACTTGTTTTGATACTCTAATCAACGGTGTCGTTAAAAATTTATGTTATATTTTATTATCCAAGTTATGGTACTATTAGATCCAATTTCTATAAAACTAATGCCCAATAATAATACACACACTTGTTGATATTTATGTCAAATTACTATAACTTTATAAATACTGAGCTAATAAAAAAAACTCACTATTGTAGTGTCATAGATATGAATAGATAAATATAATAGCAGTGTGACTAGTAATTTCATACTGTTAGTAGACCCATATGTTATGAACAGTTTTTATTTATATCTTTATATTATAATCTTATACTAATGTAAATGCTAAAGTTTGTGAGTATGGGTAGATGGCGGGATGTTTGTCACTCTTTCACAAAAAAAACCACTCAACAGATTTTGTTGTAACTTTACAGTGATATAGCTTATACATCAGAATAACACATAAGCTATAATTTAAACAGATATTATGTATATTGGGTGAAATATAATGATAATTGTCAAGAAAGTTATGTAGATATTATGTATGTAGATTTGAAAAAAATGTTGACTATTCAAAAGTGCTTAAATTAAGTTTATTTGAATAAATGATTTTCTATTCTATTCAGGTCAGCTATTGAGATATATATCTGTGTGTAATGATATAAAGATTTTAAAGACTTAATGGATTTATATTATACTAGCTGTGCCTGTGGTTTCACCGTCATGAAATTTATAGCCTATATATTATTCTGATGTATAAACTATATTACTGTAAAGTTTCATCACAATCCATTTGGTTGTTTTTGCATTATAGAGGTAACATACATCCATCCATACTCGCAGACATTAATGTTTATAATAGGAAGTGTTACTGATGTGTAAGCTATATTATAGCTATATTAGTAGGATTAAGATGTTAACAGAATTCAACAAAATAGCTTAAATTCTTTAAGTATCTAAAAACTAATCAAAGCTCCGGCATCTTTTAAATAAAAAGTCGTGCACTCACTGGACTAGGCTAGCATAGTAATTTACCAACCAATCCGATTATAGTACCATTACTGAATGCGGATATACAAAGAACAGAAAAAAATATATATCTAAACACTTCAATTTATGTGTATATTTATTCCTTCATAATGTAGGAATCACCCACTTATTGGTAGAGCTCTTGGTAATTAATATGATATTCAGTCATTCTTTAAATGTTGATACAACATGATTCCAACATTTTCCTTAATCTATTTCATTTAACTAGGTCATGGTCTTACCCTTACCTCTTTCCTTCTATTTTTCCTTCAATAATAATGTTCACAACTTCATTATGTTCTATGAAATGTTCAATGATGTTTATATGAGATGTGATTATGGAGAATGAGATTTTTAAAATGGAATGGTGCACCTGCCTGGTAATGGTTTATGCTGGTGGGGCAAACATGGTAAGTTGAACATGGGTCTGGTCAATTAGACTACCATAACAAATTCACCAAGAATGTATCATGATTGTCATCAGAGAAACTGTGTGGGGTTCATCCTGACATGTACATTGCTAGCAATGAGGTCATAAAACATAAAAAACAGAGGGAAATGAGTTTGTTAGTAATGTGGTTTGATGATCTTATTGCTAGCAATGTACCATGCGGTTCTCCCTGGAAACCATCATGATAAATTCTTGGTAAATATGTCACGATGGGCTAACTGACCTGACTTCATTATCATTTTATCATACTCCACTGATGCACCGCCAGCGTAAACCGTTAGCGCAGGCGAGTTGACCAATCCATTATCATCAATAAAGAAGATAAAAAAGGGGATTGCAAGTAAACATTATTAACAAATCCTATTTCGTACTGAATGATGACACTATATACCACTGGAGACTAGATGGTGCTGAATAAAACATTACTCATTTGTTGTTTTTTTGCTCATTAGGAAATTACCTTTTTTTTTTTTAGAATTGTGGCTTTTTATGCAAATAGATATTGTCACACCGTTTATACGTAAAATAACAACAGCATATAAATTTATGAACTGTTGTTAATTTAGATTTTATTTAGAAACTTTGGGTTAAAGTGTAACAATGTTATTCTTCTTAGTTTTTCCATCGCTATAAGAAAAGTACAAAAAAAAACTGTTTTTAGATCAAGTTGTTGATAAGATACTCTTCATATGATACCTCTTGAAAAGTAGATGTAAATTTATATGATGCCATTTTTTTTTTAATATTAGGGTGTAAAGGTTTTATTAAAAAATATCAATATTTTGAAAAGTTTCCAAATTTTAAATAAAATTTGTGTTTCATATATATCAACCATATATATATATTTAAGTAGTTTTTAATTTGATATAATAAATTACATTGTTTGAAGAAGTAAACTTCACATAAAATATTTTACATTCTGAATTGCAACCCTATGTATAATAGACCATATAGTTCATTTTATTTTAGCAAACAAATTACATTCTGTTCTGTTGGTGAGAAGAGAAAAATGTAGGTTAAGATGAGAAGAGTCTTAAGCACTATTTGCACAGCGCCACACTACCGGCTCAGCCCCATCTGACTAAGTAGTATGTAAATAGGAAGCTAGATTTAAATAATATTTGAATAATTTATTTTTCCTTCCTCAGGTTTAGTGAAAAGGAAAATGTTGGTACTAGACCTAGATGAGACGTTAATCCACTCGCATCATGACGCAATGCTGAGGCCGACAGTGAAGCCAGGCACGCCGCCAGACTTCGTGCTCAAGGTCACGATCGACAAGCACCCCGTCAGGTTCTTCGTACACAAGCGGCCGCATGTCGACTACTTTTTGGATATAGTAAGTGGTTTCCAAAATAACTTTATTTGGTAAGAACACCAGTTCTTTCGTCGTTTATTTGTGAATGAATTTGCATTTCGAATGTTACATTACAATGGCTATTGAAAAATGTTATTCTAATAATTTTATCCAATTTTAAGTTATCGTAATAGTAGTATTACGGTCGTATGTATGTATGATTGTATATATATTCATATATATATATGTATATGTAAGTTTATTATATTATTTTGTATTTTATTATCTTATATGTATATTTATAACATTTCTTCCAATATTGTTACCAACATTACACCTCTACCAGTCGCAAATCTAATCACTTTTCTCCATCCTAAGGTTGCCTGGAAGAGACCGCTTTTTAGCGATAAGGCCGCCCATTGTTACCTCTTTATCTTGTTTATTGTTTTTTTTTTTTGTAATTTTATACATAATTGTGTATGTAATTGTATTTTCTGTGAGAGGAACAAAAAGAGTTTCATTCATTCATTCATTCATTCATCAACATTATACTTATTGTTTGCTTGCGTGAGTTAGGATAATATGTATTATGGTCAGTGTACATTTTTTGTTACTTTAAATAAAGTACCAATTTTAGTTTCATCCAATATCAAACATTCAACCCATTGTTGGACGGAATAAACATTTGTATTATTGAGTACGATTGTTATATCGGTTTCTATGTATAATATGTATGTATTTACGAAAAAAATTATATATTTATATCAGTGGTAGATAACCACCCATAACACAAGCATTAGCTAGCTTAATTTGGATTTAGGTGCCACTGTGTGAATTATCCTGAGATTATTGTTCTCTCTGTATAAAACAAATGAGTCTTAAATCAGTACGCACCGGACGTATTTTTTTTTAAAAAATTCTAGAGGAACGTTTATATGTATAATACATTAAACAGTAGCAGTATTACTATATAGTAAAACATTTTATTTATGACATTGTTAAACAATTAAATTGAAAATTATCTAATATCTTAATATGTCAATATTTTAATTATAAAATTAGACAAAGGCATTCATTTTCAACATGACTAAGTATTTTAATCTTTCTGTATACTGTTTGCATTTTAGCATTTATTGAAATAACCGTTTTTTACTACATGCGTAAGGATATAAATACGGTACATACACTAAAATAACATATTTTACAATTTTTGTCTGTCTATCGGTTTGTTCCGGCTAATCTCTGAAATGGCTGGACCGATTTTGACGGAACGTGTTTTGGCAGGTAGCTGATGTAATAAGGAATAACTTAGGCTACTTTTATTTTAGAAAAGTAAAGTCAAGTTCCCGGACGAAGTCGTGGGAACAGCTAGTATGGCCATTATAAACAAAGCAATCTATTAAAAGAACAGTGGAGTGGGAATCATTCGCACGTGGTTTGCAAATGTGTGTTCGCGAGTTCAGTGCCGATGGCCCCTACAGTTACATTGTAAATATGAATGATACAATTATAAAAGTACTTATAGATGTTGTTAGGGTTGCCACTTGCAATCTTCTGAGTAACGAGTTACCAACGTAAAAAAATCGGGGTTTAGATATTTTATGAAGACATAATTTTTTTAAATGATTTCATATACGATATTTAATTATACAGTTTACATTATATCTACGATATAACTTACTATGACGTTCTCGGTGGTCTAGCGGTTTAGCACTTCGCATTACTTCCAATGGTCGCGGCTTCGATGATTGATTGTAGCGTGCGAGGCGCTACAATCAATCATCTGGGTGCATACTACTAATATATATTTACAAAAAAAGGATTTGAGTATATCTTTCAATTGTCTAGAACACACAACACAAGCTCTGCTTACCGTGCGACTAGATGGCGCTGTGTTCATTGTTAAGGATAATTTATTTATAGTCCCAGAATACAATAACCCTGCAACCCTAGTTACTGTTGACATTTGTAATCAGTAAACATATTTTATGAGTAAATAGATTTATTGAAGTATGGTTTATGAGTTACAAGTGTTTCACTATTCCATTATATTCCCATGCAACGAGGTTGTAATATTTAATTGAATTTGGGTAGACTAAAAAGGAAAGGCCTATATTCACCAGTGGACGTCTTCCGGGTTGAAATGATGATGATGAGACTATAGTGGCGTGTATGGGATGAAGTGAAGCCACTAATTTAGTCGTATTCGTAGATATTTTATTCGGAATAATTTACAACTTATGTGCGTAAAATTATGTCATTAGTATACCATTAGTACAAACAGGTGATTCCATTCATTGAGTGAGAAGGCAATACGAGTGCGCTCCTGCTCGCACCGAGTTTATAAGCAAGGCGATCGCGTTGCGCCGGTTCCCCTCCGATCAATCCCCCGTCCAATTCAAACGGGGACCGATATTACGACGGCCTGAGCCGAGGTTCGAACCCCTAGTGGTGCTCTCAGACTAAAGTCGTATCCGTCAGGCAGGAGCTGGCCTTCAGCCGCTCCATAAGTCCTTCCGTGGGTTTGGAGTGCCATCTACACTCGCCTCCTATCGTCCGGTGAAGCTGTAAAGGCCGGCTTCGCCCAACAGCATAAGAGGAGACCGGAAAAAAAAATTGCGCCGGTAGTTGGCTCGTAGCTGTTTTACACAAATTATGTGTACTGCTACAAGACTGAAAAAGTCGTACAAGACTAAAAAGTCGTCAGCTAGGTCCACAGTCTCACCTATTTCAGCCTCCAAGCAGCTTACTTTGTAAGATGTGTTTCAGTAGTACGGTGCAGGCCAAGCAGTGAAATTACAAGATAATAGATATGACATTTTTGTTATAATACGGACGGTAGGGAAAAAATTAAAAATATAATGTAAAAAATTTTACATTCATAAGCGGCTAAAATGTCCTACATGTCATCATCTGCTTCTTCCTTATCCTATTTATTTGTGGTCGTCGTAATATGTTTTTCGCTTCCATTCATCCCTGTTCGCAGTCATCGCGTTATTTACTTCCTTTCTTACCATATCATCTTTCAGACAGTCCATCCATCTCTTTTTCGGCCTTCCTCTGCCCTTATAACCATCCACATTCATATGTATAAATTATTTTTTAATTTAAACTTATAATAATAATAATACACGACAATTCACACAGCGTCATCTAGGCCCAAGCTAAACAGAGCTTGTGTTATAGATACTAGACAACTGATATAAATACTTTGTTTTTTTTTTTGGAAGTATAATACAGACATAATATACATACAAATACAAACAATCATACTCATGAATACAAAATACTTGCACCAGTTGGAGTTGAAACAAACGGTGAAGATCGCCATTCAACGATAATTTTAAATTGATGTCTTGTTTTTAAATATACTTAAACGTAATTTTATACCCAATAAAGGTATTTACCTCTCGATGTTTCGACTAGATTTCACTAGTCAGAAACGTCGAGAGAGGTAATTTATTTACCATAAAGTTATTCATATTAAAACCCGTTTACCTGTATTAATAATGTATACTGAAAGCGAAAGTTTAAATATAAGTATTGTCTTGTTTGGCAGGTATCACAATGGTATGAATTGGTGGTATTCACCGCTTCAATGGAGATATATGGCGCTGCCGTCGCCGACAAGCTAGACAACGGACGGGGTATACTGCGCAGGAGGTTTTATAGGTAAGGAGATTTACCATTTCCTACAACACTTAGTTTATTTTTTATTTATTACTAGAGACCGGATTATATACATTTGCATATTTTCGCCATTCTCAGAGGTAATAGCATATTTTACCTAAGATCTAGTTATGCTGCATATTATCGGTACATTTACAATATTTTTCACTCACCCTGCGTTCCGAAATGCGACCAAATTTAATATAATAACAGTCACAAAATATAAGGGCTATTGAGGAATAATTGTGACTATTGCAATTCGGAACGCAGTCAGTACCCGCGCGCGTTTTTTTTTTTGAAAGTTACGATAATAAAATGAAGGAGCTGTTTCTTTCATTTTATTATCGTAACTTAACAGACCTATTACGTACAAATTGTTACATGTTCGTACTTGCTTACGTTTACAAAAAAAATAATAATAATGTCATATAATGTTACTGTACCTATTATCGCCTATCAAAAAATAACTTACTAATTTTATGCTGATTTTGAAATAAAAAAAGATTTTTCCTTTTTTTTTGGATTCCTAAAATTTATCATTTAATTTTGCATAGTCTGCCAATTTTCGTGCATATTTCAAGCATTTTTCAATGTTGCATATAATCCGGTCTCTATTTATTACTCTTTAAAAAGTATACAAAAAACAAACTGAATATAAAGTATGAAGGTACAAAAGTTACTATAATAAGCCATGTAGTTTGTATCGGTCTGAGTATTTTCTATGTATATTATGTATTTACAAAAAAAATATATCTATGTATTTATATCAGTTGTCTGGTACCTGTAACACGAGCTTTGCGCAGCGTGGGACTAGATGGCGCCTGATTTGTCCTGTGTTATTAATATCATTTTTATTTATATATGTTATATAGAAAATCTTGTGTCACAATGTTAGTTACCATATGAGAAACGGCTACTATCTATTTTTCATACCCCTTAGTGATAAGGGTTGTCCACCCCGAACATTTATTTTTTATTTTTTGGACAAAATTTTATTCTTTATATTGTGATGAAAAAATACTTACTACACCTTCTATCAGCAATATATTTTTTAATAGAGATTTTAATTTATATGGCGAAACAACGTTTGCGGCGTCAGCTAACTATATTATATCTTCCTTTCTATGAGGCAATACTTTCAAACACGCGGGCTTTAACCAAGCGTGGATCAGTTTAAAAGATCCGTCAGGATGATAAAAAAAATATCCTTACAGTATGTGTTAAGAATGACGGCTTTCTTAAAAGTTCTACTGTTCGGACATCGTCGGCTCGCCGGAGTGGAGTCCGCGAGCGGTGCTGCGGGGCGCGGCTCGTACGGAGTGCGGATAGCACCGGACCGACCGGCCCTCACTTCTGATCTCGCCACCGAATACTACACGCGCGCACAATATCCGATCATTCTCTGTATTTTTTATATTTCAATTATTACATTTAACTTACAGTCCAAGAAACCTTTTAATTTAAAAGTCCTTAGTTTAGGACCCTACATTAATGGTCCTTCGAGCCGGAGGAGATATAGAGGAGGCGGTATTATAATTATATTATTATTTGTTTCCAGACAACACTGTACCGCGGAGCACGGTTCATACACAAAAAACCTGTCGTCAATATGTGACGACCTAAACAGGGTCTTCATACTGGACAACTCTCCCGGGGCGTACCGGGACTTTCCAGGTAATGTGCCGTACCTTGGTATGAGGCCCAGTAATTTGTACGTTTTACTTAGTTTTAAACTTTCGTATTTAATACATATTATTTATATTGTTTACCGGGTCTATAAAGTTAAAGAGTTTGTTTGGACGCGCAAATATCAGGAACTACTTCTTGTTGTGTTTGATAGTCTATTTGTCGAGGAAGGCTTTAAGCGATGTAACATTACGCTGCTACCAATAGAAGCGCAGCATCAGTGAAAAATGTTGCAAAAACGGCGAAAATTAATCATATTTGAGGGCTTCCGCTGCGTGCGCGAACAAAATCGCGGGCACAGCTAGTTATTCTTATATATTAAACGTAATATGTTATGTATTGGCAGACAATGCAATACCAATAAAGTCGTGGTTCTCGGACCCGCTGGACGTGGCGCTGCTGAACCTGCTGCCGGTGCTGGACGCGCTGCGGTTCACGCACGACGTGCGCTCCGTGCTCTCCAGGAACCTACACCTGCACCGTCTCTGGTAGCCGCCGGTGAGTGACTAATGCTCAGTACACCTGTCGTAGATCATGTCGCATGCCTACTCCTTGTTAATGTATAATTTACTCATGTCTACTGCCTCTTTCGATGTACGGATCATGTCTCATGCCTACCCCTTATTAGTGACCGATACTTGTAGGGGACTGCATCCTTGCATCTGAGTATGAAGGAAAGACATAATTATAGAATTATTGATAATTTATCTAAAACGTGTCTGGAAACTAAAATCTGTGAAACATAAATATAAAATTAAAAAAAAATTATATGATATGAATGATACGCGCAAACAGACACAAAAGAGTGGTAAAAAAATAGGTAAATGCAATCACTCACGATTGCGCGCGCTGGCTGTCCCATGTAAATATATGTATTAGCCAAAATATCGCGTGCTTCTGATGTGGCATCAGAAGCACGTAGAAGTGAAAAAATATGTAAATGTTATATATTATCATTTATATATTTTTCTCTTTAGCATTAAGCATCTTCATTGTTACTACATTGCTAAATTTATATATATATATTTGTATCTATTACTATGTTGGAATATACTTACTCGGTCGGCTGTAATTACTATTTCATTGTCAGATTACTGGTCATGTATTTATGTGTGTATGGTATATTTTTGTATATATTTATTTATGTATATTCTATAAAAATATTACAATATTATTTGCACCGCCAACAACTTATCTCTGCACAACTCATGGTTGACTGGTAGAAAATATCATTAGGTGTTCAGTCCGCCATATGTCCTATATATACTCTTTACATGTATGACGTGCATTAAAGTTATTTAAATAAAATATATGTATTTGTCTATACATGTAATGTACATTATTTTCTGCGTGAAAGCGGATTCTCGCGTGAAAGAGCGTACGTGTAAAGGCAGCTATTGTATATTTACTTAAAACAACATATATTTAACTCCTCGCGCCAATCGACGCCAACGTCTATGTGACAGACTCGACCCATTGGCTTTACGGCGTGATATTGCATCTCTGTGCATTTTATACCGCATATATCACGGGGAGTGTTCTGAGGAATTGTTCGGATTAATACCAGCTGCTGAGTTTCACCACCGTACCACCCGCCAGTAACTGAAATACCATCCTGATCATCTGGATGAATGGCGGTCTTCCACAGTGCGGTTTTCTAGAAACTTTTTGCCCCGCACAACCACATTATGGAATCACCTTCCAGCAATGGTATTTCCGAACCGATACGATATTGAAACCTTCAAGAAAAGAGCTTATTCCTTTTTAAAAGGCCGACAACGTACTTGCAATTCTCCTGGTGTTGCGGGTGCTCATGGGCGGCGGTAATCACTTACCATCAGGTGAGCCGCAGGCTCGTTTGTCCCCTGTGTTATAAAAAAAAAAAATCGACTATCGCTGTCCGTACCGTTCGTCCGAATGAATCTACTATTTAGAACCTAAATGCTAAAATGTTGTTTTTTCTGTTCTTGCAGGTGAAAATGGGCTTTTGTACAAATGAGGGGTGCCCCGGCCTCCCGGAGTTATTTATTTCAGAACATTAAGTCGTTATACATATGAATATAGTTAATGGTTTTTAAGTTGTACTGTAAAGTGTTGCGCGTGGTCAACGCGTACTGTGAGTTACCTACGTGCGGTAGGGTGTTCCTGACGTTTCTGAAACGCTTCGACTTATATTAATTATGGCAACACTTTGCGTCCAAACGGTGTTCACTTGACGTATGCGTGTGACTTTGAGTTTCCGATTTTTATGATTCTTTTTTTTCTTTGACTTGGATATATTAATGTGTGATGCTGCCATGTATTAACGTGTATGGTTCCGTGTAAATTTGATAAATAATGCATGTATTATAAAGTATTGATAACCCGACTTCGCACGGGTTTACATGTATTATATATATAAATTTTCCTCTTGAAAGTCTGTATCTATAGCTGAAAACTGCATTAAAATCCGTTGTGTAGTTTAAAAGATCTAAGCGAACAAACTGCGGGAGCGATTTCATTTTATACTAGGTAAAGATTTCGATTTTCTGTAGGTGTGCAATATTTTATTAATTCACAAATGTTAGAATCAATAGCAATGTGGGTGTACATAGAAATTTATTTAAAAATGAATCATAAAAATCGGAATAAGATGTAAAGATTTTTAGAGTGGTTGTTAATTTCTACAGCGTCTGTTTGGATGCATAGTGAAAGCCAATCTTTATAAAAATTATGACGTGGCCTCTCTGAGTGATCATAACATTAACAAGTTACCGGTTGTCATGGTAACATTGACCTTATAACCAACTACAAGGGTTCATAATAGAAATTGTAATTTTTAAGTAACGCTAATCTACAATTCGTAGACCATAATATTCCGAATTTCGCTAATAATTAGCGTTTTTTGTTTGTGGTATTCCAAACTGTGTTCTATGAATTCTGAATTAAGTATTATATTGGAATATCACCTGTAGGTAGTAGACAGTATGATATATAAACGATGATCACTATATACTTTAATGTGTATGTTCAAAAATATACTTTATTTCAATACGAACAAAGTTACTTTTAGCTAATGAAAATTGTATTATTCTTCATTGGTGTTTTAATATATATTGATGTTCAAAAACATACTTTATTTCAATATGTACAAAGTTGCTTTTAAGATAACTGATCAAAATATTCTATTTTTTTTAACTTGTAACTGTATTAATGATTACAGTTCAATGTCTAGTTGTTTAAATGTCTATTAAAGGAATCACCGTAATTTACCGTCGAAGGTAGTTAGGAAAATTGAAGAAAAAAAAATATATACAAATCAAAATATCATTATCCATGTAGGTCTATTACAGACTCTTATGATATATCAAATCTACTGTCAGTTCGGAATGATTTCGAGATGAGAAGAACTGACAAGAAACTCAGCTCGTATCCTTTTCAAATATGGTTGTACATGTTTACAATTATCTATAATATAAATAAGATGTTGAGTCACACTTCTTCATTTATGCACAATAGGACTTTCAAATATATATATATATATATATATATATATATATATATCAATGTTTTCCGTCTGTCTGTATATTTACAAGATTTTACATTATAGAGTTTGTAGTTTGATCATCTAGGAATCCAGTATTTCTATTATATTAATATTGAAAATTTAATAGCAGGGTTTTATATAAATAATAATAAATAAATATAAGCTGATTAATACTCAATATACATCAGTTGTTTGTGCTCAGGGTTAGGCCACAGTCTATGAGTCAAATGTTAGTTGATTATTTATATATGCGTCTCTTTCATTCGGTAATAATAAGAAGGAGACGCAACAATAATGTGAGCACGTCAATACAGGGTTGTCTCCAAACGTTTGTATACATATATTTTTTTTATAAAACTTCGTACCGTTTTGTATGAAAGTGCAGTTTGCAGGTGACCCTGTATTGCGTGTGAACTAGACAGCGCGATCGCCTGTCCTTTTCTAGTATAAATAAAATAGATTTAATGTGCCCACCAGAATTGAACCAAGATTATGTGAAGTTCATAAGACACCTCACTTTTGTTTTCTTTTACACCAATACAAAACATGTAAATAGTTGTATAAAAATGTACGTAATATTAATATAATAATAGGATACTCGTACTTATGTAAAATAGTCAACACAGCGTCTTTTAAAACAGTTCTTATTTCTTTATATTTCAGAAAATGTATACCTTTAGTCTCTATTAAATACACAGTAATAGTTTCACTAATGACATATGAAGGAAAAAACAAATGTATTGACTTTGTAATATAGATTAAATTTACTTAGAAAATTTTACTAAAAAACTGTATAGTTTAGATCCTTTGCCTGCCATCGCGGTGACTTGAAAAACAATAACTAAATATCATATTAGTTAATTATTCTTAAGTTATGCACTATTGCTCTATTCTGTTGTTTGAAATTGAACTTTTAAATTTCGAACAGTATCACTCCTTCTTTTTGTCTTAAAAGACATAAGATAGCAAATCATTGTATGTATGTATTCATTCGACAACTAGGTACTCTTGAAATTTAAAAAAAGAACACTAATTATATATGTGTGTATTTATACCAGATATGTGTAAAGAATTTTCCAAAGATGCTCAAAATTATGTACTAAGTATTTGCAATTATTTGTTCAAACGTTATATTTGATCATTGAATATTTTTCAAAAACATACTTTATTTCGATACTTACAAAATTGCTTTTTAGTTCGCTGAACGAAACTGAATATTTCATATTTTATTTATCGATACATCAACGCACAAATGTATGTACACACCTATACACGTTTTTTATCCTGCCCTTATACATCGTTCAGTAGCAAAGTGCAGTAAATTAAAAAAGAAATTTTGGTAAATTAACTTTCTTCTTTCGTTGTGAATTAAATATGGACTTTAATGGTATAGATTTAAAATCGATTTTACTTTAGTTATGCAGTTTATTAATAAGTATATTATATGTAAATTATGAAAGAAATTAAAATATATCAACACAACCTCAGTGAGTAACTGGCCGTTAGAAAATAGCAGCACCTAATTTAAATCTATATCAGTATTTACATTATTATGTAATGTGTATTAAAAATATGTATGTATGAATCTGTGGAATTAATTTTTTTAAACAGTGCAATTGGTTGCATAGAAGAATTCTTAAGGGTTCGTCGACACAAGGGCAGGGCCAACTCTAAAAATTTATTTGATCTATGGTAGCTTTTTAACAACGCTATCAATGCATTGTATGAAACTGGAAAAACATTTTTGTAGCAGGGCAATTACGGTGCAATCGGTTGCATAGATGAATTCTTAAGAGTTCCTCGACACAAGGGCAGTGCCAACTCTAAAAAATTGTTTTATCTATGGTAACTTTTTAATAACGCTACCAGTGCATTATGTAATTAGAATTATGAACTTTTTTAAACAAAGGTGAGGTGTGTACTGAGATACTACAATGTTTGCACAAATTTTTCAAAAATCGCCTAATTTCAGGCCTAATGGAAGTTGTGATGCGGTGTACCTGTATATTATTTTTCTGTTGATTGTTGCGAAGCTATATAAAAAAGATAAACATGTTATATAGTAAATTTTAGTTCACTACTTATATGCATATAAGTAACTATAAATTTAAAAAAAATTATGGTTTAAAAGTTTTAATTACTTTTAAAACTTTTAAACCATAATTTTTTTTATTGCATTATCTATATCAAATGTTACGAGACTTCAAGTATTATTGAGGGAAACAAACTTATTAATGTCGTAATTAAAGTAGGAAATTATAAATTTTCCTTAAAAATGTCCCTAAATAATTCATACAGCGCCATCTAGTCCCATGCTAAGCATAGCTTGTGTTATGGGGACAAGGCAACTGATATAAACACTAGCTACTACAATAGTTTTTTTTTGTACAAGGAATCGATCCCGCGACCATCGGAAGTAAAGCGGTGTGATAAACCGCTAGACCATCGAGGCCGTCTTTGATATAATTATACACTATTACAATATTAGGTTCTAAATATTAAATAAATTGTGAAAATTGACACATAATGTAAAAGTTGCGACACTTCAGTAGGGAATTTTCTTAAGAATAACAAATTTATTAGTATCACAATAAATGCGGGTAAATTCTGGAATTTTCTAAAATTTATCTTTAAGATAACTTTAGAAAATTTAAATATTGAACGTTCCTAAATTCATTGTGAAAATCGACGCCGAATGTCGTAACGTTGCAAACGTATTTTATTAGTTAATATTCTTAAAATAAATATATTTTACCATCATATTTAAAGAGGGAAATTCTGATATTCTCTAGAATGTATCTTTTGTGATGATTTTGGAGAATTGCAATACAGAATCGAACCCAAATTCGAAATTGTTATCAAAATGTCTTGTTCGCAAGGAGTGTTATTAATTTCTTTGTCTTCTATTGTGATATTGACGTCGCGTTTGTGATTATTATTGTACTAAATAAATTTGGATATCGTCCAAGACTAAATTTTGCCTGCGACATTGCTCACATGACCATGAAATTAAACTAGAAAGATGTGTACTGAACCGTTAGAACACCGCGGCCGTTTATAAAAAAAAGTATAATGGTTTTTTTTATCAGCTTTCCCTTTGTCATTGGGGAATTTGGTTGGTTTTATGAATGATAGTATTCAGCTGGGTTAGGATTTCATATACTTTTGATACGTTATAGTATTCAAATAAATACACAAGCTTTTAATAGTAATTTAAACATATATTGGAATCTAAATATATTCTGGACTGATCTCTGTATATTCTGGACGGGTCTCTATATATTCTGGACGGATCTCTGTCTACAGATAATACAGAGCTGTCGTTTCGAAATTGTGTGTTCAGTATCACCACATACTCATTATAACCAAATCTGTATAATAACAATTTAAGCCGCTGAAAAATTCGTGCAAACAATCACATCTTCCAGTGAGAGACATTAGTTAAGATTTAGTGGTTTGCCCATTTTTGATCTCGATATGTTTAGTTTTAATTTCAGTTGTGTGAAACATTGGGCACCGGCCACTGTCCTGTTCGGATGGTGACTCGACGACGCTTAAACTGATTTAGATATTCTAATTTTGTATATATATACTTTTTACTTACAATTATTTGTATTGAGTGAGGAATTTTTAAAAATCGGCAAATCACTTTGTTGCATCCGCAGGGTATGGCAGTAATCGATTTGATTCTACTATTACTATTGTTTATTGGCCAGTTTCTATTACTACATTAATTCCAGGATATTCTTTTAACTAGGAAGTAAATATAAATAAAAAATATGACTTAAAGTCGGGTAAAGAAACTGTATATTTGTCATTATTTAAATGTCTCGGATCTTAGAGCTTGATTATGTAACGCTATTGCAATTGTTTCTTATTTCAAATTAATCATTGTAAATTTTGCGATTATGTATGAACTATTTGACAGTTGCAGTTACAAGCCAAGATCATCTCTGTAGATATTTCAGCTGTCAAATAGACGGCTTTGAAACTGTTCTGGTTATCGTATTTAGCAGTGGAATTACTAGGTACGGAGCCATAACACCTTAGTTATCCAGAATGGTATACGAACTTATGTCGCAGCAATAAAGTTTATATTTAATTGAATCGATTTTTGCCATACCTTGTAAGAAAATGGATGGACTATTTTTTTTTATCAATTGTTGAAGAGATGAATGACAATAGGATTACGTAACTCCATCATGTACAAAGTATACAGATTCAGTTGCAAACGATTTTGTGTACTAATAAACGCTGTTTACGGTTGATTTTTATTTTAATTACATACCCTAATAATTAATTTGATGGTTCATATCTTCATACCAATCAAGAAATCGAAGTGCGCAGTTTGAGCCGAGGGACGTATACACATTCACACATTTCATGAGCCTTTTTATAAAATCGGAAAACGTTGTTTTACCATATTAATTAATATTACAATAAAAAATAAAGGTTAATGGTAGAAGAGCGAAAAGCGAAAAACATATTCGCCGACCCCAAATAAATGGGATAAGAAAGAAGCAGATGATGATGATGATGGGTGAAGAGAGAAAATTTGGATTTGTGTGTATTTATAAATCATAATAAAATTAAAATAAATAACTTACTCAAAAAAGTATTCTGGGTTCCCTTATCATTGCGGGATGTGAAAAATAGACACCTACGCGATATGCACACAAAATTTCATAAAAATCGGTAAAGCCATTTCGGAGTTTGGAAACAAACACCGCGACACGAGAATTTTATATACTACATATAGTTTAATGAGGTAGACTGTAAAATGACTGCTGCTTGCAACCTGTCTCCTATTTCAGCCAAGCAGCTTGTTTTGTAAGATGTGTTTCAATTTGTAGGGTGAGATAGGGCAGTGAGTACAAGAGGCATAACATCTTAGTTCTCTGGAAAGGCAACACAATTGTGGTATCATGGGTGTTATATGATAACGTGATGTAACAGCACTACGCTGTTCATGCATATAGACGACGGTTACCACTTACCGTCAGCTAATTTGCCATTTACCCTTTCAGTTGTTAGCTGTCAAAATGATATCAACGCCCCATCTGTGAGACCAATTACAGGACTTCTCACAGATGGGAGTTTAGGCCCATTTGTGGAGCATTCAATATATTTTTAAACAGAGGTTTCAAAAATCATTGGATGTTCCACTTATAGGTCCATGGTATCCAGATCCAATAATTGGTTTCTTTGCAGATGTGAGGTTGCATAAAAAAATGATATAGTTAAAAATAAAAGATCAGAAATAACTTGAACCCTTTAATTTGAGACTATTTTTTATGCAAGTATTTAACAAGTGTTTTCCAAAAATTTCTCAAAATTACATTGATGACAATTTACAATTGTTAAACAAACATTGTAGTTCCATTTAATTGAGGAAGCATTCTGGATTACTTTCATAAATATAAATCAAACTTATTTCATGCAGTTATAGTATTTTAATGTTTGTAGGCCTAATGATTTTTATATATTAAGTAAATCAGCTCTCCCTATTTTCTAGAATTTATATTCATATTTCAAATATTGAATATATTCTGATTTTTTCTTCATCCTTTTTCAATAATAAAATGACCATAGATATTAGAGGTCAATAGTTTTATTCGAATTTATATTTAATTTATATAAATGTTGTTTTCAAGATCTATGTATTTAAAAATACTTTTCTGGGATAAGCTGTATAAATCCCTACGAACATAGATATCATACACATTCTAAGAAAGTGAATTAAATATTAACTATGCATTTATAGAAAATTTATTCTTAGGAGAAATATAACTTAAAAAATGTTTTCTCCCTTAAAAGTTAGTTTAATATTACAAGTGAAAAAGAATAAACATTATAATTCGATTTCGTCTACTACCTAATGAATATTAAAGCCATTCTCAATCCATCAGATTAACACAAATACACAGACTGTAACTTTAATTTTACAAGTTGAGTAAATTCAAAACGAGAAACTTACTTTCAAAGTCTACTGACAAATTTTACATATTAAAAACAGTGACATGTACAATAAAACTAAAAAAAACTGGTGCATAAACTACTAAGGTGTAATGAATAGGAAATTATAATTCTTGTAAAAAAATATAGCAAAGATTTGCAGTCCTTAACAATGTTACAAACTATTTTAAAAGTTGTCCACATTAGCTTAAAGTCCATTGCATAATAAATAGAATGATATTTATACACCCATGAAACACTGAATCTCTGTGAGATTGAGTAACATATTTTAAATTATTTGCACTTTTATATATTAAATTACATCGCAATGAACTCTAATTGTGTAACAATTATTAAAAAACAGGTCCACAAAAGCTGAATCAAATATCAAATGGGACCCTAGCAGAGCCAATAGCTATATCACAAAGAGTTACTCAAGGAATCATAGTGGGTAGTCATTTTACAGTTCACTAACAAATAATCACTAAAATTCTTTTTGTATACAGATTTTAATGACATAGTCAAAGATTTAAAACTTATTTAAAAATACTCTGTCCAAACAATGGGTTTCTACAAAACTATAAGGTCTACACAACATTTTAGTGGATTTCTACTTTAATATAACTGTACATACATAGTGACGTAACATTAAGAGTCACTCGTCCAAAAGAAAATTTATGACACCGAGTATGCCTTCTCTGAGAACGATTTAACATAGGCTTCATGTAATTTGTTTACGAAGTCAGCATCATGTTTTAGGAGGTAATTAAATGCTTGCAGCAGCTGATTTCTAGTTAGAGGTTCTGGCGAGGAGTGGACATCACTACTGGCGCTAGCAGTAAACATTGTAGGCGGCATCAGAGCTGGTTTTGGCTGGCTGCCCGTCGGGTTGATCAATGAATACACCCCTACATCCTCTAATTTGCTACCATTAAAAGAGCTTACCGAGTGGTTAACTTCCTGTGACTGATTCAAATATGTTGCCAATGGAGAAGTAGGCTTCGGTGACGATATATGCATCATATTCAAGTCCATTTCCAATGGATTCAGTCCATTTGCCTCGATAGATTCCAACTGTGGCTTTTGCATTGGAGGTAACCTTTGTTTGTGTTTCTCAATGGGAGTAGATTTCAATGGAAAACTGCTATTTTGTCGCATGGAAGAGTCTAGTGACACATTGCCATTGGAGCTTAGAGCCTCCTGTGGTGTTACAGAGCGCTGTTGTTTCTCTATATGTTCGACTGAATGTGCAGGATTGCTCATTAGTCTCTGGAGCAACATAGGACCTTCCCGCGAATCCGTTGGCCGTGGACCAAAGATGCCAGGAGATGGCAGCGCAGATACAGCCGGCATTTGCGCCGCGGCCCCGCTCCCAGCCTTTGCAAAGAAGTCCATTACACTCTGTGACGTCATATCGGGTGCTCGCGAAGGCGTCGATTCACATTTGCCTGCCACGATGCCCTTATTCGAATTGAAGTCGTCTTGAGCCTTGCTCAACATGCTAAAAATATCAACGGGCGCGTTTGACTGCGTAGAAGGCGTATAAACAGGGTTCTGGGCCATATTCTCGGCAGGCGGCTGTTTAATTGACTCTTTGACGAGAGAATTTAATTTCGTAGCAACTCGAACACACTCGTCTTTATCATAAAACCATATGCCGTAAATACGACACTTGGCATTCCTATACAAAAGGAACGGTTCTTTAAGCTGCAATTCTATTCCTTTAGACACTGGTTCAATAAGGTTATTCGTGTTCAATCTGTTCATAATCACTAAACTGTGGTACGGTTCCCCATTTCGACTGTACACAAACAAAGCACCCTCGATATTCGTTTTCTCCCATTCGTTTTCCTCGAATGTATAAAGAGCAACGTGGGTAGCACTGTCAATTATTTCTCTGGCGTATGGATCTGCCCTCTTTAGAGCAGCAAAATTCATACGTAGACCGGTGTCAGCCATTTTAAAATAACAAAAAACTAGATAAATTAATTACAACGTACGAGCATCACAATAAAATGACAAGAACAAACTTCGCCATATTTGTGTGCGTTTCGTACCACTCTAAATAACATTATATGCCGGCATGTGAAGAACCTCAAATATTATTAATTGTATATTACATAAAGTAATAACAAGACATTCTAAATCTAAGAATCATTGTTTTCTTAAATAAATGTATATTTTATGACGGTAGATGTATTGTTTAATTTTAGGTTAATACTAACTCGTAGCTATATTTATTAAATACCCTCATTTATTTTGATAAAATACATGAACTTACTTAAACTATTGTTATAGCTAAATACAACATTTATGTGAAAAATTTAAAATGTAATATACGAGTAAGAAAATAATTAGTACTATTCATTCTCCAACTCTGATATGTATTGCCTGCAGAAACTTATTAGGGTAACGAAATATTGCGTGAAATGAATCGCCAACTGACTTTAAATAATGATGTATAAGTTCGATTCTATTTGATTTTGATATTGAAAAATCGATAACTAATAATATTTTTTAATTTTCATAACTTTGTTTTGTATTTTGAATAATAACGATGTAAAACGATTTTAAATTATTATTTACATTTATAGTATATATAGATAATACAAACTTTATAAAGAGAACTCTACAAATTTTAAAGATATTTTGTAATAAATAGATTTGTTTTCATAGTAATACCATGAAAGTAATGTTTTATAAAAGTTTTATAATCTTTTGCCAGTGACAAGTACGATCAGCAATATCGAATAACATAAAATGATGTCATTTTATCATAAAGCTCTGAAAAGTTTGGCCTTTGTCATTTGCACTTTAACGTTTCTGATAAAAATAGAGCTACCTAACATTTATTTTATCACAAAAATAGGGATGTGATTCATATATTTCTTAAACAACATTAATAACAAATAGTTGAGTAGATAATCGTCTCGTTTATTTATTAAAATTAATAGAAGAGTTCAATAGACGTTTCTTCCAATGATAAATATATTTCTCTTTGCAATACAGTTATAATCTAGTACTCTACATAAACTCAACTTTTAGAAACCGTTTTCAATACATTCTTTAATAATAATCAGTAATATCTTTAATTTTGGTCCTTTTCCTTTAATTTTGTTCTATATAACTACAGCATTAATTATTATTATACCTTAATTTTTTTTAGCGAATTTTTGATGAATTGGTTAGATAAGAGTGGATAACATAATTATAAGCATAGACTCAGAATATCAGCATCATGATTAACTATGCTAAAGATATCTTCTTAATTTATTCTCAATTCATTAAACATAAGGTTTTCACTACAAGGATGGAAATATAAAAATACTAAACTAAAAAATAATTTGTTTAGGATTTCAACTTTTATACTGTATAGGTAGGATATACGAAGGGATATCATATATTATAAAATTATAGTAAAGACCTGTTGTAATTTTGAAATGCAAATTAATAAACTTTAGTCTTCAACATCAGAATTATTATCATCATCATCTATAGACTGTATATATTTATATACAAGTTTATTGTATCGATTGATATCGATTACATCGATTTAATTCGAATCTACTCGGTCATTAGGTCAGAACAAGTCACAGTATTCATCCACCATCCCTATACAGTTATTGGTATTGGTTGGTGCTTGTTTAGTATTGGTTATTGTTGTTGACATTGACGTAATCACGGAATGTCATTAATAAAATCAGTAAATAAATGTCATTTTATAGTTCAGTCGTTCTGTTGATGGTTGTGTTGTAAAATAATAACAAAACAATTTAAATCGTATTTCTTTTTATAAATTAAATCACTTGAACAAATAAATTAAATGTTACATTGATTTAAATGAACTTTATAAGTCTAATATAGTTGTATATAATCTGTTTATTGAAGACGTTGACACGTGACAAAAGTTTTCGTACGTAAAGTGTTTTTAATTAAAATGACTGAAGGCAACATACTTGTGATCGGCAGCGGAGGCCGGGAACACGCGCTTTGTTGGAAACTTGCAGATTCTCCGTACGTGAAACGCATATACTGCACCCCTGGAAGTGTCGGCATTTCTACCACAAACAAAGTCGAGAGTGTGGAATTAAACATCACAGATTATCCAGTTAGTATTCAACATTTATAATTATGTATACTCATTCTCTATTAAAAGCTTCCTATGTAAGACGTAAGGTAACCAGCGCATTCAAATCGAGGCAAAAGATTTACAAACTTTTCGAGTAAAAAAGCAATATTTTTTTTTAAATCTGAACGTAACTTCTTTTACGTTCAGATTAATTTATTTTATCATTTTTAGGGTGGTCTAATTGGAAAGTCCTACAGAAACTGAGACGTAGTAACTCTAATCTAAGCCCGCCAGTTTAAGTTTTTGTGTTTGAAAATTATTAGACTTGATATTTAAAACTAAACTTTTACCAGTGATCACACTTAAAGTTACCATAAGGCTAATAGAGAGAGAAATATTAAAAAAAAATATTACTCTTTATTGCACCTTCAAAAAAATCCTTTTTCATATAAACTTAAAAGTACTTTATAATGGCACTTTAATAATAGTGCTTTGAATACTCCAACTTATTAAATTTGTAATTTGTTTTATGGTTTTACAACAAACTGCCCGAGTCTGTTCTAAATCTGCCTGAGAAAATTTCAGATGCTATATAAAACTTTCTTTCTAAAAATAAATAGTATAGAATGAAAGTTTGTAAATGATAGTAATATTTTTGTAGAGAAATAATTATGTGTAATATTTTTGTTATTATTGCGTACCTCTTACTTGTTATTGTGAATTTTTTGTTTAATATAACATTTATTGAAAAGAGCAACATGCAAGTCTCTTGCTTATTTTTCTTGTGATGAATCTGTATTTCTGGTCAGTGGTAGACTCATTTGGACCAAAAATATTACTATTCAAGTGCTTGCTTTCAATTCATTTGAATTAAGATTTTTTCTATTTATTTCCATTATTTTATTAATCTACTAATAATCTATACATCTATACATTTTTTTGTAATAATGAAATAATTTTTTACTACATGCATATGATTATAAATATGTACCGTACATACACCAAAATAACATTTTTTACAATTTTTGTCTGTCTATCTATTTGTTCTGGCTAATCTCTAAAATGGATGGACTGATTTCAACGGGACTTTTAATGGCAGGTAGTTGATGTAATAAGGAGTAACTTAGGCTGCATTTATTTCATAAAAAATATTTTATTTTAGAAAAATAAAGTTAAATTCCATGCGGAAAAAGTTGCGGGAACAGCTGGTGTAAATATAAAGATGAAGCTACAGATTGCAGACAATTTCTGATGCCTGTTAATTTAATAAAATGAAGGCCACACTCTTTCCTAGACTCGGGCCATCACATTATCTGCAAATGCTTTAATGGTTTCCAGGGGCACTGATGAGGTCAAACCAACATTGCAATAGGGTTATTAGTTCACATTACAAATAATGCCCTTCCACTTTACTCAGACTTAAAGCACTATGTTTAATAGTCTGTAACATTAATGAATATCAAATGCAAGATAAAATATGAAATGTCTGTGGTAATTCTAGAGATTAGTATCTTTATACAAATAAATTCTTATACTTGTACTAGTGGCCATCCTGGTGATTAGGGAAATTATTTCTCAAATTAGTGCAGTTAGAGTTTAGTTTTTCATAACAAAGTTTTCACTCTCTCTCTATAATATTAAAACAATAATAATAATAGTATTTATTACTGTAGTTTTTAGGTTTACAACATTTTTTTGTAAATCATTACATAAGTAGTATAGAACGAAGTCGCTGTCTGTCCGTCCTTATGCTTAAATCTTTAAAACTATGCAATAAAAAAAGATTTTAAAGCTTTTTTTAATAGATAGAGTGATTCAAGAGCAAGGTTTATATGTATAGTATAACAATTACACCCGGGCGAAGCCGGGGCGAGTAGCTAGTATATTATAAAATTGTTACTTGTGACTTTGTCTTTTAACCTTTTTTTTAATAAATTATTTTTCTGAAATATAAAGTTACTATGTATAATATTAGCTATCTGCAAGTGAAAATCCCGTCATAATCAGTCCCGTCATTTTAAAGATTAGCAAGTACAAGACAGAAGACAATATTTTTTTACGTACTGTATATACTGTCATATTCATGTAGTGAATAACTGTTAATTTTAAATTACAAACAGACACTTTAATATATATAACCTATTCAAGATTTCATGCTAATTATATATTTTTTTATAATTTTACTAGCTACTCGCCCCGGCTTCGCCCGGGTGTACATGTATTATATATATAAACCTTCCTCTAGAATCACTCTATCTATTAAAAAAACTGCTTCAAAATCCGTTGCGTAGTTTTAAAGATTTAACCATACATAGATATGGACAGACAGCGACAGCGACTTTGTTTTATACTATGTAATGATTATGATTATAGATATAATACTGTAAGGATGTGATTATACTAAAGAAATTATTGCATTATATATGAAATAGTTTTTTAATAGATACAACTATATATAATATTACTAATCTGGAGTCTAAGATAACCTCATTATCAATAAGTTCAACAATGCTTGTGCTTGGGCCAATAACACATTTGTCCATTAAATTGGTTGATATAATATATTTATGTAATAATGGATTGTGTTTACAATAACTATACGTTTTATATAAATTTTGTTGCGTAAATAGTAAACTAGCAATGTAGAGAATTGTAACACAATAGTCCATTGAGGTCAAGTTAATGAGATACCTAAAATTGACGGTTTCGCTGGTCTAGCGGTTTAGCATACCGACGTACTTCCGATGGTCGCGGGTTCGATTCCTCATAAATAATTATGACAGTATGTCACTAGAATAAAAAAAAAACAAAACGATGGTTTTAATTTTGCCTATATGTTGAATCCATTGTTATTCCCTTCTTCTTAGAAACTTTCTTAAGAGACACGTAATTTGATTACCATATAGTTGACGGTTTTGTTTTTATTTCAAAATAATATAGCATTGCATAAGGACCCTTCAAATCACACCAACAACACAGATCCTAACGCCTATAAGTTCAGTTAGTAAACCCAACTGAGTTTAATAAACAATGGATTCCTTATACGTGTAATTAGTAAAAATCACGGGATATTACCACGTTGTTATTGAGTTCCCGATATTTCGGCAGTGTTTCAACCGTCATGATCACGGGTTAACTGAGCTAAACTAGTTTACGCGTGTATCATGGTTTCCAGGAGCACTATTCCCAGCATTTCGACCCGATTGTTTGGTCTAACTCCAAGCGATTCTCCTGTGAACCATCGTGACAAATTTCTTATGAATTCGCTACAATGGACTAATTGGACAGCCTCGGTGGTCCGATGTTTTGGTTACTGGTATAATCCAAACATTGGTATTCATGAGCATGATTGTTTGTATTGGTCTAGGTGTAGACTATGCACATAATATATTTAAAAAAAAATCTCTTAGTTGTTTGGTCTCCATAACATAAACTCCGCTTAGTTTAGGACTAGCTTGTGTTGTGTGAATTGTCCAGCATTATTATTAGTATTATTAATTGATCTACTTTCATTCTCATCCTATTATCTCTTATTGGTGCCTCGCAACATATAGTTGCAATTGGGTGCAACATATAGTGCACTAGTCGCAAGTCAAAATTACATTTAAAGGAAATTTTTTTCAATTATGCGCGTTTAAATTTTTTATTATTATCTCTATATCCCGTTCAGTTTGGCTAGCTACTTCAATTGACAAGAAACTCAAGTGGTACTTTTTTGCGAAGCATTTGTAAGCGTATGTCTGGCATTATCATCATTATCGATGAAATCTAAATTATATATTGGATTATTGTCATTAACTCTCTCTCTTTCTCTTTCAGCGTATATTAGTCCACTGCTGGACTTATTCCCCTTGTACAATTTTCCGTCTTTTTCCATTTCCATCCTTGTATCATTGACTAAAGTGTGTAAATTTCTAGATTGTAAAATATTTGTAAGAAAGCTGTTGTTATCACAATGAAATAAAAACTGGTTACTGGCCTTCCCCAAGGCACGCAACTAGGTACGATATTCACTTATTTTCCAGTTGTTATGTCTGGCGTGTGATAGCCGTGTTCTGTCAAAAGATTGCGAAATTTAATAGATTGGTTTTAACTATGTCTCGTCTACTTGTTTATTATAATCTGACGTGTTTTTCAATGATTGTGCGTTTCCCTTATCAGGACACAGGTCACAGGTCTTCGTACTTGCGTGTGGTAGAAATAAAGTTCCGATTTTATAGTATTCTCTATCACTGTATGCAAGTTACTTCCCAATGCATACCTACACTGAGTTGCCATTTAAAAAAAAGAATGCTGTATTTGTACAACCATAGATTATAAAATTAAAAAGGAGAGTACATGATAGTTGATGTTAGTTATCTAGGTAATGAAATGACAGAAAGTTGCGAAATACAAAATGAGGAGCCTGATTTGAGGCCCATAAATCACGCCGTTAATTACAATTTTTAATTTTTCTTTTTTTTTCAGGCTGTCGCACAATGGGCAAAAGAACACCAAATCGACCTTGTAGTAATAGGACCCGAGGATCCCCTCGACGCTGGTATCGTAGATGCCCTTACTTCCTACGGTCTCCAATGCTTTGGACCAACAAAGGCCGGGGCCCAGATTGAAGCCAATAAAGACTGGTCCAAGAAATTCATGGACAAATACCAGATTCCTACAGCGAGATACAAATCATTTACTGATGCTGCGTTGGCCAAGGAATTCATTAATACGTAAGTTGTTAATCATTTTAATTATTGATTTGCTATAGCAACTGTTTTGTGTATGTCATTGCACTCCAAGTTTCTGTTTGGGGTCAGAAAAATATTGTTCAATTAAACCCCACGAAGACACAAATTTACCGCTAAAAGACTAAATTTTTCGTATCTCCTCATTTTCAAGACACTCTCTTGGATATGAAGCCCAATTTCAAAAAACTTAGCGTTAATAGATCCAGTTTCAATTTTGCGGTCATTTGGAAGACAAGGCTAAAATAGCTCTAAAAGTTAGGTGTGCTCAGCAGAGTGAGACGGTATTTCACAGCGGCCTATTGCTTGCAATTATACAAGGAACAGATCCGGCCGCATATGGAATACTATTCTCATTTCTGTGCTATAAAAAAAATGTATTAGGCGGCCTCGGTGCATTGTCGCGATGGTACCATTTTTTTTTATTGGGTTGTAACATGTACACTGCACACTTGCGTCCTACAACAGTAGTATTATTCATTTGTATTTAATAACTAGAACTCAAGATTCTCTCATTGTTTGTTTCATAATAATCAACACTATTATTATTAACCTATCCATTATTACCTTTATACATATATTCTTCCATTCTATTCATGCGCCACCTACCACTTTTGTTGTATTTTCTCTACCTAAAGGTTGTTTGGAAGAGATTGCTTCTTGCGATAAGACAGCCTTTTGTACATCCATATCTATTTTCTGTATAATTCTTATGTATAATTTATTATACATAAGAATTATACATATACTATTGGTGCAATAAAGAGTTTATAAATAAATAAATAAAACTCATAATAATTAAACTAAATTTTCACCTAGGGAATGTAACAGAATGTACTCCATACAGGCCATTATAATGACCTAGAAAGGACAGCAGTGACATAATTTCATATTTAGACTTATGTAAGTAACTTGTAATTTCTTGTTTAGGAAATTTATTTTTACAGATATTTTATATTTTAACATATATGTAGATATATTTGAATGAGACATAATTTGATAAAGATGTCATAAATTAAAAAAAAAATCATTTAGATATGTTCTTTAACAATATATGGTCTTTCGTCACGAAATTGATATAGCTTTGAACGGGAATCACTATGAGGACGTCATCCAGTCAGCTCATTCTTTCAAGCTGTATGCCGAAAAGTAGTTCCACGAGAATATCTGCTGATAGAACCCTAAATACGCAGTGGAATTTTTTGCCTCATATTCGTGTCAAATTCTTTTATCCTGAATGACATATATTGACCTTAACGATCGATTATAATATAGTAAACTTAATAAACAGCTAAATGAGCGTTATCTCCATTGTGTAGTCTCATTTTTCAACTTATAGTATCAAATAAAAATATCTTTAGGTATTCATATAGGTGTATCGGTGTATTACAGACTCTTGTGATAAGCCACATCTACCGTCAGTTCGGAGTACTTTCGAGCTGAGAACTGACGAGAAACTTAGCTCTTATTCTTTTCACAATTAAAAAGAATACTCATAATAGGTAGTTAACTTGTATTATACAATTACAAAAATACAGAATCAAGTTTTAAATTCAGTTATTGTACATGATTACAGAAATGTATTTTTCAATTCAATTAAGTAGAATGTAGTGACCACTACCATATGCTATTTCATTTTTGTCAAAAGAAAATAATTTAAACAGTAGACTAGTTCTCACAACGACTATGTATATAATTAGAAGTATCTGCCATTTAATAATAATTGTACAGTATTTAAATATTAATTTAAATAAGAAGCTTGTGAATGAAGGACTGTATGTATTTAGGCTAGTTTAAAATGAGACACGTTCGTAGGTGAGGTAAAATATGTGTATTCAGCTCGCTAGCAAAAAAGAAAAGAAAAGAAAGAATATGGCATTAGAAAACAATCGGTATATAAAAACAGAGCGTCAAAATATACAATTCAAAAATATATAAAAAACCTATAAATCCATCAAAATGGCAACCTTCGGCAACAAAGCTAATTCCGTTCCCGCCATTTTACAATCCAGACCCCGCTTCTATAATATGCACAGAGTATGTTACAAACATCATAGATTATAATACCTAGATACTAAATAGATATAAAGACTATATATACTACAATAATATCTTGGACAATTTATACAGCGTCATCTAGACCCAAGCTAAGCTGAGTTTGTGTTATGGGCAATAGACTACTGATATAAATACATATTTTTGTAAATACCTACATGATATACCATTTAATTTAATTTGTAGTTATATATCTAATACTATATTTGTACAGATGCGTAGTCTGGTTTTCATGTTGATCATTTTTATGATATACAACATGCGATTGTACTGTATTCACCCTTCAAACTGAAACATAGTCATTCGACCACAGCTGCGTATCGGACCAAAAAAAAAAACATTAGTAATCCTTTTGTATTAACTTTTTATTTTTATAAATAATATTTTTTTTACATATAAGTATAGTAAATGTACAAAGACTGAACATTTTTATCTTATACGACGTCGTCTTTTTGTAGTATTTTTTTTAAAAGGCACTAATTTGTTCTTCTCACAGAATAAGGAAAAACCTGCACTTTACTATACGTCTTTAAAATTACCGTATCGTAGGTGTACTGCCTAGGGCTGCTCTAGGGCCTTATGATTTGGCCATAATAAAATGCAATTAAACTTATCTATCGATGACTGTCTGATTCCTTTTGAATAACTAAATGGCTGAAACGCAAAACTATAATAGATCTTATCACGAGGACGGACGTATACCTACTTTTATAATAAAAAAATAAATAGCGGTCGCCAGTTAGAATTAAGACGATAAATTATTACATTATAAAGCGTGCCAGTACCAACCAACAGTATCTCAGGACAATTCACACAGCGCCATCTAGACCCAAGTTCAGCTAGCTAACGCTTGTTTTATGGGCACTATATAATAATGCATAGATTTTTTTTTTCGTAAATACATACATAGAAAACACCCAGACCGATACAAACAATCATACTCATGAATACAAATATTTGTGCCGTGCAAGGATCTATTCCTTGCAAGGCACAAATATTCCCGGGACCCCGCGACCATCGGAAGTAAGGTAGTGTAATAGATAGATAGTGTGCTTTTTAATTATTTGTGGTTGATAATGGAATTGTGCACCCGCCTGCACTAACGGTTTACGTTGGTGGGGTACCAGTGGAGGATAAGCAGTGAGGCCAGGACAGTTAACTTATAATAGGAAAACAGTGTGCAGATCAATCAGGAGGGTTATTAGTCCACGTTACAAATAAACCGTCACATTCGTGAACGGGTGCTGCTTGTGGGGACTGGTCTGTTCAGGTTGCGAAGACTGATTAGATTTTTTGTTTTTTGCTATAGCATATGCTGGTGGTTACTCTATTCTAACAAATTTGAATTTAAATTACTGTATATTATTGTAAACATGTACAACATTTATTTATAAAGAACACGAGCTGAGTTTTTGTCAGTTATCAGTTCTTCTCGTCTCGAAATCATTGTGAACTGACGGTAGATTTGACATATCATAAGAGTCTGTAATAGACCTAAGTACATGAATAAAGATATTTTGAAATTTGAAACACCTTCACCCATGTAGTAGTGTGCAAAATATTACTTCCCCGCAAAGAAGTCGCGACCCTTGTAACGATATCTCAGGGTCAGTTTCGAGTGCATACAAAGATGTAGGCCAATGTCTACAGATTGGTATTTTTAACTTTGTTTTTATAAAGTCCTTGTCAATACTGTCCTTTGAACTTAGAGATGGCGAGATGATTGTAGAGTTGTTTGTTCGCGGGGTATATTTATCTAAGTATGGTTCACTCCCTACGGATAATGTACGTAACAGAAAAAAACTTATTTATCTATTCTTGTGAATGTGATAAACACTTATTGTTTATACAATAGGGCTAGATTAAATGTAAACTATGTTATTTCCGCATAAATACGTACATTTCGTCATTATTATATCTGACTAGCTGAGCCCGCGGTTTCACCCGCATTAAATTTCAATATAAAGTATAGCCTATGTGTTATTCTGATGTATAAGCTATATTACTGTATAGTTTCATCAAAATCCATTCAGTAGTTTTTGTGTGAAAGAATAACAAACATCCATAATACTTACAAACTTTGGCGTTTATAATATTATTAAGATGATGATAAGATGTTCATTCTATATCTGACGACCTCGGTAGTTTAGCGGTCTAGCACACCGCTTTACGTCCGATGGTCGCGGGTTCGATTCCACGCACGGCACAAACATTTGTATTTACGAGTATGATTGTTTGTATCGGTCTGGGTGTTTTCTATGTATAATATATATGTATATACGAAAAAAAATATCTATGTATTTGTATCAGTTATCTAGTACCCATAACACAAGCTTTAGCTAGCTTAACTTGGGTCTAGATGGCGCTGTGTGAATTGTCCTGAGATTATTATTATTATTATTATATACGTGAACTACTAGATTATTTTACAGTCTCATCTATTTCTACCGCCAAATAATAATAATACCTCACGATCAATACCGTTTTTACCATAAGGGCACACGGGGCCCGTGCCCAGGGCCCCCATTCTCAGGGCCCCCTGAAGGACTGACAATTGTTATCACACATTAATTCTCAAAATTTTTTTGTCGGGCACACTACACTTTTTTCACAAATCAGTAATGTTAATAATAATAATAATAATAATAAAACTCTTTATTGTGCATAAAAGAAACAAATAATTACAAATAGGCTTTTTTTTCTTAAAAAAAAGAAGGATTCTTGTGTGCAAACAAAAGGCGGCCTTATTGCTTAAAGCAATCTGCTTACAGACAACATGTTATCAAAGGTATTTAAAGCTTGTGTTACGTGTACTAAGCAACTAATAGAGATATAATAGCTGAAATATTTTTTTTCTAAATACATGCATAATATATTTACAAAAATATATTATACATAGAAAACAACCAGATCCAAAATAAACAAACATACACATTTGTACCGTGCGAGGAATCAAATCCGCGATCTTCAAAAATAAAATGGAGTGTTAAACAGTTAGCCCACCGAAGAGATATTTTTTTTAAAGGCATATAATTTAGGTATACATAATACCCTAATCAATATAAACAATCCTACTCATGAAAATAAATGTTTAAAAATACGAACCCGCGAACATCGGAAGTAAAGCGGAGTCTCAAATCACTAGATCATCGAGGCTGTCAATATTACGTGAAAATGAATATGTATTATTATATTTCTAGTGCTCCATATCCAGCATTGGTGGTAAAAGCATCAGGACTGGCAGCTGGTAAAGGCGTGGTGGTCGCTTCAAGCAAGGAGGAGGCATGTCAGGCAGTTGACGAGATTTTATCTGAAGCCAAGTTCGGTGATGCTGGACAGACTGTCGTTATTGAAGAGCTGCTGGAAGGCGATGAGGTTTCTGTGAGTATCTAGAATTCTAGAGTATATTTTAATAATATTTTTTTTTTGACAATTCACACAGCGCCATCTTGACCCAAGTTAAGCTAGCTAAAGCTTGTGTTATGGGTACTAGACAACTGATATAAATTATTGATAATGAAATAGACATTTTTATCCTAAACTTAAATACACTCAAATAATCCCTGTCTAAAGAACTCACAATCCCAAGCTCTCAAATCCTTACTCCATACTAATATTATAAATGCGAAAGTAACTGTTTGTCTGTATCGCTTTCACGCCAAAACTACTAAACCGATTTAAATGAAATTCAATACATAAATAGTTTAGACCCTGAGAAAGTGCATAGGCTACTTTTTAATGAGATTTAAGAATTGTAAGGGGGTAGGCTGTTTATTAAATACAAATAAAGAAAAAGGGTTGAAAGGGATCTCCCCTTATAGGAAAGGTTTTTAAAACGGGAAGCTAAAAGCTTATTTTTTAGGCTGTGGATTAAATAAAACATATATAACTTTCTAAGTTTGTAAAATGTTACCCTTAAGGGGATAAAATGAAATAGGGGATGAAAGTTTGCTTGTAAATTCGTCATTTTTGAAGCTATATTTTTTGTTTATATTATTAAATATTTTTTATTTATTTGGTCAAGGTCACTATTCCACGCACGGAGTCGCGGGCACAGCTTGTAGCTAATATTTAATACCATCAGATGGGCAATCATTATTTTTCTCATTCCAGTTAAATATATGAACTTTTGAAGTAAACGAGCCCTGCTATATTTGTCACCGTTCATGAGAATTTCGTCACATTATCAAATCTATGTCGTGATTTTACTTCCTCGACATAAAGACCCCAAAGGTCGCGAGTTCGACTCTTAACGACACCAAAAATAACTTGTGTGTCAAACAACATGTCTATCTCTCCGGTGATGCAAATTAATTTAATCCGAGAGACTGTTATGTTCATCTATACATATAAATAAAATAGGAGTGTCTCTTCGTAATATTGAAATAACCATTTTTTACTACATGTATATGAATATAAATATACACCAATATAACATTTTTTACATTTTTTCTCTATCTGTCTGTTTGTTTGTTCTGGTTAAGCTCTGTAATTGCTGGACCGATTTTGATGGGACTTATTAGCAGGTAGCTGTTATAATAAGGAGTAACTTTAGCTACTTTTATTTTAAAAAATCTTTTATTTTAGAAATATAAAGTTAAATTCCACACGGACGAAGTCGCGAGTATAGCTAGTTTAAAATATTATCAGAGAAATACGATCATGACATGCATTCTCTCGCGTAGTCGATTTAATTTACAATTTAATTGTTTTTATGTTTGTTGTTATAATTATTTAATTTAAAATTATTTAGTTATTTATATAATTAACTCTGCCTGTGGGTAAATTTCAATATATAAGTTTCAATAAAAAAATGTAACCTGTGTGGTCCATATGTTATGTTACTATAATATATAAGTTTGCGTGCAAGAGTAATAAAAAAACTTTTGCGTTTATAATACATATTTTTAAGATTAAGATTATTTTATTAAAACATTCGTGTGTCACGGTGTTAGTTGCTATACTTCTCCAAAACGGCTTAACCGATTTTGATGCGATGGTATATGTATACTCGGTTGGTCTGACAATGAGTGTAGGTAGTTATCTATTTGTATACCCCTAAGTGATAAGGGTGGCAAAAATATATATTTTAATAATTAAAAAAAGAAATACGTACAAGCCAAATATTTACGATCTCACAGACAAGAGATGTTAGTACTATTGTTTAAACTCAGTTAACAATGTCCTTACTAATATTATAAATGTGAAAGTAGGGACAATTGTTACGCTTTCACGCAAAAACTACTGAACGGATTTTGATGAAATTTCAACATCTAGACACGCGGAAGCGTGTGTCACGTGTGTATATTTACACGAACCATTTGGAGCCACTTTTGACCCCCTCATAACTCAAAAACTCTTTCACACAAACCTGTCAAATTTGGTTCATATATTGAGACTTGCGAGATAAATATGTGTTCCAAATTTCATAAACATATCTCAAACGGTTATTTAGATATTAATGTCCAAAAATCGTCATTTTTATCATGATCAACTATAGATCAAAATTATTACCCACTTCCAGATGACCTAGGAAGTTCAAATTTGGCATGCAGATAGGTAATTAGGTGAATATAAAGGAAAAAATCTGAAACTGGTAAATTGTTATCATTTTACTACAATTTTTCACTTTAATTGATTATATTTCAACTTATACTGGACGAATACTAAAATTCTATGAAAACGTCGATAGCCACCAATTGACATTGATCCCTGGCGAAATATCTCATCTTGTACTGGACGGAAAGTAATATTGTATGAAAACGTCGATCATTACCAATTTACGTTGACCCCTTCACATCAGTGTCGATAACTAGCAAACTTCAAATATTGCATTGAGCGGTAAACACTAGTTGCTATAATTTAGATTCTGTCTAAAATATACTCGTAAAAAAAACCTATTAACTGAGATTTGGTATTAATTATTGTTTCAATATTTAGCGCACATCGATAGTGTAAAATCATTATTTTTATAAATAATTATTAAATAATAGGCATTTTGGTATAGGGCGCCGCGGCGGCGCCGTGTGGGAGCGGTGCGATAAAACTCAATGTTTTGTTTCTCGATATCTAACCTATAAGGTTGCGATTTATGCTACGAAATTCATAGCTTTCTTAAATTATACTTATATATTTGTGGTTATATTATTATTACATTATTTTAGTAAATACGTATAGTATAGACAATAGTTTAAACTAAAAATTAATAACAATTTTAGTATAGTTATAAGTAGGAATGTATAGTTAACTCGAGAATGAGAACTCATTGGTAACAAATTGTTTCCTTGAGAATTCAATAGATAACAGTCAATTTGTTACATAATCGTCTTTACTTTCGATTTATAACGTGTCAATACGAAGTTTCAGATATTAAATAATGTATATGTTGAAAGAGAACAATTCCGTATTTGCTTAACATATGCTATTACTATCCACAAATCACAAGGCCTTAGTTTTGGCAGTCCTCTTCTCAACATAGGCTCCTCTATATTTAATAAAGGGCAGGTTTACTTTGGACTCTCCAGACTTAAAACCTTAGATGGAGTACGTCTTAACAATTTAGATCCAAGTCACGAGAGCTCTATTGTAGAGTACAACCATCTGTGGACGTTATACCGCCCCGATTTGCCCAAAAATTCCTGATTCTGAATTGGCATTGCACTTGAACATTTAAAAGTTACAAGAAAATATAGAAAATAACACAAAAAAAAGACAATTATACCCCGTAAATATACGAAAATACAGTAATTTATCAAAAATAATTTGGTATTAATTTAGTTATAAATAAGTACCTCGTATAATTTATGTACAAAAAGTAATGATATCCCATCAAAAACATAAATGTGAAATGATAACCGAGTCTAATATTATGATATATGCCTTGATACTTCTACGACAAAAGAGATATCTAAATGGGTGCCAAGTTCAATGGTCTGTCCTGAAATGTATTTATAACAATATAAAATATCATTTCTTCTTATAACTTAGGATAATATACTGTAGCCTAAGGTCTAACTTGGCACCCATTTAGATCTCATCTCTTTTGTCGTAGAAGTCAACAATCAAGGCATATATCATAATATTAAACTCGGCTATCATTTCACATTTATGTTTTTGATGGGATATAGGAATTACACATATATGCTATAAATCATATGTGAAACCGCGAGCACAGCTAGTTTATCATATATGTCATTTTAGTTCTATATTTTTTTATTATATGTATAGATGTTTAATATCTTTTTATTATAGGTTCTAGCGTTCACGGACGGTGAAACGGTGTCACTGCTGCCCCCAGCGCAGGATCACAAGCGGGTCGGGGACGGGGACACCGGCCCCAACACGGGGGGCATGGGGGCGTACAGCCCGTGCCCCCTCATCACCCCCGACCAGCTGGCGGATGTCAAGGACCAAGTTCTGCAGCGGGCCGTCGACGGGTTGAAGGCCGAGGGGATTAAATATGTCGGTGAGTTGTAACTATTCAATTAACCAACTTAAAAATAAGGACACTCTATTCATTAGTCAATACCAATGATTCCCAAAGTGGTCTATATCGACCCCCAAGGGTCCATGACAAACTGCAAGGGATCTACGACAGCGGTCGTCTTGTTGTTTTTACTTTATGTTTTTAACACTAAACTTTACTACAATTTACAAAAAAATCAATAGGTACCAGGTAAGAATAGGGGGTCTACCCAAAACCGAAAAATAGGGCAAGGGGTCTACGACACAAAAAAGTTTGGGATCCTCTGATCTATACTAAGTGCGCTGTAGCATGGTGCGGGTGACAGTTGACTTTATTTGTAAACTAGAACATTCTGGCTGGGTTGAATTTAAGTTACTACAGTTATTAATGATACTAAGTCATAATTTGTAAAGCAACTAAAATACTAAGTAACCCGCACCATGTTACAGAGCACATGGTATAGTTAGAGGAAGTAAAAAATGTAGTATGGAAATTACCTATTTGTTTAATGACAATGATAACTTCAAACATGTTGTTTTTTGTATTGCTCTGGGTGTTTTCTATCCTTAATATGTATGTATTTACAAAACAATGTATCTACATATGTATTTCTTTCAGTCGTCTAGTACACAAGCTCTGCTTAGCTTGAGACTAGATGACGCTGTGGATATTATTGTTATTGGTATAAAACTATTAACCTAGTTTGTATTTGTTATGACAATGGACCGGTGCCCCGTCTGCGCTCATGTTGAGGATGATAAGTTGAGCATGCAATTAGGTAAATTAGTATTCGTGGCAAATTCTTCAATCATAGGTGTTAACCAGAATCAGAATTTCATTGCTAGCAACCGGGACTGGTTGCTAGCTATAAAATGTTGAAAAAAAATATTATCTCTCCCCCCTACAAGTACTATTAGTATGCGAATAAAGTAGCGGATAACGACTATTCAATATTTCACTCTATTATCAAAGTTGCAAGGTTACAATTACTGTGTGATATCAACAAAGACATTTATTTTCCTTTCCAAGGAAACGGGGACCTTTATACCCAATAAAACTTGATAGTGTACACAGACGGCCCCGACGAGTAATTGTAATTAATTGTTGCTTTCATCTTATGCTGACTTTACACGGATGACGTTTGTAAAGGAAGATAATGGAATGGTGCACTCGCCTGCGCTAACAGTATATGCTGGCGGGACACCTGTGGATGATGATGATGAGTGTGATTCAGGTTCTTAGCCCATAATGGTTTCCAGGGGGAACCTCGTGACTCTATCTGACATAGTATGTACATTGCTAGCAAGAGAGTTATTAATCCACATTTTTTTAGGGATTATAATGGAATGGTGCACCCGCCTGCACTAACGGTATACGCTGGCGGGGCACCAGTGGAGCTACGCTGACTGATCTGACCTCATATGATAAATATGAGGTCAGATCAGTCAGCGTAGTAATCAAGCAGCGTAGTCAAATTCACTATGAATTTATCAAGATGGTTTCCAGATAGAACCGCATAGAGGTCAACCTGGTTTTCCAACAATGGGGTTATTAGTCCACATTACTAACAATCCCCTTCCCTCTCTCACTTGTCGGTTAGTCCACACGTTGATAAACTCAAAACAAACCTCGGTAGTCTAGTAGTTTAGCACACGGCTTTACTATCAATTATCGCGGATTCTTCTCATAGTAGAAAATGGTAAATGTAATCCTTGAGAAGGCGGTAAACTCGCCACCTGACTCGTTAGAATCAATTTTATCGGCAGTTGACACCCAGACCAATACGAACAATCATAGTCACGAATACAAATGTTTGTACCGTGGGACAATTGAACCCGCGACCATCGAAAGTAAGATAGCATGCTGTACCTTACTTTTAAAAACTATTGTTTTATATTTTTAAGTAGTTAATCTAGTAATGTTATAAACGCGAAAGTTTGTGAATATGGATGGATGATACTCTTTCACGCAAAAGCTACTGAACGGATTTTAATGAATCTTTACAGTGATATAGCTTATACATCAGAATAACATAGGCTATAAATTTCACGCAGGTGAAACCGCGGGTACAGCTAGTAATTAATCATTTTAGCCCAAAATTATTACCTTTGTTGTAAGTTGGAATAATTATTAAATTTTAAATGTTATCCCTCGTTAATAAGGCAAAGAAAAGATATTTAAAAATTTGCTGTAGATTGTACGTCAGTTCAAAGTTATATCGCTCATTCGATCAAGACTTCATACAAAATGTACGTTTATTTCATTTTTGTGAGGTTGTTTTGTGAAATCATATATATATATATATTACCTATATAGACTTTGGATAAATTTGTCGCGCGCCGTCGTGCTTCTGACTGGGTACCAATGTTATCCTATATACTTTGGATAAAGTGTTCCTAATGTTCTTTCAAAGCGGCTTGCTTTGAAAGCAGTTTTTTGGTTAGTGAGATGTTTAAGTCCCCTTAAGGTATAGTCAAATCTCACTCCATCTTACGTTGGAGAGTGGGAGGGGGGGAGGGGGGGGACAGAAAATTCTAAAAAACACTTTATGGAGGTATAAACACCTTATAGGGTTAAGATTAGGCAGTGAACTTATAGGACAGGAGGTATGATATCTTAATCAACTGGAATTGCAACGCATAAGTGGGTGTTTTCAATGGATGCTAATGGAAGGGTACACCCGTCTGCGCTATCGATATACCCTAGCGGGCACTAGTGGAGGATGATAGGATGAGCATGAAGTCAGGTCAATTAGCCGTCGTGAGAAATTCGCCAGGCATCTGTCATGATGGTTTCCAGGGGGAACCGCGTTGAAGTCAACCAGACATAGTAATTTGATAGAATTGGGATCATTAGTCTTCATTCCTACCAATCCTGTTCCCCCAAAACGTATAAATGGTATAATAATAATAGTATCCGGACAATTAACACAGCGCCATCTAGTCCCAAGTTAAGGTAGCTAAAGCTCGTGTTATGGGTACTAGATTACTGATACAAATACATTGATTTTTTTCGTAAAGACATACATAACACCCAGCAGACCTATACTAATAATTATACTCATGAATACAAATGTTTGTGCCGCGCGAGGACTCAAACCCGCGATCGTCAGAAGTAAGGCAGTGTGCTGAACTGCTTGACCACCGAGGCTATCATCGAAGTGGTATCCAGTTCGTCATGTGTTAACGTGATGTCTGGACTGCTGTTCATGTATATAGGCGACGGTGACTATTTACCATCAGGCCCGTCAGTTTGTTTGCTATTACGATTACATAAAATTATTCGCTATAATTTATCTTTGAATATACACAACTTACAAAGTTATGAGTACGCATGCGTACTCGGAGTGACCCACTAGTTCATAATGTAGAAGCTACCAACAAAAAACATCGCTACAATCTTACTTTCGGAATCTAATTACGTCATACCGCCTACAGAGATACGTGGAGACGCCCTTTAACCTACAATTGTTTGTTTGCCTTATTTACACCACCACATTTGAGCAGATAAACAGAGATAAAGCAACGCAAACACGTATTTTCAGTTAAATTAGTCGCCACTCCGATAATGGACCCTGTTGTCATGGTATTTAGTGTGTTATTCAATTGTCTACATAGGGTGATGAGAGTTCAGCAAATGATTTCAGTTGTTGCTTCTGTATATTGACGATTATACTGAGATAACATTAATGATTTAATACTAATTTATATACGCAATCAATCATTTGAAGTACTAATCTGTATTAGGATGCATCTGTTATAATGCAGTTAGATGCAGTTTGTGATTTTATATATGCATTGTTGAAATAACTTTACATTACTCCCTATATTCTTAAGGCACTATGGTTTATAACCAACTCGGAGATCCATCATTTCTCAAATTTACCCACAGTACGGCCGACACATTCGACAGCCTGTGTGGTCTAGCGGGTTCGATTCTTCGCACGGTGCAAACATTTGTATTCATTGTTGTTTTGAGTACAAAAAAATGTATTTATTGTTTGTATCAAGGTCTCGTGGCGCCATGTTTTGTGCTTATTTATTTATTGTATTTACATATAAAAAAAATATTAAGTATTTATATCAGTTGTCTAGTACACAGAACACAATCTTTGTTTACCGTGGGACTAGATGGCGCTGTGTTAATTGACCATGGTTATGTATTATTTATTTAGTTCGAGAGTAGCTTGCTAGCAACTCAAAATATAAGGCTCGGCTGAGTGTCCGTTCTAATAACCTAGCCCAGAGGTTACTCATTGACAACCCCCCAAAACGTCCGTTATGTATTCATTGCATCATGTTAATTGTCAAGGGACTGTAGACTTATTTCATTTATTGTTTATGTACATCAGATTTAAAATGTTTGTTTTATGATTGTCATTTACCAACCAATCCATTTATAGACTCAAGGGTAGACTTGTCATTTTATCATTTACAGTCAACTCGCTTATAGTATACGATGATTACGGACATACAAGGAACAAAAATAAATTCTTTAAATACCATTAACCGAAAAAAATTTTGAAAAAGTCGTCTCCGTGGGTTCTTTAGTCTCCTATTTAAGCCGCCATGCAGATCAGCTGTTTCGGTTGAAGGATAGATTAGGCAGTAACATTACGATTAAAGATGATATCTTACTCTTCCGGAATTAGACACGAGTGGTATCACGGTATCATCACATGATAACGTGATGTGATAGTACGCTGTTCATGTATAGGCGACGGTTACCGCCTTATCTTCAGGTGGATCGTCATGTCCGTTTCTTTGTTCGTAGTTCGTTTGTTGATGAACTGAGATTAGCGCGTTCAATCAAACAAGCTCTTGAAATTTTTCCTTTATATTTAGTACCAGTCCCTTATATTTAGTACTATTTAGACTCGCAACTTTGTCTGCATCACACTTACTTGATATTTATCATTATATTTCGCCCAAATTACATAATATCTTTTTAAATTATATTACTATATCTTTTTAAATTATATTACTATACTACTTGTGCCCGCGGTGTTACACCGGTATGAAATTTATAGCCTATATGTTATTATGATGTATAAGCTATAATACTGTAAAGTTTCATGAAAATCCGTTCAGTAGTTCTGGCATGAAAAAGTAACTAACATCCATCTATCCATTTATACTCACAAACTTTCGCGTTTATAACATTAGTAAAATATATGGCTTAGAAATTTAAATGAAAATCTCCAACGTTATATTATTGCAAAAATTGGCAATTTGTGGAGAGATAAATCATCATACAAGTTACAATGTTACAGGTATCCTATACGCCGGCCTGATGGTCACCAAGGCGGGACCGATGACCCTGGAGTTCAACTGCCGCTTCGGGGACCCGGAGACCCAAGTGCTGATGACGCTGCTCGAGTCGGACCTTTACAGCATCATGAAAGTAAGACCTTGAATTATATATCTGAAAGGAAAGTTGAGTATTGTTTCGAATCTTCGGTAGTGTCTGCATGAGACCAGTTATGATCCACGGATCCCCAAGGGTGTACTAAGATTGGGGTAGTTAACAGGGTAGGGAGTTGACAGTTTTGAAATATGTCTAAAGCCCTTTTTATATTAACTTTGCAGGCTTGCGTCAACGGGACACTGAAGCAACAACAAGTAACTTGGAACACTAAACTGTCGGCAGTTGGCGTTGTAATTGCATCTAAAGGATATCCAGAAACGTACACTAAGGGCTGCGTTATAAGCGGTAAGTCGTTTGTATTATCAAATTTGACGGCCTGAATCAAAATTAAGTCATTCTATCAAATAATTAATTGATTTCTTAAATTTTGTTTGACTTTTTATATTTAAAGTTTAAATTATATAAAAATGTGCCGAGTCTAAATAACAGAATAAAGGTAAGGCAATGGTGAAATGATGCAAATACTCATATTTTATTGTTAGATGAGAGAGAATTACCTATTTTTATTATAGAACATTTTGATTCAATCACCACTTAGGTACTTGCACACCAATCACTCACGATTGCGAGCGCTAGTAAGCGATTGCATTTTACAGTTTTTTTTTGTCTTTATTTTCTCTCGCGTGATAGCGTATGTTTTATGTTAATTTTTATTCTATAGATTTTATTTTCTAATGATACGTTTAAGATTTATAAATCGTCTTTCACGTTCCGTTTGTTTCCATTTACATTTCCATATGATTGCAATCACATGAAACGTACACGCTGTGAAAGCCGTGTGAAAGAGTGTACGTATAAAGGCAGCTAATTACATAATTATTTATTTCTGCGTTAAAGCGGATTCACTCGTGTAAGGCAGCCTAAAGCCGCTTCCGCGTAAAAAAACGTATGTGTTTACGTAACGTATAATACACGCTGTGAAAGCCATCCCCGCGTAAAAAAGTGTATGTGTAAATTTACACGATCTTTCATTCCTGCGTGTAAGTCGATTTACGCGTGTAAGCTAATGTATAGTTAACGGGGTTTGTCGGCAGGTCTGAGCCAGGTGCAGGCGATGCCGGGGCTGGTGGTGTTCCAGAGCGGCGTGGCGCGCGGCGCCAACGGCTCGCTGGTGACTCGGGGCGGCCGCGTGGTGGTGGTGGCGGCGCGGGCGGCCTCCCTGCGCGCCGCCGCCGCCGCCGCCACCGCCGCCGCCTCCGTCATAGACTTCCCCGGCGCGCACCACCGCAAGGACATCGCGCACAGAGCCTTCTCCAAGTACGTCTCTCTGCTCACCGCAATTTTTTTTCATCTTCAGAAAACTTTAAAAAAACGCTCCCCGCACCGAACCTTCGCCACGTAGGTCTCTCTGTTCACCGCAAATGTTTTTCATCTTGAGAAAACTTAAAAAAAACTCTCCGCACCGAACCTTCTCCAAGTAGGTCTCTCTGTTCACCACAGATATTTTTTATTTTGAGAAAACTTTATAATAACGCTCCCCGCGCCGAACCTTCTCCAAGTAGGTCTCTCTGCTCACCGCAAATGTTTTTCATCTTGAGAAAACTTCAAAAAAACTCTCCCCGCCCCGAACCTTCTCCAAGTAGGTCTCTCTACTCACTATTTTTAACTATTTTTTTTATTATATGGAAATCTTCAACCCCCTCCCCTACGCCCTACCTCCCTAGAAGGGTGACGAAGGGGTGTGTGGGATTTTTATCCACTATCCACACGGTGTATCTACGAACGTCATTGCCAGTCACGAGGGCACTTCTCCATAGGTCTCTCTGCGACTACAAATGTTTTTTATCTTGTAGATGGTATAAGGTAGGCCTTATACCACCTGGCCTCTGGTCATCTGGTGGTTAGAGCGACCTATTTCAACCTTCTCTGTTTTAAAACCTTGTGGGTACACCCGCATACCTCCAGTAACTATTTTTCACTAGCAATTAAGATATATATATATATATATATATATATATATATATATATATTGGAAACATCTCACAATATTTTTATAATATAGCCATCCTCAATGTGCGATGGTCACAAATTCGATTCTCACATGACACATATATTAATTAGTATTTATGAGTAAACATGGTTGTATAGTGTGAGTATTATCTATATAAATTGAGTATGGCGATCCTATAATACGAGTGTGTACTCTCTCACTTAATTTAGATCTAAATAGCTCAGTATTATATGCATACTTAGGTTTTATGAACCATTAATAAGAAAAAAATGTTGTCTATCTATCAAAATGTTACAATAATGAAATAGTTTTAAAATTGTTAGTATATTATTATTTTTCACTACATTTCATCTTATGTATATATATATATATATATACCGCTGTCTAGGTTAAATCCATCACACAATATTTTTTATTACATGATAAGATCGATATTGTTAAACATTCTACATACACATATATTAATTAGTATTTATGAGTAAACATGGTTGTATAGTGTGAGTATTATCTATATAAATTGAGTATGGCGATCCTATAATACGAGTCTACTCTCTCCTTAATTTAGATCTAAATAGCTCAGTATTATATGCATACTTAGGTTTTATGAACCATTAATAAGAAAAAAATGTTGTCTATCTATCAAAATGTTACAATAATGAAATAGTAAAATGTTAGTATATTATTATTTGTGACTACATCTTCATCTTAACGACTCATTAACCTTTTACCGCTGTCTAGGTTAAATCCACTCCAAAGGCATGAAATTTATTACATGATTGATATTGATAAACATTTACATACACATCCTCATATTCATAGTCAAACCTGTAATAAACCTGGTAATAATAAAGAAAAGGACAAAGCAGTTCAATAACTGTTTTGTCCTTTTCTTTCGTTATATTCATTTACTTTAAACGAAGGAAACAGATGCATTATTTTTTGAGTTATGATGTTAGAGTGTAATTCGATTGTTTTGACTTATCACTCACAAATACTGCCAATATATTGTGACCTTGGTATTACGACACTCGTTTTGCTACTACCAGTATCTCACATAGGTTTTTAGTTTATTAATATATTTGAACGAGTTTTAACATGAATAATTTTATGGTAAATAAAGGGATTTACCTCTCTCGACGTTTCGACTAGATTGCACTAGTTGTGGTCACGAGCTAACTGGAATAACAATGAATGTATAAGTTGAAGTGCCGGCAGTTTGTTAAACTACCATCATTAGGTTGTCCTTTATCTACCATAACTTATTCGTATTAAAATCCGTTAAACTGTATTAATAACTAGTTGACCCGCGCAACTTCGTCTGCGTTTAATTTCCACGCCTTTTGCAATATTTTTCATTGCAGCTCCGCTCCTATTTGTCGTAGCGTAATGTTATATAGCTTAAAAGGTTTCTCTATAAATAGACTATCTAACACAAAAAGAATTTTTCAATTCGAACTAGTAGTTCCTGAGATTAGCGCGTTAAAACAAACAAACTCCTCAGGTTTATAATATTTGTATAGATGTGTATTAAACGTGAAAGTATAAAAATAAGGTTTTTGCTTTACTTGTATTAGAACCTTATTTATTATTCAGTCTTCGTTATTCTGACACATTGATCGTTTTGTTTCAGAGGGTTCGATTGATGGCTGATAAATTCTCATACCATAGACATTCCATGATTCCATTTTTTTTTAATAAATCACACCTTTGTCCTAGTTTGCCTAAGCAGGAATGAATCGGTAAGGAATCTTAAAAATTAATCGAATATAAATGTTTTGTGGCTTTTCGTATTGTTGTTGTTACATTTCTGTTGTCTATTCCCAAGGTATATAATATTTCTTCAAATCATGAATCTCATTTTGTTATTATTTTTTGTTTAATAAATATCCTGTGCTTTATTTATGTTTTTCATTTGCATTTCCATGTTCATACTTGTCTCAGCATGTCGCACCAATTAAACATTTATAGCACTACTATAATAAAAGTTAAGTTATTGTTAAACGTGTTGATTAGGGATTATGTTTTGTTAAGTGGGCTATATAAGATCCGAATTTTTGTTTATTTATTTTGTTTTGTAGTCTATTTAAAAGATAGTAAAAAAAACAATTATGTTCATGATTATTATATTCATGGGTATCATTTTTGCTGCTTTCTTTGTATGTTCTTGTAGATATTTACAAAAAAAGTGTAATAAGTGTTAGTATCCATGGTACAAGCTCCGCTTAGTGAGGCACTAGATGGCGCTCTATGTATTGTTAATAATATCTTTTAAATGCTTATATATTAAAAAAAAATACTACTATCCATTTCCATCATATCACTTCCGGTACGAAAAACCTTATTATAATCGGTCTATTATTTAGATAGTACGATGCCACAGATAGGCACAAATAGACAGACACTAAAATTTGTTATTAAGAATACGCGCAGATTTTAAAATAGTCTTCGTTAAAAAAAAATATTTATTTCGTGTGACTTTTGCAAAAGTCTCACAGTCATTATATTGTTCTTGGGAATAAATATATATATATATATATAATGGCCTATGCGTCTATTATAGACGATTTATGGCGTAATGGTCCGTGAACAGCTTTTTTCGTGGCTGTATAAACCGATACGAGAACGGCATGGCCTACCACAGGCCCGGCAAGGGAAACTATTGGCAGTAGTGTGTACTGAGCCGCCTAGGTGGCGCTTCCGTCTCTTGTCAGCAAGCCTTTGAAGCCAGGCATCATCGCAAACCCTTCGACCCTCCATTACGCGTTTGCGCCAATCTGATTTATTGGTTGCGAGCTTTTCCCAGCTACGGTGGTCTATTTGAAATGTGGCCATGTCACGTTTGGCGCAATCCTTAAAGCGAAGCAAAGGGAATAAATACATACTTCATATTCAGGTACATTTTGAGCATGCAATTTTAGACAATTATATGTGCTAACTCTTGTAATATTTCTATCAACACGCGGCACCCTTCCATTTGTATCCACTTAATTTAGACTTAACTGCTATAAAGTTAGTCCACGTTACTACTCCGCGATGAATGTACAACATGTATACTTATGTTAGATATATCAACTCTATGTACTAGTAAAAGTATGTATTATAATAAAATAACAACTATATAACATTAATTTAACTAGGTCTCTAACACAATTCACTTTAGCAATTAAAATACAACCAGCACATCCTGTGCTCAAAGACCGAATGCCGCGGCCTACAAAAACCCTCTCTTTTATACAGAGAAGATATGAGTGGGGGTTATATGCAACTAGTTTAACGATAACGAGTAATAATAAAACTACCTTCTTTTAATATAAAATATCAGATTTTTCGACAATATCGATGTGAACCCTAACACTAATAAGCCATGTAGTACACTATTAAATGAACCTACTAATGTAGTTCAATTATTACACCTGCATACACATTAGCTAGATACTTCAGAAAATAAATATATTAAGTAAATATAACGCTACAGTGATAAGGTGATAACCATTACGCTACATACACTTAAAAATCATAAGGTCCTAAGGGTACTATAAACCAAAACACCATACTCATGTATCTGTAAGTTTAATTGTAATATAAAGTATGTATAAATAAATAATAATGTTTCTACAAAACCAAACAAGCGAGTTTTAAATTTGTCACAGCGCCATCTATTGGCGTTGCAAGCAAACCATAATATTATATTACCGCTAGAAGACCTCGGTGGTCTAGCGGTCTAGCACACCGCTTTACGACCGATGGTCGCGGGTCCTCGCACGGCACAAACATTTGTATTCATGAGTATGATTGTTTATATCGGTCTGGGTGTTTTCTATGTATAATATTTATGTATTTACAAATATATATATATGTATCTGTTATCTAGTACCCATAACACAAGCTTTAACTAGCTTAACTTGGGTCTAGATGGCGCTGTGTGAATTGTCCTGAGATTATTATTATAATTATTGACATACTTTTTTAACTCTAACATAAAAATAATTATTACTGTATTCATCTCCTCCGATCGATCTCCATCCAATTCAAACAGGGATCGAAATTACGACGGCGTAAGCGCAAGTTCGAACCCCTAACAGTGCCCTCAGCCTAAAGTCGTATCTGTCAGGTGGGAGTTAGCTTTTAGCCGTTTCATAAGTCCTTCCTCGGGTTTAGAGCGCTATCTGCTCTCGCCTCCTATCAACCGGTGAAGCTGTAAAGGCCAGCTGCGGCCAGCATTAGAGTAGTCCGAAAAAAATACTGTATTCATATTCATAATTCGTCTCATATATCCAAGCTGAGAATGGAGACTCTTGACTCCTCCTTTATATAACTATGGTCCATGAACTCCATTTTTTTTTACTTTACAATAAGAGAATACAAACAAAAAATTTGTTACCAGAATCAACGGTCTGTCATACTTGCAAAGTGGAGTGGATATTGATGCTGCAGCGACACTGGTCCGTGAAATAGAACCACTAGCAACTGCCACCCATAGACGAGGAGTTTTGGGTCGGTTGGGGTGCTACAGTGGGTTGTTCCAGTTGTCCGCCATGGACCCCAGCTTGAAGGACCCCGTGCTCGTACAGGGAACTGATGGGGTCGGCACCAAACTGAAGGTAATATTATATTTATCTGACAGCCTTGATGGTCTAGCGGTTTAGCCGCTTTCCTCCTAATGGTCATGGGTTTGATTCCTCGAAAAGTACAAACATTTGTATTCATGAGTATGTTTGTTTGTATCTGGTTGTTTTCTATGTATATTATGTATGTATTTACAATAATAAAATGTATATAATTATTTATATCAGTTGTCTGGTACCCATAATACATGCTCTATTTAACATGAGCTAGATGACGCTGTATGTTTTTTTTTAATGGATGATAATGGAATGGTTCCCCCGCTTGCGCTACCATTTTGCGATGATGGGGCACTAGTGAAGGATAATATGATTAGCATGATCAGGTCAGTTAGCCCATCGTGGTAAATTCACCATGAATTTATCACGATGGTTTTTAGGGTACTATGTAAGAGTATACATGGTATATTGTCAGTAATGGGGTTATTGGTTCACATTACCAACAATCCCCTAACCCCGAATTTTTAGTGAATGGGTGCTGTGTGTATTTCTCCATGGATATTATCATTAAATACTTAATCCTCGCACTAGATCACTGAGGCCGTCTTTGTTGACCGTTCAGCCGTTCTGTGCTAACAAGTTATTTCATTATTCTGTTCTCAGATCGCTGAAATAATGAACAAATACGACACCCTAGGCCAAGATCTGGTGGCGATGTGCGTTAACGATATCCTATGCGCCGGCGCCGAGCCTTTCGCGTTCTTAGACTATATGGCCTGCGGACGGCTGCAGGTCGATGTTGCTACCACCATCGTCCGCGGCATCGCTGATGCTTGCATGTTGTCCGGATGTGCTCTCTTGGGTAAGTAATAAAGTTCAAAATTCTGTGATCTAGCTGTAAGATATTTGGTGAAATGTACGCATTTGTTTATTTCGTAATGAAAATTGATCTCCGTGATCTTAGTATTATGCTTGAGTTTGTATTGTATGACCCGAAAATTAAAGCTACCTAACGATATCTCAACACGGTTTAACCTGCCTGGTAATAGATTCTGAGTGTTAGGATTTTCATTCAAGAGTACATCGTCATATGTTAGTCGAAGACGCGAGATCTCCGCCATTTTGAAATAGTAAATAATTATTATAATGACGCATTAAAGCACGCACAATTGAGAACGCGTGCGTAGACAACGGACGCGGTTTTGTTCGTTCTCTTCGTTACATTATTTTCTGCGTGAAAACCAATTTACGCTTAAACACGTTTACACGTGCGCTCTGCACGTGTGTAGACAGCTATTGAGCCGTGCTATGTACAAAAGTATTAATATCTCTCCCGGCTTTATACCATCTTAATTGGAGTCGGCTCTCCTAATCATGCGTCTACAGAGTATTCATTTCTGGATCGTCATTGGGTCTAAATTTTCACGAGTCTTCCACGCTTCTTTTGTTTCTGACCGTTTAGTACCTTTTTAATCATAGTTATCTTTTTAGTCTTCTGTCCTTCTCATGTCATGAGACCGTTCCGACGTAATCTGGACTCAGTCCTATCCTGGATAGGTCTTAATTTCAATGTTCCTCGCAAGTAATGGTTTGGCACCTCGTCTACAAGCGTAACTCCAGCAGACCATTTGAGCCTCCGCTTTTTGGTCACATGTATCTTATCTGATTGTTGCTTCTTTAGCAACCAGCTCTGTATGTACTTATTAATACCATGGGGAAATTAAAAAAAGGAATGTATGCTGGGAGACATGGTAGAAGTGAAACATTAACGGACAAGTTGGCTGAGTACGCGCTGTCGAGACTAGCGGACTAACCGCTCTCCACCCCCCGCGCGCCTGGCCTCTTTCCGCCGTCACCGGCCTTTCTTTCTCTCACAACGCGATATATCCCCTCCACGCGACGATGACGCTTTTTCGTGACTAAAAATCCTTATACGGGGTGTTTCTATTTACGGGGTGTGTCTATATAGAAGTATCACTTTAAAAATAAATATCGTCGGTGGGTGGTAGGTGGCGAGACGGCGGAGATGCCGTCGATGTACGAGGCGGGCAAGTACGACCTCGCGGGGTTCGCGGTGGGCGTCGTCGACGGCGCGCGGCAACTACCGCGCGCACAGCGCATGCGCACGGCGGACCTCGTGCTGGGGCTGCCGGCCACCGGCGCACACAGCAACGGGTACAGCCTCGTGCAGAAGATCATGGCCGAGAACAACCTGCTGCCGCAGTCCATTGGGACCTCGTGCTGGGGCTGCCGGCCACCGGCGCACACAGCAACGGGTACAGCCTCGTGCAGAAGATCATGGCCGAGAACAACCTGCGGTGAGTGTGCCGCAGTCCATTGTACGGACCTCGTGCCGGGGCTGCCGGCCACCGGCGCACACAGCAACGGGTACAGCCTCGTGCAGAAGATCATGGCCGAGAACAACCTGCGGTGAGTGTGCCGCAGTCCATTGTACGGACCTCGTGCTGGGGCTGCCGGCCACCGGCGCACACAGCAACGGGTACAGCCTCGTGCAGAAGATCATGGCCGAGAACAACCTGCGGTGAGTGTGCCGCAGTCCATTGTACGGACCTCGTGCCGGGGCTGCCGGCCACCGGCGCACACAGCAACGGGTACAGCCTCGTGCAGAAGATCATGGCCGAGAACAACCTGCGGTGAGTGTGCCGCAGTCCATTGTACGGACCTCGTGCCGGGGCTGCCGGCCACCGGCGCACACAGCAACGGGTACAGCCTCGTGCAGAAGATCATCCAACGGGTACAGCCTCGTGCAGAAGATCATGGCCGAGAACAACCTGCGGTGAGTGTGCCGCAGTCCATTGTACGGACCTCGTGCCGGGGCTGCCGGCCACCGGCGCACACAGCAACGGGTACAGCCTCGTGCAGAAGATCATGGCCGAGAACAACCTGCGGTGAGTGTGCCGCAGTCCATTGTACGGACCTCGTGCTGGGGCTGCCGGCCACCGGCGCACACAGCAACGGGTACAGCCTCGTGCAGAAGATCATGGCCGAGAACAACCTGCGGTGAGTGTGCCGCAGTCCATTGTACGGACCTCGTGCACACCTTTACTACAACTAGTAGTCATAGTTTTAAACAAAAAAAAAAATAAAAAAATAGCTAGGATAATAATGCAAGGGCGAAATACTGATGGGTCGCTATTTGAAACAGTATTTCTTTTTTTTTTTTCAGATACACCGATCCAGCCCCTTTTAGCACCAATAACAAATCTCTCGGGGAAGAGTTCCTTACCCCTACCGGGATATACGTGAAAGCCCTATTGCCGGCCATCAAGAAAGATCTAATCAAAGGTCTCGCTCACATCACTGGCGGCGGACTACTCGAGAACATCCCCAGGATACTACCACCACATCTGAAGGTCAAACTGGATGCTACGAAATTTAATATCAAACCTATTTTCGCTTGGCTTCAGGCTAAAGGTAAAGTTCAAAATCTGTTCATTCATTCATAATTTAAGAGCTGTGCTCTTGTCGGTGGAGCTCCCGCCACCTTCCACGATCTTCCATCAGTCCTTTTAGCTGTTGATACGATACGACTCCAACTTTTTCTTTTACTTGCTTGATATAGCTGTGTCTTGGTCTTCCCCTTCCTCTCTTTCCATCTATTTTTCCTTCAATAATGTTGTTAATTAGTTCGTCGTATCGTATCGAGTGCCCCAACATTATGAAGGACATATTTTTTTCTGACGAATGTTGTTGGCCGTGGCTGACAAGAGTTGGTTACTAGTTTACGAAAAACTTTTATTAGACCAATTACAATTATAAAGCCAACCTCATGATCATGCTCACGGTCATACCCACATCATCAATTCAATAGTGTCTGGAAGACCTTTTGCCTCTAGGATTGGTCTTTCTGCTTACAAAAAGTATTAACATGGTTCTCAAAATGTCATATATATATATATAAAAAAAAAACATAATTTTACTTACATTCTGTCAATTTAAGTAAAATGTTTTTTTGTAAGCTTTAGAGTGTCTGGCAGAAATTACTGCCAACATGAGGTTATGGCAGTGTTAATTATCAACATTGTTTAAACATATATAAAAATTAGGACTCGGATTTTAAGAAAAGTAGGTCCTGTTTTTAAGTACTACAGGTACGTTAAAACTGAATCCATGTACTTTTACACAGCATGGGGGTTTTTTATGAAGGGTATGTTAAGGTTTCTTAAGGGTCAGCAACGCGCACGTGACACCCCTGGTGTTTCAGGCGTCCATAGGCTACGGTAACCGTTTACCATTAGATGGCCTGTATGCTTGTTTGCCCCCTACGTGGTATAAATGAAATATACATAACGTACCGATAAACTGACCCTCATCCCGACCTAGCGAGCATAATTTTGAAGTATATACTAAACTACTCTATCCCACCTGTTTTATTATTCAGAAAATAAGTAATATCTAGGAGCCCTGGGATCTTGCTCTATAAGATGCCTCTTATCCTGTAATGTTTTCAGGACAAGTGTCAGAGTACGAGATGTTGCGAACATTCAACTGCGGTGTGGGAATGGTCCTCATAGCGGACCCACAGCACTTGAGCGAACTTCAGCTGCTGGTGGGAGAAGACCTCGCAGTCATCGGCACCGTCGAAGAAATAGGACCCTTAGGTATAGTTGAAAATACTAAAATGCTAAGGGTACTAATAAACTGAAACAGTTTTTAGTGTATACAAAGGTCTTAGGTATAGTTGAGAATACTTAAGTATTAAGGGTACTAATATACTAATACACTTTTTAGTGTATACAACTGTCTTAAGTATAGTTGAGAATACTTAGTTATTAAGGGTACTAATAAACTAATACACTTTTTAGTGTATACAACGGCCTTAAGTATAGTTGAGAATACTTAGGTATTAAGGGTACTAATAAACTAATACACTTTAGTGTATACAACGGTCTTAGGTATAGTTGAAAATACACAATAATAATATTTATTTTGAAATAGAAATATTGGAATCAACCTCCTCGGTAGTCTAGCGATTTAGCACACCGCTTACTTCTGATGGTCATGGTTCGATTTCTCGTACGTTTTCTATATATATTATGTATGTATGTATTTACAAAAAAAAACATATATATGTACATATTTATATTAGTTATCTAGTACCAATAACACGAGCTCTGCTTACCTTGGGACTAGATGGCGCTGCATTAATTTTAAGGAAAAAAAAGGTGATCTTGTGAGCCTGAGTAGTGAGAGTATTATCCGTGTGTTGGCAGGCGGTCCGCAGACGGAGGTATCGGGGTTCCTGTCCGCGCTGAAGCCTCTGGCGGCGACCTGGACCGCGGCCCGGGCTCCGCGCCCGCTCTCCTACAAGGACAGCGGCGTAGACATCGAGGCCGGAGACTCGCTAGTATCGCTCATCAAGCCGCTCGCCAGGTACATATGTACGCACGCATACACACACACACATACTCCTATAGTGTGTGCATTTAAAATTAAATTATATAAATAAATATAATAAATTAGAAACGTTTTACAAAAAATATTGGTTTGTCTATTAGGAATGTAGCTGTATAAGTTTGTTAATTTGGTTGTTTTATTTATTTATTATCATCTGAGGACGCAGTAGTAGTCCAGAGTTTAGTGTTGGGATGTACAGTAGCTATAGATGTGTACGTATCTGCCGGCCGGCCACCGTTTGTGTATATTTCAATCAGTCGCCAAAATACACGTCAACGTCATTTTATTATAATTTCAAAACAAAATTCCACTTCTCCCAAGACAAAATAAATGCAGCCTTAACACAATCTGCATATGGTCGAAATCAACAGTTATGTATGATATAAGCGATGGAAAAGTGGAGCCTCCTAGCACTACTGCACAGGCACAACCGTAGTAAAAATTGAGTTACCTAAATAAAGAATTTAGAATTTGAAAATTCTCGTATCAGAATGTTAATTACCATACTCCTCAAAAAACGAAAATGATTGACCTATTTTTTATGAAATTTTATATGCATATTCAATACAGAGGGAATCGGCTATCTATTTTTCATACCCCTAAGTGATTAACATTTTTTTTTAATAGTTATATTATTATATTATTTTGTAACATTATTTTATTTTTTTGTGTTTATAATGTGGCTTTAAAAATACATATAACCCTAAATGTTCACCCTTCTACAATCAACCCCTCCTTTTTAATAGCGATTTTAATTTATATAGTAAAACAACGTTTGCGGGGTCAGATAGTACATACATACATATGTAGTGGTGTTTTTTTATAATGAATTTGTATAATTGGGATTCAGGTCGACCACGCGGTCAGGTGTGATAGGCGGCCTCGGCGGGTTCGGGGGTTGCTTCCAGTTGAAGGCAATTGAACAAGAGTACAAGGTAATTATATAAATTTATTTACTATATATAAGTAGTCTAATTTAAGTAATTTTTGTGGTAGGTCCAGCATATTAACTTGGTTAAAATATATGTACGCGTATACACGCCTTTGCCTCAAAAATATAAGTTAGGAAATATAAAAATAATATTTTTCAAGAAGTATACTCATGAATACAAATGTTTGTGTCGTATGAAATCGAACCTATGACCGTCAGTAAGGCGGCGATCCATAGGTAGCTGGTTAAGATCCGGCTCGAAGGACCAATTGTTCGGGCTGAATTTATAAAAAGTATCCGATAAATTGAATAAAATAGATACTGATGATAAAATTCGTTAATGATTTTTATGATTACTAAATGTGAACTGACTTTTGGTATGATATGAAATGTTGCGAAATACTGTACGACGCTACAGGCGATGGTCTCTAGACCACTGAGCACGACTAAATTCTTAGAAGTTAAGAATATTTTCTTTTGTTGAAAATAAAAATAATCAGTGCAGTCATAGAGTTTGATACTGAAGATGTGTTGTGGTCGGTTAAAATTTATATTTTCCTCTTGTGAACATCTAAACTCAAACCAACTACAACACTACTGGTATATCGAATCCGCTACAATGATTATTTTTCACTTGTTCACTACTCAGGACCCGGTGCTGGTGCTGGCGGCGGACGGCGTGGGCACGAAGCTGCGGATCGCGCAGAAGATGAACGAGCACGGCACCATCGGCGTGGACCTGGTGGCCATGTGCGTCAACGACATCCTCTGCAACGGCGCCGCGCCGCTCACCTTCCTGGACTACTTCGCGTGCGGGCGGCTGCAGCTGCACGTGGCCGCCGCCGTGGTGGCGGGCGTGGCCGACGGCTGCCGCCACGCCGGCGCCGCCCTCATCGGTACTCTCGCTCACACTCCACTCCTCTCACTCTCTCTCAACGGCGCCGCGCCGCTCACCTTCCTGGACTACTTCGCGTGCGGGCGGCTGCAGCTGCACGTGGCCGCCGCCGTGGTGGCGGGCGTGGCCGACGGCTGCCGCCACGCCGGCGCCGCCCTCATCGGTACTCTCGCTCACACTCCACTCCTCTCACTCTCTCTCAACGGCGCCGCGCCGCTCACCTTCCTGGACTATTTCGCGTGCGGGCGGCTGCAGCTGCACGTGGCCGCCGCCGTGGTGGCGGGCGTGGCCGACGGCTGCCGCCACGCCGGCGCCGCCCTCATCGGTACTCCCCGCTCCACACCTCTCACTCTCTCTCAACGGCGCCGCGCCGCTCACCTTCCTGGACACTTCGCGTGGCGTATGCACGTGGCCGCCGCCGTGGTGGGCTGCCGCCACGCCGGCGCCGCCCTCATCGGTACTCTCGCTCACACTCCACTCCTCTCACTCTCTCTCAACGGCGCCGCGCCGCTCACCTTCCTGGACTACATGGCGTGTGAGCGTTTGCTAGCTAGAGCTAGACTCATCGGTATTCTCGCTGGCACGCTCCACTCCTCTCACTCTCACGTGCTGCATTTGTTTATTTAAATCCTGTGAAATTCTGATACGATAAAGCCAATCTCTACTGACTATATGACGCGGCTGTATTAATGAAGCCTGCCGTACCTGAAAGAAGCTAATAGTGTAATGTCATGGTTCCTCAGGCGGCGAGACGGCGGAGATGCCGGGCATGTACCCGGCGGGCGTGTACGACGTGGCGGGGTTCGCGCTGGGCGTCGTCGAGCGGGACCGCATCCTGCCCAAGATCAACGACATCACGGTACGCACGCTACACACTATACGCTACATAATACGCACGATATGCACAACACTCGCGCTACACACAACACACGTCACGCACGCTACACACTATACACGACACGCACGCAACACACTATACACGACACGCACGCTATGCACAACAAAAAAGAAAAAAACTAATGGTATGGTTGCTCATCAAAATAGCACACATTTTTGTACATGTAAATGACAAAAGAAGTTACACCGAAATTTTTATCTAGTATTGAAAATGTGGAACCGAAACCGTATTTATTATTCTAATGTATATAATATTATTATTATTTATTTTCAGGTTGGCGATATCATAATAGGACTACCGTCCAACGGTGTACACAGCAACGGCTTCAGTTTAATACACAAGCTGATGAAGAAACTTGGTCTCACGCTCGACGACAAAGCACCGTTTAGCAAAGAAGGGCTTACTTTAGGTAAGTCGTGGAATGTAGTTTTTCGTATCAATATTATTATAATCAGAATGTATATATGTTTTATGTAAGGTTATAAAGATTCTTGTAATAATTGGGAAGAGAGAGAGAGCCACAAAATATTATATTACTATACTTTCTAGTATTGTAATACGTTAATTTCTAGTATTGTCTGCCACATCGATCGGAATACAAATACAACTTTGGTCCTTCGAGCCTGATAATTTAAATATTACTAATTTCTGTGGGCAAATAATTTTATATTTTAATAACGTTATATTAACACTGTATTGTTACATTCTGGCAGTCGACACAGGTTTAAGATTCTATAATTGTAGAAAAGTAGGGATTGAGTCGTGACCAAAACTGAGATGACAATTGTGGTGCGCAGGCGAAGAACTGATCAAGCCGACGCGGATCTACGTGCGCAGCGTACTGCCGGCCCTGCGCGGGGGACGAGTCAAGGCGCTGGCGCACATCACCGGCGGCGGACTCCTCGACAACCTGCCGCGCGTCATGCCGCGCTCCGTGCGCGCGCGGCTCAACGCGCACTACTGGCACGTGCACCCCGTACGTACCGAGACAACCTGCCGCGCGTCATGCCGCGCTCCGTGCGCGCGCGGCTCAACGCGCACTACTGGCACGTGCACCCCGTACGTACCGAGACAACCTGCCGCGCGTCATGCCGCGCTCCGTGCGCGCGCGGCTCAACGCGCACTACTGGCACGTGCACCCCCGTACGTACCGAGACAACGCGCACTACTGGCACGTGCACCCCGTACGTACCGAGACAACGCGCACGCGCGTCATGCACCCCGTGCGCGCGCGAGACAACGCGCACTACTGGCACGTGCACCCCGTACGTACCGAGACAACCTGCCGCGCGTCATGCCGCGCTCCGTGCGCGCGCGGCTCAACGCGCACTACTGGCACGTGCACCCCGTACGTACCGAGACAACCTGCCGCGCGTCATGCCGCGCTCCGTGCGCGCGCGGCTCAACGCGCACTACTGGCACGTGCACCCCGTACGTACCGAGACAACCTGCCGCGCGTCATGCCGCGCTCCGTGCGCGCCCGGCTCAACGCGCACTACTGGCACGTGCACCCCGTACGTACCGAGACAACCTGCCGCGCGTCATGCCGCGCTCCGTGCGCGCGCGGCTCAACGCGCACTACGCGCACTACTGGCACGTGCACCCCGTACGTACCGAGACAACCTGCCGCGCGTCATGCCGCGCTCCGTGCGCGCCCGGCTCAACGCGCGCACTACTGGCACGTGCACCCCGTACGTACCGAGACAACCTGCCGCGCGTCATGCCGCGCTCCGTGCGCGCGCGGCTCAACGCGCACTACTGGCACGTGCACCCCGTACGTACCGAGACAACCTGCCGCGCGTCATGCCGCGCTCCGTGCGCGCCCGGCTCAACGCGCACTACTGGCACGTGCACCCCGTACGTACCGAGACAACGCGCACTACTGGCACCTGCACCCCGTACGTACGGACACAACGCGCACTACTGGCACCTGCACCCCGTACGTACCGTCGCCTGATTGCCGCGCTCCGTGCGCGCACGGCTCAACGCGCACGTACTGGTCTGACCCCGTACGTAGCACGTGCACTCCTTGCCGCCGCTACTGTTCCTCTTTCGGTGCGCGCGCGGCTCAATAAATTAGTAATGCAGATCATCCGTACGTTGCGAGTACAAGTGCCGCGCGTCATGCCGCGCTACGTGTAAAATGAAGAAATAATGGTCATATAAATATGTAGATACAAATGCCGTATGCGTATACAGGTGTGCGCGCCCGGCTCAACGCGCACGCAGGTTCACGTGACCGACGACGACATGCCGCGCGACTTTCGCGCTCCGTGCGCGCATCGGCTCAACGCGCACTACTGGCATTGTACCCCGTACGACCGAGACAACCTGCCGCGCGTCATGCCGCGCTCCGTGCGCGCCCGCTCAACGCGTAACGTATTCCGTTATATGGCACTGCCGTTTTTTATACTACGATTGCGCGCCCGGCTCAACGCGCAACTGGCACGTGCACCCCGTACGTACACAGACCCAAGTTAAGCCGCGCGTAAAGCTTGTCCGTGCGCGCCCGGCTCAACGCGCACTACTGGCACGTGCTGATACAAATACATAGATACCTGCCGCGCGTCATTTTTTTTTCCGTGTAAATTCGGCTCAATTATATATAGAAAACACCGTAGTACCGATACAACCTGCCGCAATCATACTCATGAATACAAATGTTTGTGCCGTGCGTACCGAGTGCCGCGGAATCGAACGCGCGCGATCATCGGTCGTAAAGCTGCCGCGTGTACTAGCCCGCTGCGCGGACCAACGCGAGGTCGTCAGTATATTAACATATTAACTGCCGCGCTTTTGCTCGCGGCTTCGCTGCGCGTTAATGTATCAACGCGCCTTTAGGGGTAGAATTAATCAAAATGCCGCCTTTTTTAACGGATGTGCGCGCTACGTCATACGCCATCTACTTGCATGCCAAATTTCATCCCGATCCGTCCAGTGGTTTCAACGCGCACTGTGCGTTGATAGATCACTATGTCAGTCATCTTGCGCGCGAGTCAACGCATATATTTAGATATACACTATATGAATTTGTGACAGACTGCTTGTATGCGCGCGCTGCTTACACAGTTTAGTCTTGTAAGTGCAAGTAAGTAAGTAAGTGCCGCGCGTCATTTATGCGCGCGCATTACAGACAGATATGCACATAACAATAACGCCCCAGTGACAGTAGCGGACACTGCGCTGTAATATGCCTTTTTTCAGTAGGCATGCAAATTTTATTAATAAACCTAATAATTACATATATTAATATTTACATTATAACAATTAGATTAATATTACATATTTAAATTTATAGATTATTACCATTATTACAATTATTATTACTTTATTATTATTTATAAATATTTAGTATGTAATATGAAATAGTCGTCCAGAGAGTAAAAACATGTGTGTCAACAGCCATTGCTTAATTTATTTTTAAAATTATGTATATGTCAATGTTTTTTATATTAGATCTGCGGGTAAAGTGTTATATATTTTGTGTGCCATGTAAAATACATTTTTTTGAAAGAGGGTTAAGGTACTTTTAGGCAACACTAACTTAATTTTTCTGGAGGATCTTACATTATTTTTTATTTGACAGTGGGATGTAAACGTAGATAAATTCTGTTTTACAAGTTATATAATTTTTGTAATCTACTATGTTATATGACTCTGTGCCATAAAGAAAAGTTTTTGCCAATACTTGTAAACGGATGTTGTTGACTCTTGTCCGTATCATAAAAATGTACTGTATATATCGTAATCTTATATATAAAATTCTCATGTCACAGTTTTCGTTCCCATACTCCTCCGAAACGGCTTGACCGATTCTCATGAAGTTTTGTGAGCGTATTGAGTAGATCTGAGAATCAGCCAACATCTGTTTTTCATCCCTCTAAATGTTAGGGGTAGTCCACCCCTAAATTTATTTTTTAATTTTTAGACAAAATTTTTAGTTTTTATTTTTTTATGATACAACATACAAAAATACATACAATCCTAAATTTTCACCCTTCTATCATCAACCCCTATTTTTTATGGCGTTATTAATTTATATGACAAGCTAGTAAAGTAAAAAAATTATGAATGAATGCTTCTTCCAACCAAAACTCCAGACATCACTATTTTGTACCAAGGATATCTCTATTCTATTATATTGTATATTTATAAAACACAGGTGATGAACATAACACGTTCGTTCGGCGCAATGGTCATCGGCAGCATACAAGCTCGTCCGCCCGGCGGCGCTCGTGTCCTCGTCGACAACTTCGCGTCAGCCGTTGAATTCACGCGGCGCATGCCCATGTTGCCCAACAAGAAGGTATTGATGTCACGATATAATGTTAAATTTGTCACACATTAATATATTTATTTCTTATCACCAGTATTATTCACACCACTAACTCATAATCTCCATATAACAAACAAAATCTCTACAATTACAATGTGTAATTGAAATGATCAGTATAAATAAATATGTAATATATTCTAACTTAATTTAAGATAAGATAATTTATGACCAATACCAATATATATATAAAAGAGTCCTAGTGACTATAAATAACGAACTATTGGGAGATGTGTCGACTTCAATAATTAATAAAATAATCTTAAAATTAACATAATAAACGCTGTGCGAGCACAGCGTTCAGCATTCATTCTGGAGATAGAGACGGGTGCGCCTTCTGCCGCGCTCTTTTACTCTACAGTGACGGAAGTTGTAGTGGGGAGAATTTAGTTAAAGTGATTTATTCTATAAATAATGCTAAATATTGATAATTTCCTAAAACTTTATACTGTTTTAAATTTGAAGCGTATAATTAGTAAAAATCACGGGATCTTACCTCATTTTATTTATTTTTAACGCAATAAATATTGAGCATTGATTATTGAACATGTGACCTGCAGGTGGCGGTGCTGGCGTCAGGTAACGGCAGCAACCTGCAGGCGCTGATCGACGCCACCCGCGACCCCGCGCAGTACATGTGCTCCGAGGTGGCGCTGGTCGTCACCAACAAGAAGAACGCCTACGCGCTCAAACGGGCCGAGGAAGCTGGCATACCCACCCTGGTAAGCCCCACACATGCTAATAACATAATAATTAAATAGAATAACATTAAGTAATGAAATCTACTTCAGCAAAATAACAAATAAATCGATAAAAATATAAATTACAGAACATCTATACATATAAATAAAATTGGAGCGTCTGTTTGTAATATTGAAATAACCGTTTTTTACTACATGCATATGAATATATATATATATATACACCAAAATAACATTTTTTACAATTTTTGTCTGTCTGTCTGTTTGTTCTGGCTAATCTCTGAAATGGCTGGACCGATTATGACGGGAATTTTTTTGGCAGATACCTGATGTAATAAATGTGACTTAGGCTACTTTCATTTTAGTAAAATAAAGTTAAATTCCACTCGAACGAAGTCGCGGGAACAGCTAGTATTTAATAAGAATTTAGTCCTTAGAATTTTTGATGCGTTTGATAAAATTATTATGAATAATATAAAAAATATATTCATCAGATATTCAACTACACAAAGTACGAGAGTCGCGAGGAATTCGACCGCGCAATCTCAGCTGCGCTCGAATCTCACAAAATTGACATCGTCTGCCTCGCTGGCTACATGAGGATCCTGTCCGCTGAATTTGTGCAAAGGTAACGTACTATAGTATCTGAGTAAGTTTTAAAAATGATCCTTATCTTCGCCGACAAACTGAGCTTAAATTTAAATCCAAAAATGGATCAACTAATTACTTTTAAAGATAAAATTTGTAATTTTTTGATACGAAGAAGTTTCAGCAGCGTGGAGTGTGTAGCATATGTTTTGTTTTGAGGTATAAGCTATATTATTGTAATTAAAAAAATCATTAAAATCCATTCAGTAGTTTTTGCATGAAAGAGTAATAACCATCCATTCACACTCAAACTTCGCGTATATTATTAATAAGGGAGTTGTAGAAGAAGAAATATTAATAAAGAATGTGGTACATCTAAAACAAATATAAAGCGCCTGTTACTTTAAAATAGCAATTTTTACAATTAGTTGTTTTTGTGTTCACTTATTTTGAAGGCGTTCCGGGTGAGACGCAACGTGACGACGACTGTGAGTAGCAACTTACTATAAGTTGCTACTCACAGTACAAGGTGTGTCTGGTTTGAGATTAGGATCGTTGAGTGGTGATTGGGATAATAATGATGATTGTAACGGTGGTGTCGGTGGTGTGGTGCAGGTGGAAGGGCCGCCTGCTGAACATCCACCCGTCGCTGCTGCCGCGCCACCCCGGCCTCGACGCGCACCAACAGTGCCTCGACGCCGGCGACAGCGAGAGCGGCTGCACCGTGCACTTCGTTGATGTTAGTATACACTATACGCAAACTTTCCATTTTAAATTCAAATTCAAAATATCTTTATTCATGTAAGTCTATTACAGACTCCTGTGATATGTCAAATCTGATGTCAGTTCGGAGCGATTATGAGATGAGAAGAACTGACAAGAAACTTAGTTCATATTCTTTTCAAATAATGTAAATGTGCGTCTGGCTACGTTAACAGTTTTTTTTTTAAGAGATAATGTAATGGTGCACCGCCTGCTCTAACGGTTTACGCTGGCGGGGCACCAGTGGAGGATGATAAGATGAGCATGAGGTCAGGTCAGTTAGCCCATCGTGACAAATTCACCAAGAATTTATCACGATGGTTTCCAGGGGGAACCGCGTGGAAGTCAACCTGACGTGGTATATTGCTAGCAATAAGAGCATCAGTCCGTTACTTTAACAGTTTACGTTGACGGGACACCGGTGGAGGATGATAAGATGAGCATGAGGTCAGGTCAGTTAGCCCATCGTGGCAAATTTACGAGGCAAAATATTATGGTTTTCAATAAGAATAATACGAGTCAATCTGCTAGCAATGTACCACACATTTCTAGCAATGGCGCCGTCGGCCCACATTACGCCTAATATACTTGTAGTGTCCCGGATTTTGTAGTCCAAAGGTAGCAAGAGTGTACTAGTCATATGGTAACTGTGCAGGAGGGCATGGACACGGGCCCCATCGTGCTGCAGGAGCGCGTGGCCGTGGTGCGCGGAGACACGCGCGAGTCCCTGGCCGAGCGCGTGCTGCTCGCAGAACACCGCGCCTACCCGCGCGCGCTCCGCCTGCTGGCCACCGGGCGGGTGCGGCTCTCCGCGCGCGGAGAACTCGTCTGGTACTCCTAGCTGTGCCCCACCCCCCCTCCTCACATCAGCCGCGGACTATCACTGCCGCCGACCAATCGCAAGAGACCTCGTATGACGCCCCCCTCCCCCTACATTAGCACACGTATCTCGCACCTACTTCCACCGTCGAGCACTCGTCTAAGCCGTATTTCGGTTTGAAGAGTGTGAAGAGTGAAACCCCCTCGCATATGCTGCGAGCACACGTACTTACGCATGTACGTCTTAGTCCTCATAAGTGAGTCATGTGGTTACCATCCGTGGTGCCGTTCCTGTATATAAACGTCGGTGGCCACTTTGGACCGTCAGTAAAATTTTCTGCTGTTTAACCCACTTCTGCCTCTGACAGCCTGTTGTTGTTGACGGTAGCAGTGAAATTCTAAGGTACGATGCATAACTGTACTTTAATTCTCAGCAATCGTAAAGCAATAACAATATATCAATTTAATTTCTATCGTTTGAATTGATCAATAATAGATTAAAATAAATATCTTTTCCTAATAGCGATAATACCAGAATAGTCTTTTTAAATTTGTCTAGTTTTTAATCCTTTTCACAGAACAAAGCTCTGGTCATATGTTTTTTTTATAGTAGTGTAAATATTAATAAATATTGTTACTTTTAATAGAATTATGTATGTATTCCAAGAACTTATATAGAAAGGGATTATTTCATTTTGGACTATATCACGATGTCTTTGTAAAATCATTACATAATATAAAACAAAGTCGCTGCCTGTCCGTCCCTCTGTATGCTTAATTAAAACTACACAACGGATTTTGAAGCGGTTTTTTTATAGAGTGATTCTAGAGGAAGGTTTATATATATAAAACATGTACACTCGTACGAAGCCGGGGCGAGTAGCTAGGCTAAGATAAGGCTAGAATGAACAGATTAATACTAATTAATATTTATTAGTAACAGGGTTATGTAATTAACCCTCAGACTGTTTGAAATAATCCCTTTAATTATATAATTGATTTAATAACGAATATTATTGGTGCCATTAATACACTTTTTATTAATAAATAAATCGTCATAATAATTTTATACATTCCAAAATTTTAAGAATATATTTCTTATTAGTATATGGTATTATATATATAAATAATGTGAAAATACTCGAATTATATAAGAAGTATAATTTATAAAGAAAACAATAAGAAAATTGTATAACTGTCGATAACTTTTTAAATAAGACACGGCACGAATTTTTTTTAAAGTAGCTCCTGGTACTTTCTTGGGTGAAAATATACCTAAATACGTACAGCCTTATTTCAGAGACAAGTTATGTAAGTATATATTATAATTATTTAATACATACAAAATTAATTATGATAACACAAACTGTATTATGTTTGGTTACATTTTATAGTTTAGAAATTTACACTGAATCAATTCAAAAGTTAATTACTTTTTAATTGATTCAGTGTTATTCATTTAGATGTCTCTTTCTAAGTATGCCTACATTATAAAAACGTTAAAATTGATTTTCTAACTCTATGGAAAGAAAAGAATACTTTTCAAACATTATCCTTACCATAGATAAAATAATATATATTAACATATACAGGATAAATATTTTAAAATTTTCCAACAATTAATGTAAAAGACATAATTTTCGCATTTAACTACACATCATTTAATATTCTTATACCAATAGGAACTTATATTTCACAATGTATTTTTTTCAAGCTTATGTAAATTTACTTTATATATCTTATAGTTTGTTTTTTAGCAATTATACTGTATTACTGCAAATCAATTAAAATTCTTATTTCAATAGGAACTTATATTTTGCAATGTATAAGTATGTATAAAGTAGTTTTATATGATACAAGTCTATGTAAATCCACTTTATACATCTGATTTATTTATCACATGTTGAATTTTAATGGTAATATTTTTTATATATTATATTAAAATTCCTGTTTACTTCTCCAATTAGGCGAATTGATGATTTGTTTATAATTTTACACTAAGTGTAATATTGTTAATGTTAAAATATAATGCATAAGTTTTTTTAATAAAAGATTTTGTACGTTTTTCTGATGTTTTATTTAATTTATGTTTATCACAGATGCCTTTGTTACTTATTCTTCTTCTTTATTTATAATATTTTTTAATAATGGTGTCTGAACTTAAATGGGGGTGGGGGGGGGGGGGGGAATGGGATTTTGGGTAAAGGAGTTGTGTTCAGAATGGACACACAAAACACGTTTTTATCTTAAGTATAAAATTTATTGGTTCAGTATTTGGTATTGTGTATATATATATAACACATTTATATTTACAAATTATGCAACAATATGTGTTGCCAACATAGTATATAAAAAATGTACTAACAAAACTAAATGTAACAATTGCATTATTTCTAATCACCTCAGTTACTATTTAGGCAAATAGAAATATAAAAATTCAAAAATATATTAGAAGTTTCACGGTAACATGGATAAACACTACCTATTGCTCTAGACACTTTTAACATTGTTTCTTCTCTTTTTTAAATGTCAACAATTCACCTAACGCCTTGAAGAATGTGCCAAAGAAATCCTCATTATTATCAACAATAACTGAGTTTTTTACATCTGCCTTTTTATCTTCAATCGGCTTGTTCGTGCTATCAACGCCATTCTTTAACACATCCTCAAAAATGCTATCAATTTCAACGTGAAACTTTTGCTTATTTATTAAAGGTACGATTAAATTGTAGGTGTTAATTTTGTTATTAATAGATTTAGCTAAATCTCTATTGCTGTCACATAGTTCCTTCCATTTGGCTTCTTCTGTGACATTCAGGGGATGAGGGCCTAGAGACATTCTGTCACGTTTTACTTCCATCTTTAATGCCTCAATATCTTCGTCTATTTCTTTGGCCATTGTTATCCATTCTGGTGTGAAACCGTTGTTGATAAGCATCTGTAATAAGACATTATATTACGAGCTGTACTCTTTCGGACTATTCTAATGCTGTTGGCCGCAGCTGGCCTTTACAGCTTCACCGGATGATAGGGGGGCGAGTGTAGATGCCACTTCAAACCCACGGAAGGACTTATGGAGCGGCTGATGGCCAATTCCCGTTTGATACGGATACGACTTTAGTTTTAGGGCACCATTAAGGGTTCGAACCGTCGTAATTGCGATTTCCGTTTGAATTGGACGGGGGATCTATCGGAGGGGGGCGGGGTATAGTAGTTATGTTCCAGCGACTTCGTATGCTTGGAATTCGGCATAGTTAGATTAGATAGATAAATGTTTAATTTGCATTATCATTGAGCACACACAACTGTTACATATGCAGAACACGCGCCGGGGAATGAACGAATCCACAATGTTACAATTTAAATATAGTAGTTGGACAGTTTTAATGTGAATACTGTTAAATTAATATTAAATATGTGAAACGCTGACAGTGTTCTTTTGGCACCTGCGGGTTGAGATTTTAGTCTCGATGGTTTAGCAGTTTAGCACACCGCCGCACTTCCAAAGGTCGCGGGTTAGATTAATGGCACGGTACAAATGTGGGTGTTCACACCGCCTCACTTTTAAGTCGCGGGTTAGATACACAAGCTCTGTTTAGCTTGGGACTAGATGGCGCTGTGTGAATTATTTTGAGTTATTATTAGATACTAGCTGTTCCCGCGAGTTCGTCCGCGTGGAAATTAATTTAATTTTTCTAAAATTAAAGAATTTTCAAACATAAAAGTAGCCTATGTTACTCCTTATTACATCAGCTATTTGCCAAAAAAAGTTCCGTCAAAATAGGTCCAACCAATTCAGAGATTAGCCGGAACAAACAGACCAACAGACAGACAAGAATTGTAAAAAATGTTATTTTGGTATGTACCGTATTTATATTCATATGCATGTAATAAAAAACGGTTATTTCAATATTACAAACAGACATTCCAATTTTACTAATATGTATAGATATAGATTTATAGTATAACTAACCTCATTCAACTTGTGTGTGGTAAAATCCACATAAGGATTCGTGTTTTGGTCTTTCAAAGGTTTCCCTTTGCCACTTAAATTCTCAAATTCCCCCTTCGACATGGACTCCTGTATTAGATCTTCTACGAGTCTATCGAATCCATACTTTGTTTTAATATCATGCTTCTGTCCATACTGGCCTTTTTTCATTAAGGTATTCTCACTAGCGACAGCCTTAGACATGCGGTGTTCCATGACGTTGCTGGCTGCTCTTTGTGCTTTTGTTTGTGCCCACTGCTTTTGCCGCTGGAACGGAGTACCATAGCCGATACCTTCGAAACTTAGGTATTGACGGTGCTGGGGCGCTGTGTGCTGAAATTTTAAAGTGTCATGTTGATTAATAGCCTTTAACTGTACACACTTTTTCCGGCGTGTAGGTTAATAAGCAGGAAATAATATGCATATAAATATAGACAAAGAGAACTAGAAACACCGCACGCACATTCTTATGTCCTTCAATCGGGCGTGCTTTACCGCCTTTTTGTAACAATTAATTAGAATTGCAAAATGGCGGACATCTGACTATGGAGCAAAAATATAATTGAGTCATTGATAATTTAAAATCTTAAACGTGATTCTGGAAAATATATTCTTTCTCTAACAATTGCGCGCGCTCTTTCCCGCGATGAATCGCGTGGGCTCCGTAACGCGTGTGAAAGAGTGTGTCGCATAAAAGTAGCTAACAAAGCGGTGTGCTACACCTTTGGACCATAGCGGTCGTCAATGAAATACAAGATGATACTAACTCTAATATCATAGACAATTTTATCAGCCTCCTCCATGTTGCCATTGTTGTGTTTGGTCAGCGTCCGGAATGCATTCTCAACGGCTACAAATTTATCCATATCCGCATCCGGGGAGCCAGAGTCTGGGTGATATTTCTTGGCCAGGTCCAGAAAAGCTTGACGGATCACATCTTGCTTTGAATTTAGCGGTATATTGAGGATATAGTAGCATTCCTGTAACAAAGATTTTATATTATCTTACTAATATTATAAACGCAAAGTTTGTGAGTATGGATGGATGTTTACTCTTTCACGCAAAAATTACTAAACGAATTTTTATCTAACTGCTCATAGTCTTCGACTGATTGCAAGATTTTCACTATTCTACATTACATTAAAATATTGCTCAATGGTATTCCAGTTAAGCGAGTAGCGTATTTTAAGTATCTAGGACATTATGTGGCTGAGGACCTGAAGGAGCAGATGGACATAGAGAGAGAATGCAGAGCATTGGCAGAGGTGTAATATATTGGCGCACAGATTCGCGCAGTATAGTAAAGAAGCTAAATTAATTTTATTTAAAGCTTACTGTCAAACTTTACACGGCGGCTCTGTGGGTCAACTACACAAGCGATATACAACGCCCTGCGTGTACAGTACAATGGTTTCAGGATGTTGATGGCTGCCGCGTTTCTGTAGTGCATCTGGCATGTTCGCTCTTGCACGAACAGATGACTTTTATGCCATGATTAGAAAAAAAACTGCATCTCTATTCATCAGAATGGGCTGTAGCTCCAACATTCTGAACATTTTGATGAAAAAAATTGATTTGTCTATAATACAACATTGTGTACAAGTGTACTTACAGAGATCTAACAATTTTTAATGACTGTAACTGTAATAGTTAAGACTAACTAGATAGTTAAGAATTTACAAACATTAGATTAGAAAAAAAACAAATGGGCCTTTGATGTGACAATAAACTTTCTTTTATTTATTATTATTATTACATTAAAATAAACATGTTTCAACCTACATGGTCATTAATCCCATCATGACTCAATGTGATTCCTTTCACAGTCCTGGCTACTCCTGTTGGCCTAGTACTCGCCACTCCTCGAACAAGACTATTGTAGAATAATCCTATTGAAATCAGGGATGTTATGGATATGAAATTTCGGATACGGATGGAGATATGATTATTTCGGATCATCCATAAATTTCGGACAAATTCGGTTAGGGATATTATTATTTTTTAAGGAATTTCAAAAGTAAAACACAAATAACTAATAAAATGGTTATATTAGGTCTCACTTAGGCTCCGCTGCTATCGGTTATTATCCGAAACTTATTTCGGATTTGGGTATGGTTACGAATATTTTTTATATTGGATATCCGATAGTTTCGATTACGGTTACGTAGCTCCGTAACATCCCTGTTGCAAATTAATGTTTAATAAGTAGGTAGGTCATTCTTACTTTTGAAGGGTAGGAGTGTCTTTCCTGCTGTTGTATGTACAAGTTCGTTTGTAAATGTATTTCTGGATATGCTGTCTAATCATGCTGAAGGCAGCTTCGAGGCACGCCATTTGTTCTGATTCTGATGTTGCACACTTCTCTGTTGTACACTGTATTTTTTACATAATCATGCAAAAAGAAGTCTAGTAAAGGTCTAGAGATCCTCCTGGGGAGATGAAGCGACTTCCTTGTTGTAGTATACTCTTGCTGGTACACTGTTGTACTGGTATATAATATGATTATCCCTCACAAGATTGATATAACTTTGTATGGGAATCACTATGAGGTTGTCATCCAGTCAGCTTGTCCTTTCATGTTGTGGTAGTGAAATTAGTCCCACAAGAATATCTTCTATTATAACAGTCCACATATCAAAGGGGTATTGGTGTCTAGATGAGCACACCACTTTACTTCTGCTGGTCGTAGTTTTGTTTCCTCACATGATACAAATCTTTGTATTAGTGATTATGATTGTTTATCTTTCTAGGTGTATTCTAGGAATATATATATATATAGGAAAAAAATTGCATTAAATAAATATTTCTATCAGTTTTCTAGCATCCTTAAAACAAGGAGTGCTTAGCTTGGGGATGAGATGGCATTGTGATTTTCCTGGGTTATTATTATTACTGATGTAGAATTGATTTCTTAGTCAAAGCTTTTGGATTGCTATGTGACCAAATATACTCGTTATACATGTTACTAACTCCCAGTCTTGTAAACAGCATTCATTTATCCAATTTTGGAGACAAAGTCAGGTAGTACTGCTATGTACCTTCAGTATCAGTGAGTAATAACTGGAGCAAACTTCTACATCAGCTCTTAGGTGTGTTGAAAATGATAAGGATGCTGTCTATCACCCTCTATTACTTGCCATGTTTGCATATGATTCTCTCCCAGTACAAAGATGACATTACATGTTCTTATCCTTGGATTTTCCTCTTTACTTGAGTGCAGTATCAGTGTACTATCATCCGACAGGACCATGCTAGTGTAGAGAGCTCCTGCATTTACACAGGAGGTCTGCCATTGGTATATTGGTAAAACACTCACAATACAGCTTACTACCAGCACATAAATAGTATTCACTATTGCTTAAAATTGTGTGATAATAAACACACCATTCTTGCTACAATATAGTCCGATTTCTATAGTTACACCTGGTACTTCAGGTGAGTAGCCCTGTTTTTGACAGTACATAAATATTATTTTTACATGAAACATACAAGTGTTTTAATTTCGACAATGAGAATAATTTCTTTCTTTCAATTAATTCTTAGCAAAACTTAATGTATAGAAACAAATACTTATTTAGAGTGTTTAGGTTTCTTAATAAATAAATAAATAAATAATATTTTAAATAAAAGCTGTGGATGGAAAAACAGCATGATGTTCTGGATGCATTGTGCAGGGATTGGTCATAGTTAGCTCAGGACAGAGAGAGAGAGAAGTAGATGAGTGCAAGAGAAGCCTTTGCCCAGAAATTACATACAAAATACCTGTCATGTATGTTATATATTAATATAAGAATATAATATAAATCTTACTTATTGTATACAATATTAATCAATTTCTCTCCCTTCTCTCTAAGGATATAACTTCATGCCATATACGTAGAGTTATTTTCTCTCCTTGATGTGAAGCCAAATCTCGAGGTCCTTGGCGTCCTTGATATATCCAGTGACATTCAGTTTTGCGGTCATTTGGAGGACAAGGCTAAAATAGCCTCAAAGAAGCTTGGTGTGCTCACTACAGTGAGACAGTATTTCACGGCGGCCCATCGCTTGCAATTATACAAGGCGCAGATCCGGCCGCATATGGAATACTGTTCTCATCTCTGGGCCGGAGCACCACAATACCAGCTACTTCCATTTGACCGCATTCAGAACTGAGCAGCAAGAATCATTGGTAATCAACGTCTATGTGACAGACTCGACCCATTGGCTTTGCGGCGAGATATTGCATCTCTGTGCATTTTCTACCGCATGTATCACAGGGAGTGTTCTGAGGAATTGTTCGGATTAATACCAACTGCTGAGTTTCGCCACCGTACCTATCCTGATCATCTGGATGAATGGCGGTCTTCCACAGTACGGTTTTCTAGAAACTTTTTGCCTCGCACAACCACATTGTGGAATCACCTTCCAGCAATGGTATTTCCGAACCGATACGATATTGAAACCTTCAAGAAAAGAGCTTATTCCTTTTTAAAAGGCCGACAACGTACTTGCAATTCCCCTGGTGTTGCGGGTGCTCATGGGCGGCGGTAATCACTTAACATCAGGTGAGCCGCATACTCGTTTGTCCCCTGTGTTATAAAAAAAGTTATATAAATTATTGCCTGCTTACCTCCAATTTCTTTTGAGCTATGGATGTGAATTTCCTGATGAAAACATTGTAATTATACTTTTTTGGTCGTATTTGGTTAAAATAAAGTACTGTATTTGAGGAGATGCCCATTTTACTTTATGTTCATAATTAAATTTAGAACAGTATCTTTATTATCGTGAAGATAAAATTAAAATTACGATAATATAAAAGTACAACACTTTTTATTACTATATTTAAAAAAAATATATTAAAAATAAGATCAGAAAACTGATTGACAAACGTTATCCGTCATTCAAGTCAAGAAGTCTGTGCTTATTTTTCTTTTTAATTCGAATAGTGTTTCACCGGAAAAATAAATGTTTAGTTACTGTTTTTCTAATAAAATCGGGATTTGGAGATCAATAAAAGTATCGGTAGCGAATTCAGTTTCCTGTAGGTCTACCACGAAGTGACTCCGAAATTTCGGATCGATATTTCGTGTGATTCGTACCATGAAAAACGTTTTCCGAAATCGTGCCCGAAAACGGAGAATATCGTTTCGATCGTCCCAAATCGTACCATGAAGTATCCGTTCGTACGTGATTATGACGTTTTGACAGCACGTTTATCGTGATTTAAAGTGCGAAGTAGACGAAACCTAAATAGTTAACTTTTTACTTTCGTAAGTATGGATTTTACGTATATAAGTGCTGTAATATATAAAAAAGTGATTAATTAATAATTCAGTTAATGTGTTACAGTGAATAATGTGATAAAAGTTAAACTAATTAGTGTTTTTAAATATTATTGTGTTCAATATAACCTACAACTTAGCATTACTTTATTTTGATTTAATTTCATTATGGCAAGATTGGCTGGAATTTTAGAAGCCCTCAATGAAGAAGAAATTGAAAGACGCAGGTTTAAAAGAAAAATGCGTACTAGTTCGAGTTTGTATCTAAATACAGACTCAGTCGGGAAGTCTTCGAGAATCTTTGTCAGGATGTGGTACGATTATTACCCCTGCCTAAAAATAGTCGAGCAATCGATCCAATAACCAAAAAAGAACTTATGTACATTTTGTAGATGTAAAAAAAATTTAGTATTTACCTATTATTTAGTATTCCCATATCTATTTTTTTTCAGATTCTCACTGCATTAAATTTTTATGCCAGTGGTAGCTACCAGGGTGCAGTCGGACAAAATTTAGACACCACTATGGCTCAGCAGTCTGTCTCAAACTGCATCAGGGATTTGTAACAGGACATTATGCCCTAAATACTAAGGAAATTTATAAGATTTCCTCAGTCCAGGGAAGACAGGAACATATTGAAGAGAAAGTAAGTTTATGTATATTAAATATGATTAAGATTTAACTTTATAGAATTTTATGCTCTTTGTCGATTTATAATACATATACTATTAATTTAGTTCAGTCAACTATTTGTAGCTGTAAATTTATAAATGATATTGTTGTTAATTTCAGAAATCAGCATAAGTTAATTGATGTTTAAATAATCAGTAGTTTATATTTTTCAGTTTTGCTACACAGTATGGTATTTTGATGTTATAGGATGTATCGACAGCACCCATGTGCTATAATTACTTACAACAGTCAATGAAGAGAGATTTTTCAATAGAAAACATTACCACTCTTTAAATGTTACAAGTTGTAAGTAAGTAATGTAAAATGCATAGTGTTATTATATTTGTCACTAAAATATCTTTATAATGTTTGTCCTATTTTTTAGATTGCTGACAGTAATGTGAATATTTATGGTGGATGATGCATTCATTTGGGAGAATAACGAGATCAAAGATCATTTGGAGAGTTTCATAGGAGAAACAACTTATTTGCTGGGTAAATAAATCGTAATTGTTAACTTTGTAGTTGTACTACATATAAAAGTGGTGAACAAACAAGAATACAATGTTTTGTCATTCCTTTTCATTATTAGGATGTCATAAAAGATGATTATAGATTTATTTCATATTTTTTATGTTAAATATTCGATTAGCTGTTAATAGTCTATAACATCAAGTGCATTTATAAAATTCCAATCACAGTTAAGTATGTTTTCTTTTCTTTCAGGAGAAGGATATGTTCTATTTATGCTGAAGGCAGCTTCGAGATAGTCATTACATCAAGATTTTAAAGAATCAAATATCTCTGTTGCCTGTACATTTATGAAATATTATATGCAAAAAGAAGTCTAGAAGTCTAAGATCCTCCTGGGGAATGACTGTCCTTGTTGTAGTATAAAAATTACTGGTACACTGTTGTACTGTTATAATATGATTATTAAACAAATATGATATAACTTTTATAGGATACTATGAATTGTCATAGATCAGCAATATAATAAGTTTATTTGAATAAATGATCCCACAAGAATTCTATTCTATTATAACAGTCCACATTACTTATTTACAAAATTAAAAACTTTTTACAATAAAATATTATTTTATAATCACATATATGTATATATATATATATAGATAAAAATATTATCAAATTGTATATCTTTCAGGTTTTTAAAATATATATATATAAATGAAAAAATTCATTAGGAAAGTAGTGCTTAGCTTCATGAGGCGCATTAAATTAATAGTAAAAATTGATTTCTTAGTACTTTGTGTTGCTAGATAAACTGTAAGATAAATATACTTATATACATGTTACTAAGTAACATTTTTAAACTCATTATTTATCCAATTTTGGAACAAAGTCATAAGAACAAATCAGTATCAATGATATATATAAACTAAGTAACTTTACATCAGCTCATTATTTAACAAATCAACTGTCTAACCCGTAATTCATGTTTGCAAATTCTCTCCCCAGTACAATGATATATTTGTTCTTATCCTATTATAGTCATTCATTTATCACAAATCAACAAGTAGAGAACACAAATCACACATTAATCATTGGTCATATTAAAAAAAAAAAAACCACAAAAATTATTCATTCATATTCAGTCGTTAAAATTATTTGTAGACACTCCATTCTTGCATACAAATAGTCCATTTAATTACACCTGAGTACTTGGCGAATAGCCCTGTTTTCTACCAGTCGATAAATATGCGATTTTTCCTCCATTTCGAACAAACGTGCGTTTGCGACAATGAGAATAATTTCTTTCTTTCATACAAAACGTTAATGTATAGAAACAAATAAAGATTTAAAAGCATGATTGGACTAAAAACAGACATGATGTCTAGGAATATACTAGTGATTGGACATATAAGCTCATTACAGAGAGAGATCTTAATATTTACAGAAATATTTTCATATAACAATAATTTATTATGATATATATTTTTTAATCAATAATAAGGTAAAAGTAAGTGTTATTTATTAGTACTGTCTTATCTTTTCTCTCTTAGTTAACATTGAAACAGCTGTCCTTGATATATAGTGACATTCAGTTTTGCGGAAAAGGCTATTTGGAGGTACCATATACTAAAATAAAAAAGTAATGCATGCTCACTACAGTCAGAGTACATCCATTATGTTATATAAGTCTAGAGAACTATTTTAGTAATGGTTCTCATCTCTGGAAATGCAGGAACATGTGCATCCGACTGAGGTTCTCCAAAGCTTCCTCTCCCATAATAAATATTCTGCACTGTATTGGGTTTAAAGGCTCAGCAGATGATGGCCCTACCCCAGTGGCTGTGGCAGACCTTCGAGCAGCAGTAGCAGCTTTTTTAGTTAGATATTTTTTGTCAGCCCATACCTAAAATTTATAAACTATCAGTAATGGAAAATTTTATTTAATAACAAAATTATTTAACATTTTAAATGCATATCACGTACTAAAATATCAAGAAAAGTGCTTACCTTCTGCCACTGCTTTACAGTTTTAGTGCATCCACCTCCAATGCATTGAGTTCGTCTGTGAAAACGAACCCATAATTTGGTTAAAATGGATCTTGTTCGCCCTTCTGCATTTCTACAGTGGCCACGAGTAACTCCTGGTGCTCTGCTAGGAATGTTAAAATGTATGCATTGTTCCACAGTGGGATTACTCATCTAAATATATAAATACATTTGTTAGCGTTTGTCATAAATAGAAACTAATAAATAAAATCAAAGTTATTAGATGTTCATTTTCATTGATGTTTAACGAACAAATTTAGCAATAAAAAATCATTTAAAAACACTTGTGATGATAAAACTTAAGTTTATATATAAAAAAATAAAAACAAAAATTCAAATGTAAATAGAGGTTTGACGTTTTCTTATGACATAAAATACTACTAATTTTAGTAGTTTTTTATTTAAATACATTTAAATATAAACGACTGTACATTTTATTTTATCCGGAGTATACCACTTTATTTTTTTCCTAATTTAAGAGTGTATAATAAAAGACTTCTCATCTTTCATTCGTTCACGATCATAGTGATATGGCACAACCGTCCAATAAATGGATTCCGAAGAAACCAGATAATGACTGTAACTTACTAGTGGAAATTAAAAGCGAGTATTTCGGTGAATTTCGTTTTGTTACGCGATAATCGCAGTAACTTTCGTGGTAGACCAATACAGGGATCTCATTTATCCATAAGATATGTATGTGTTTAACAAATAGCCACAAATGCCTCTCGAACTCATTAAAAATATCTAGTACTCCTGAAATTATACCAACTGTCTTTTAGCTTTAGATGTTTGTAAAATAAACCGATTTTCAAAATTGTCTACTTTTAAGCAACCCATACATTTCACTAATTTAACAACACAGAGCATTTAGAGAAATTACTCAGAGACTCAGTCTCAAATTGACTGACAGTGTGACAGTGCGGCAGAGCAAGACAGAGATAGTATAAAATGAAATTATTATAATATTAATTCTGAAAGTCCTTAGTTTTAATATATTTTAATGTTTTAACATATTGTTACTTTAGAAGTGTATTTAATATTATGACGATAATATATTTCGCGTTGTAATTAGTGACGTTAGTTCTTAAACAATGGCGTTAACTGCGGAGGAGGTAGCTCAGCGTTATCCTTTACACTGGATGGTGTGGAACAACCAGCATGAAGAACTGAGGAGTGCTCTCGAGACTAAAAATGTATTTACTTTCTTCTGTACATTATAATATATACAAGATACAACCAACTAATAAATATATGGTGCATTTAGCGACCAGACTGAATTGACCTTTAAAGGAATGTATTTGAAAGTGTTGGTCTAGCAGTTTTACACACAACATCATTTTAGTGCTGATGATTACCGCTAAATTCTAGGACAATATATTATATAGGGTTTTTGTTTCCAAACATGTCAACCCCATTAGATACTAATATTACTACAAATAATTAAAAAATTACTTAAATAAATTTCAAAATGTTTTTGTAGTATTGTTCAAGGCTCTTAATAAAGCCATACAAACAATGTAATGTATGTTTCACATGAAAATAATCCCATTATCACAATACAAGAAGCCATACTAAGCCTTAAGTATTTAAGTAAATTGTAAAAGAAAAAAAATATTGGAGTAAGTGGTAAAACTTAATGGTAAGGGTATGACATCAGCTTATTAGGGTAAAAACTCCAATTTTATTTTCTCTTACAATTTACTTAACCCTTCAAATGTTTTGACACATGTCTGTGCACTACTCTTAAACCATATTGCCGTCTTGTCACAGATCTGTGCCCACAAAACTGTGACTTCTTTTTTACCAATTTTATCTTTATTAAAATCTTTTTTTTAAGTATACATTAGAATATTGTTATCTATTACAAAAACTCAAGCACTATCTTTGCCTGCTAACTATCACCTCTATCACAGGTTAGGTTGGCTGGAAGAGATCTCTTGCAGAGATAAGCCCGCCCTTGCTCACATCTTTGTATAATTGTCTTTGTCTATTAATAAGTGCATTAAAGTATATATATATAAAAACAAAATAGGATTGAAACGCGTTTGAAAACATACAGCTGGTACATACCACCTATTCACTTTCAGTCGCTACGACAGATGACGGACATTGAAAAGGTTAAATACTCTTACATTTTCTTGAATTATACAATAGTAAGTTGGTAATATTTGTTATTTCTAGTTCACCACTCAGGACTTGGAATTGAAAGATCCTCGCGGCCGAACACCATTGCTCCTGGCGGTTACCCTCGGATACATTGATGCAGCAAATGCTCTTCTCGATGCTGGTGCTGATGTCAACTGTGAGAAAGATGGATGGACTGGTAAGGATCTAATAATCAACATATAAAAGAAGCACACAGTAATATAACTGATAATATCATTTGTACCTACTATATCTACTTGAAAAGGGTTAATATACACTGCAAACATTTCTGAATATATGTACCTATGTGTATTATATCTTACTAATATTATAAACACAAAAGTTTGTGAGTATGGATGGATGTTTGTTACTCTTTCACACAAAAACTACTGAAAGGATTTTGATGAAACTTTACAGTAATATAGCTTACACATCAGATTAATATAGTGTATAATTTAAAATGAAATTATGATAATTTATATACATATTATAGTATAATTTACTTGTTCTGTCAAATGCAGCGGTCCAAGAGGCGACAGCGAGTGGTGACCCCGAGTTACTGGCGCTGGTCCTATCTCGGCGCGACTACCAACGCGTACTGGTCCACTCCATCAGCATCCCCGACCTGCTGGACAAGCTCCGACTAGCGCCTGACTTCTATGTAGAAATGAAGTGGGAGTTCACGAGCTGGGGTAAGTTATAAGCAACAACAGAAAATCAAACCTGAAATAAACCTTGAGTAATTAATTGATGAAATTTGGGAAGCTGCAATATAATTTTCCTGGATCAAGCAAAGAAAAGATAAAATAGACTAAATAAATATAAGGAAACCTTAAAATACCTTTTTTGAAAAATCCCATAATGTAATAATCTGTCTCATAAATGTATATAAATAAGTAAAATTCAAGAAAACAAATGTTTGATTGTTATTTTAAATTAACAGCTTATCACTAAATGCATATTAAAGTATATACGTGCTTACATAAAGAATGAATTTAATATTTTTTTGTCTATCTATCTGTTTGCTCTTGGTGAATATTGTGTTTGAATATGAAATATGAAAATCTGAAAGTGCTGAAATATTTTATGCCAGTTTTTTTTTAAAGAATGATAATGGAATGGTGCACCCGCCTGCGCTAACGGTTTACGCTGGTGGGGCACCAGTGGAGGATGATTAGATAAGCATCAGTAGCGTGACCACAGAGACAATTTATATTTATATTTTATTACTGTTTCATATCTATATTACTCTATAAGCTATGTATGACATGGACTATTAGTAGCCTGAATAAGTAAATAAATAAATAAAATATGAACAACTATTATAAAATGGGTATTACGACTGTTATGACTTCACATAATATAGTAATATTGCCTTATTAGATCAGCGCGACGGTTGACTGGTAGAATGTCATCAGGCATTAAGTTTGTTTTATGTGACCACAGAGACAATTTATATTTATATTTTATTACTGGAAATTATCATATTACTCTATAAGCTATGCCTACGTCATAGACCTTTATGCATGAATAAGTAAATAAATAAATGAAAATGAACAACTATTATAAAATTTTACGACTATTTGACTTTGGGGGGTAGAATTAATCAATATTGCCTTATTAGATCGGATACGCGACGTGACTAAGATCTGTCATGCATAATTTCATTTATGTTCCAGTGGTTTCGCCCGCGGCATCGCGTTAATTTATGTCAGTCACATTTGAGTTATATATATTTAGATTATAATTCATATGTATGTTACTCTATAAGGTATTTATCATATGGGTCTAGTTGCCTGAAATGATCGTCCGCCGTGTATACAATTTTGTGTGTAAAAGAATAAATAGAATAGAATAGAAAAGAAAATCATTTATTCAAATAAACTTAATTTAAGCACTTTTGAATAGTCAACATTTTTTTTAAATCTACCGCTTATTCGGAAAGCTGTCTCATCACAAGAAGAATAAGCAAGAAACTTGTGTGTTGCTCTTTTAAACAATCCTTGTAAGTTCACATTTTACAAGTCGAAACGTGTGAATAGAAACTACCAACCAGCACTAATTTATTTAGGCTCAAATATAAAAAGACAATAAGATTAAATCAGTCGTAGTGATAAGAGCAGACCAGTCCCTACAAGCAGCACTCGTTTACGAGTATGACGGATGAGCCAGCCATCACTGCGCTCGACCATATTTTAGGGAGCCCAATGACCCGGCCCACCACGCCGCCACATGTCTGGACATTTTAGTGAGCATGACTACTCATTCCACTCGACCACGTCACAGCTACAAAAATTACTATATGGTAGTTACAGTATTCGCACTTTACATGAGGATGCATGCGGCAATTAATACAAAAGCCGCTACGCTATCATATATCAAGAAAGCAGTATGAAAAATAAATTATAACGTTGTCCGCAAATAAACTTATACTTGCTATATATTGATATCATCTATAAATTCATCTATCCTATAATAGGCTTTTTTACATAACATTTGTTTAATATAAAGTTTGAATAAATAAATATGTATGTATTTCTGCAGTCCCCCTAGTATCCCGTATGTGCCCCTTTGATACATACAAGGTGTACAAGCGAGGGGGGAATGTTCGTGTGGACACAACACTCGTCGGCTTCGAGAACAATCGCTGGCAGCGCGGTGACCGCACCTTCATATTCAGAGGACAAGGTCAGTGGAACTTCGTTTTGTATCCAGTGGTCTAGCGGTTTAGCATACTGCTTTACGATACGATAGTCCGCGGACATTTCAGTCCAATGTCCATTACAGTTGGACTGCAAGTCATACAGGACTAAACCACTATCTGTATCAAAGGCTGTCTAGCATTATGAATCGAAATCGACAGATTTCCTACGCACGGTACAAGCATTTGTATTCATGAGTATGATTGTTTGTATTTATCTGGACATTTCAGTCCAATGTCCATTACAGCTGGACTGCAAGTCATATAGGACTAAACCACTATCTGTATCAAAGGCTGTCTAGCATTATGAATTGAAATCGACAGATTTTCTACGCACGGTACAAACATTTGTATTCATGAGTATGATTTTTTTGTATCGGTCTGGTTTTGTATGTATTTACAAAAAAATCTAAGTATTTATATCAGTTGTCTAGTACCCATAACACAAGCTCTGCTTACCGTGGGACTATGTGGCGCCGTGTTAATTGTTCAGGCTTATTTATTTATTATTATGCACATATAAAATGTTTGTTTTACTTTTGGTGCCTTGCCAACAACATAAACCATTACAGTATTCAGTTAAAACATATTCACCCCTTAAGACAGTCGTGTCAAATATACGGCCCGCGCGCCACATCCGACCCCCGGGCTGTAACAATAAGGCGATCGCACATTTATCGCATATATATTTATCAACCGTATATTATTTACTACTAGCTGTACCGGCAAACGTTGTTATGCCATATAAATTGCTATAAAAAAATAGGGGTTGATGATAGAAGGGTGAAAATTTAGGATTGTATGTATTTTTGTATGTTGTATCATAAAAAAATAGAAACTAAAAATTTTGTCTAAACAATAAAAAATAAAAATTTAGGGGTGGACTACCCCTAACATTTGGGGATGAAAAATAGATGTTGGCCGATTTTCAGACCTACTCAATACGCTCACAAAATTTCATGAGAATCGGTCAAGCCGTTTCGGAGGAGTATGGGAACGAAAACCGTGACACGAGAATTTTATATATAATTGAATAAATAAAATTCTATAATAATTCAGTACATTTTCCGCCTACATATTCTAAATTTAATATATGGCCGTTTGCAAAATTAGGATTGATAACTCTGCCTTAAGGGATAGTTAATGTGTCAATTTGTCTTGTTGTAATAGAAAATTTAAAGAACTAGAATATAAATAGTCTATTGACGACAGGCGACACGTATAAGCGGCGTCGCGACGCACCTATATTATTTGTGCAGATTAGGTAGACAATAAGTTGTGTGTTGAAATTGGACAATAACTTAGAAATAATATTAGTTTTTAAAAGTGCTGTTTTAGAATAAGACATCGATTCACTGTTTAAAACTACGATAACGGTTGAACATCTGTTTGGGTACCAGCGTTCATTTGGCATTCATTGTTTATAAACACAATGAATATTTGTTGGCCTTTTGTGATAAGATAACACCGTTACTATTTTCTAGCCATCGGGTTTATGATGACCGTAGGGTTTCTTATTGTAAACATATTCTTATTGTAGACTAACGGACGGAACACGGTAATTCATGTCTTTATGAATATTGTCCAATCCGTGTTTACAGTGCATTGTAATTAGACAAGGAAATTGGTTATTGCACCAATGTTAAATGTTGAAGAGTAATCGTCTATCATGGTATGGACATGTAATGCGTAGGAACGAGGATAATATTTTAAGAAAGATGTTACAAATGAATGTGGATGGTTATAAGGGCAGAGGAAGGCCAAAAAAGAGATGGATGGACTGTGTGAAAGATGATATGGTAAGAAAGGAAGTAAATAACGCGATGACTGCGAACAGGGATGAATGGAAACGAAAAACATATTACGCCGACCCCAAATAAATGGGATAAGGATGAAGCAGATGATGATGATGATGATGTTAAATATTCTTGGGTAGAGTTGTAAAATGCAATGCATTCTTTATGAGTAACTGTTAGTTTGTGAGAATAAAGAAGTAAGGGAATTTCGGCAATGTGCAAAGATATTGTTATGAAGTTGTATAACGTTGTGCATTGTCTGATAGAAATAAGGTTTGGTTTATTGCCAGTAAGAATTTTGTAAGGACTGTAGTCCCCACTACAGTCTATACCTCCCATATATAAGGCGAGGAATTTTTGTATCGAGTTAGTCGTAATATAGTTATAATGCAGTCATAATACTGTTATAATAGAGGGACTCAGACAGTCATAGTCGGATTGTTATATGCCGACGGCTGTCATAATCGAACACAGTACGGACGGCAGTTATAGTCCGTTATTATTGTAAAGTCAGTCGCGGTAGTTTCCTATAGACGCCATACAGTCTGAGCTACAGCGGCTGAAACTTGAATGTAACATCGAATACGGTTATAACTCAATTGTGAAACTTCTGTGGAGAGAATAAACAGGCTTCAAGAGACAACCGTTTCTTTTAAACCCCACCATCGATACAGTCCACTGTTCTCCCTGAGAAGCTGTCGCCAACATAGTCTTTACACAAGTAAACTTAACATAAGCACTTTTGAGTACCTAATCACATTTTTTTATTCTACCACTCATTCGGAACGAAGAATCATCACGTGATGGAACACGAAACTAGCATGTTGCTCTTTTAAATAAAACTTGTTCTAAGTCCTAAGTAATTACACAACTGGTCCATGTTGTCCCTAGGCCGGACTGCAAGTCTAATAGAGCTGGACCACGAGAAAGGTACGTCGTGGACTGAGCATATGGAGCCGATTTGCCGGGCGAGCGAGTGGCCACCTCCGACAGTGGATATTATAGAACAGCGGCTGAACACGCCAATAGCCATCAACTATCTGGACACCGACAAGATTAGCTTCGAGAGGTATGCTTTGTGGGACGTTAGAATGTTTGATAGGTTGATAATAGCTCTGTGATAAGAAGGCATCACATCGACCCACACCAGGCCGTCAACAAAGGCATCTCATTTTTCATCTCAAAAAAAAAAAGGAAACAAAATGTTGACAGTCTCGATTTATTTGTCGATGGTAGCCGGTTCGGTTACTTGCTTATATTGATCTTTGTGTTTCTTATGTATTTTATGTATTTATAAAATATGTGTATAAGTATTTATATAAATTGTTTAGTGTCCATAATAAAAGCTCTCTAAAACCTTGGGACTGGATAGCGCTGTGTAAAAAAGTGGTGAGCTAAAGTGCTAAACTACCGAAGCCGTTAAATTGGTTACATGGATACTTTTGCTTCGTCTATTTCAGTTATAATGTAGCTCGTTTTATTAGCAGTGTTACATTTTATAATTTCATAATCATCAGTTATTTCCTTTATCATGATTTTCGATTAGTTTTGCATAGTTAAAACTGTTAATTGCACATCTTAAATACGCCGAAGAGATTCCAAATAAATATAATTATATGCTGTACTCGTCAGAAATAAGAGCGGAATCTGGGGCTGGCGGCAGGACAAGACGGAGAACGTGAACGGATTCGAGTGCAAGGTGTTCAGCGCCAACAACGTGGAGCTGGTGTCCAAGACGCGCAGTGAGCACGTGCCGCGCGCCGCGGGGACAGGCGGGCCCCACCACGACCCCGGGGACGCCGCGCTCGCGGGGACCGAGCGGGGCCCGGCCGCCGCGGGGACCGAGCGGGGCCCGGCCGCCGCAGGGCCCGCCTCCACCGCGCCCCTGGCAGAACTGCTGGCGATGGCCGAGTCGCCCTCGTTCTCGGAGACCACGCCCCTCACCGCCACGCCAGACGAGGTTTGTGTCACCTGCGTCGTCCAAGTTTCTGAATATCTGTTTTAGGAGTCAATTCCCTGGCGTAACTTAGCCAGCGTCATTTTTCTGGTGTTACAAGGTTACATTATGGCAAAAAAGCGACCTCCAATAATGTGACACGGGAAAATTCACTCTATGTCATCTAGTTTCAAGCTAAGCTGAGCTTACGTTGTGGGTACTAGACAACTGTTAGACATATTTAAATACATTCTTCTGTAAATAGTTCTGTAAATCAGCCAGACCGATAGTAGCAAGCATAGTGCCGAATACAAATATTTGCACTTAAATGGACATTGGATGGATTAGATTAAATGGACACAGAAATAGTAAAATAGTTTTAATTTCTATTTGATTTTGCTACCTTTTCTATTAGCTTATCATATTCTATAAATTTTTGTCTGCTTATATTATTTTCTATTATTTTCTGATAATTGTCTTCTACTAATTGTATGCTAATTTAAGTTTCAAATTATGTAGAGTATGTGTTAAATAATAAAACAGCAGATAATGTGTTGGTGTTCCTCAGGATCCCGAAGAGGACAGCAAGTCCAAGTCGCCCCCGGTGACGTGGCAGGAGTACTTCAGCGGTGCGGGCCCGCCGCCCGGGGCCCCCGCGCGGGACGTGGGCCGGCCGCGGGTGGAGACCACCAAGGTGCAGAAGTTCCGCGCCACGCTCTGGCTCTGCGAGGACTACCCGCTTGAGGTTAGATCATACTCATCATACATTTAGGGTCTGCAACGCACATCTGACACCCCTGGTGTTTCAGGCGTGCATAGGCTACGGTAACCGTTTACTATCAGAAGGACCGTATGCCTGTTTCCCACCATCGTAGTATAAAAAAAATATTTTCACTACATAAAATTCCCCTCCGGCCGATCGCTTGTCCAATTCAAAGGAGATTTACGACGACCTGAGCCGTAGTTCAAAATCTAGCGGTGCCCTCAGATTAACAGTCGTATCCGTCAGGCGTTAGTTGACTTTCAGCCGCGTCATAAATCCTTCTGCGGGTTTGGAGTGCCACTGCACTCGCCCTCTATTTTCCGGTGAAACTGTAAAGGCCAGTCGACAGCATTAGAGTAGTCCGAAAGAAAAAAACGTGAAACAGTATGCGGCGTGTGATTTTTCAAAATTCTCAAAATTAACTTTTAACGGTAATTTTTTAACACTTTAGCCTATTTAATAAACCCTAAAATCCTAAGGGTGCTAATAAACCGAAACGCTATTTGGATGTATACAGCAATTTATTTATAGTTTTTAGTTCCGATACTTAGTCATCTTATATATAAAATTCTCGTATCACAATGTTAGTTACCATACTCCTCTAAAACGGCTTGACCGACTATTATGAAATTTGATATGCATATCAGTAGGACTTAATTTATATTGCAAAACAACGTTTGGAGGATCAGCTAGTATTAGTAACTGTGTAAAATTCTACAATTAATGAATACATTAAAATTACCTTACGTTTTTTACACTATAATATATTGACTATATCTAAAAAGGTATTCTTGAGAAAATTTAATCGCAATTCTTCCAGCTATTTATAAATAATCACTTCTCGCCTCGTCACCATTTTACGATATTATTATATCGTGCCTCTAGTAAAATACTATATTAAGATAATTTACATTTTTGAAATGCACTCTAAAGGTTTGTCTTAAAGTTTCATTTCAAGAATTTTTAATAGTTGTATTTATGTAAAAATTTAAAATAATTCGACAGTTGCAAGAGCAAATAGTGCCAATCCTGGATTTGATGTCGTCGATATCGTCCCCACACTTCGCCAAGCTAAGGGACTTCATACAAATGCAATTGCCCGCCGGGTTTCCTGTCAAAATTGGTAAGTGCTACGATTATGCGGCGCCTGACGAACGACGCTGGACTTAGAAATAATCTTTATTCAAATAAACTTAATATAAGCACTTTTGAATAGTCACGTATTATGTATGTATAAAAATATGTTTCTACATATTTATACTAGTTTTTACACACACATCACTGGCTGCTAGATGGCACTAGAGTGGCAAAAAGTTGATATGTTATTTTTTTGTTTTTTATATATTTTTTTTTATATAAAATGTAATATTAGAATGAATATAGGATATTCATTCTAATACCTCCAGGAATATGTGTACAAAATTTCTTGATCGGTTCAGTAGTTTTTGGGTGAAAGCGTAACAAACTTTCACATTTATAATTTTACTAGCTACTCGCCCCTACTTCGCCCTAGAAGGTTTATATATATAATACATGTACACCCACATGTATTATATATATAAACCTTCTTCTAGAATCACTAGTAGTAGTATTAACTCAAGTTCTGCTTAACTTGACACTTTTTTTATGGGTGATAATGGTATGGTGCACCCGCCTACGCTAAAGGTTTACGCTGTCGGGGCACCAGTGGAACATGATAAGATGAGTATGAGGTCAGGTCAGTTAGTTCATGGTGGTAAATTCACATCACCATTGACATGGTACCATTGCTAGCAATGGACTTATTAATATATGTTCCTAACAATCCCTTTCACCTTGCTATATCTTTCTGTAAAAACTTATATCTATCCACAATAGGACGGGTAATATTGCTGTTTTTTTATTATTATTTTCGTATCATTGGCAAACAGAGATCCCCCTGTTCCACGTGCTGAACGCTCGGATAACGTTCGGGAACATCTTCGGCACGAGCAGCCCCGTGCGGCACGTGGACTGCATCCAGGAGGGGGAGCGGCCCGCCTGCGTCCTCGACGACGCATGCTTCGACATCGGGCGCGGGTACACCGACGCGGCCACCACCACCACCCACGGCGACGACGACGGCCTGCTGCACTACGCCATCCGGCAGAGCATGCTGGACCCCGCCGCGCACCAGCCCGACGACCAGGTGACACCACCACCACCACCACCACCACCACCACCACCACCACCACCCACGGCGACGACGACGGCCTGCTGCACTACGCCATCCGGCAGAGCATGCTGGACCCCGCCGCGCACCAGCCCGACGACCAGGTGACACCACCACCACCACCACCACCACCACCACCACCACCACCACCACCACCACCACCACCACCACCACCACCACCACCACCACCACCACCACCACCACCCACGGCGACGACGACGGCCTGCTGCACTACGCCATCCGGCAGAGCATGCTGGACCCCGCCGCGCACCAGCCCGACGACCAGGTGACACCACCACCACCACCACCACCACCACCACCACCACCCACGGCGACGACGACGGCCTGCTGCACTACGCCATCCGGCAGAGCATGCTGGACCCCGCCGCGCACCAGCCCGACGACCAGGTGACACCACCACCACCACCACCACCACCACCACCACCACCCACGGCGACGACGACGGCCTGCTGCACTACGCCATCCGGCAGAGCATGCTGGACCCCGCCGCGCACCAGCCCGACGACCAGGTGACACCACCACCACCACCACCACCAGCACCACCACCACCAAAACCATTTTGGTTTCTAAAATTTTGACATTGTAAACATAGCATCTGTATTTCTCGCAATAATTCTATTGTACTTCGCATCTTAATAAATGTATCATGTTTGGTGTACCAGGTGGACGTGTGGGAGGCGCTGCGGGGCGAGCGGCCGCGGAATCCCTCTCCCCCGCACGAGCTGCCCTCCCCGCCCTCACCCTCCGGGCACGGCCTGCTCACCCACGAGGAGTGCCAGCTGCAGAGGTTAGTTCTATGTACAACCTTTCTTTCTTAGGGAATTGTTCATGATATTACTTGTATGTATCTGGTTTTATGTAAGAAACATGGTAAAGAATTTGATGGCCTCATCTCTCATGCCAAACCCATTCCAGAGGACTCAGATGTCATGCCTCTTATCCAATAATTTCACTGCTTAATCTGCAGATTATCTCTGTATGATGTAATTGCGGCGTATACCGTATAACTACTGTATATTTAGTTGAGTAACGGGTTGGGATGTGTGCAGGGCGATCGAGGCGTCACTGCGGTCCGTGTCGCTGCTGCCGGCGGCGGAGGGCGAGCCGGCCGCGGAGCGCGAGCAGGACGTCGACGACGAGCTGCAGGCCGCGCTCGCAGCCTCCGTGCAGGAACACTCCGCGCGGCAGCACCAGCTGCTGGCGGAGCAGCGCGCGCTCGACGAGGCGCTGCGGCTCTCGCTGCTCGACAACTGACGGTCAGTGGCTGCACGACTGACGGTCAGTGGCTGCACGAGGCGCTGCTCGACAACTGACGGTCAGTGGCTGCACGACTGACGGTCAGTGGCTGCACGAGGCGCTGCTCGACAACTGACGGTCAGTGGCTGCACGACTGACGGTCAGTGGCTGCACGAGGCGCTGCTCGACAACTGACGGTCAGTGGCTGCACGACTGACGGTCAGTGGCTGCACGAGGCGCTGCTCGACAACTGACGGTCAGTGGCTGCACGAGGCGCTGCTCGTGACCACGGCACGTCGAGAGTTAAATTTATTTACCATAAAATTATTCGTGTTAATACCAATTTCCTTATATTAATATTGTCCCTAATAATGAATAATACATGAATAAAGATATTTGGATATAATTTGAATTATTTTAATTTCAGATCTCAATAGAAAATATAAAGCGTCCACCAAATGAAGACTTACGCCTAAACGTATAAAGTTAGTGAGATATTTATTGCAATAACAAGAAAGTTTATAATTGATTGACAGCATACAGACAAGCAGGGCGATATTTGACAGGGTTCATTTTAAAGGTACAACAAAAACCCTTTAAAGGTATAAGGCCAGTAATAGTAATCACGAAATCTTCCATTTTATCACGGAAACAAACTGGAAAGTGTTTATCAAATATATTACATTATTATTGTACTTCATACAAATAGAGTAACTTGATTAATTTAGTATAATAAGAGAAAGAAAACTGCAGCCGTGACGATGTAACTCACCCTTAAGTAGACTTCCGGACGGAGAAAGACGAAAAAATAGTAAGTCCATTAAATTCCTGTACGTAGCTATAAAAATATTACTGTAAAATGAACATAAGTTTCTGAATAATATGTTTCAAAATGTATTCTCTGATTTCCACTAAGTTTTTACAAAAGTGTCATTCATACTTTTGGCTTTGTCCAATGCATTGTGAATTTAATACGAGTATTTTTGTATTGTTATGATTTTATTATACCAATAATTTTAAAATAATTCTAATGTGACACAGTGTTTTTGCCATCATCGTGGTATACAGAAACATACAGAAAGAAAGCTGTGCAGCTAGTTCTAATTCTGGAAAGTTCAATAATCTAAATAAAAAATCATAAAACATTATAATTGCGATCAATACAGCCAGTATCAGCATTCTAATAATGGTCATAATATTTTTCAGATTAAAAGTTAACTAATTCAGATATTCAGATTCAGCTACTGCTCAAGCTTTCACTCTGTACATAGTCGTTCTGACATATTATTACAATAGTGTAATTTTATTTCCTAATATTTTTTTCTTAATATTAGCGAGTGGCACTATACATTGATTGGCTATCAATAGCTGCCTTTGCACGTGTGCTCTTTCACGGTTTCACGCAAAAAATAATGTACAAACATCTATTTACATTTTTAATAAATAATTACCATTGTAAAATGGCGTCTAACTATAAAGCAAAAACATAATTATAGAGTTATTGGTCATTTATAAATATAAAACGTGCCTGGAAGATAATCTAAAAAAAAAATAGTTTTAAAAGAAAGTGTAATGACATTAAACATACGCGCGAAAGAATGAATAAAAAATAGGTACATGAGGCATTTTGACCCCTCGCATTCGTGAAAAATGCGCCCAAAAGCAGCTAATGGTAATATATATACAATAGTTGCCTAAGTTTTAATTTACGAATCTGCTTTGAAATATTCTATTATTTTTTAAAACAAGTCATGAAAAGTCTTGTATGTTTTTTAGCCATGGGACTGTTTAATTTGTTTTAAGTTGTTTAGTATATTTAAAATGTGACGTAGGGACTCTAGTGGTCTATGACGATTGTCTATGTTTAACATAGGTACTAAGAAGGTATCTCGGTCTACCCACGTACACCACAACTGCATAACGGATTCACTGAGGCGATATTCCTAGTCTATACTAACATTATTAATAGGAAAATATAACATTTTGTATGTTCTGAAAAACATTTTATCTGTAGAAACCTGAATTATTAAATATGGATGTATATCATTTTAAAAAAGTCCCAACAATAATTGGACTCGTGTAAACCGGGGCGGGTTACTAGTTTTTAATAAGTCCGTCCAGATGTTTTCATTAATAGATGTTACTTTATTGATAAACTTAAAATGTTTGCCAATGTATGTGTTCCTTATAATGCCAATCGTTGGGTAGTTCACTTCGAAAACACCCGAAACACCAAACTTATGACAATCAACTTATTCACTCTGGCTGCGTACCCGTTCAAAGGACCGTCCCCTTCAAAATACCACACTTTGTCAGATTCCCCTACTATCTTTGACTAAGTGTGGTATTTGTATATATCAGACTTATACCCGTCAGGCAGGAGTTAACCTATATATCAGACTTATACCCGTCAGGCAGGAGTTAACCTATATATCAGACTTTGTTAAAGTATTATAATCCATAAAATAGTATTGTTTGCATGCAGCGCAAACAGATGGCGCTGTAACAAAATTGAAACTCGCTAACGTTTCGTTTTGTAGAAAGTCCATATGTATTTTACTTTATACCATTTTTTGTACCTGTATTTGAAACCGACCAATAAACCTTATATACACGAGTGTAGTGTTTTGGTTTATAGTACCCTTATATATCAGACTTATACCCGTCAGGCAGGAGTTAACCTATATATCAGACTTATACCCGTCAGGCAGGAGTTAGCCTTCAGCCGCTCCATAAGTCCTTCGAGTTTGGAGTGCCATCTGCACTCCCCCCCATCATTCGGTGAAGTCGCAAAGGCCAGCTGCGGCCAACAGCATTAGAAGAGCTCGAAATGAAGCGTGTAATTTTTAAGAACTTCCGCCCTGTACCACTGTGAAGGTTCTATGGAAGGATTTTAGTTCTTCGTCACGTAGTCGTGCTTCATATTCTATTAGTAATAAGATATAAGACGCAAACTATAATTTAAATTAAATTTCTGATTATAAAATATGGTTTAAAACCATTTTTATGAAATACTACTATCTCTACTGACCACCTATTTTATTAATTTAAAAGAAAATGACAAAATATTCACGAGAGTTATCAAATCGCTCGATATATATCGATATATAAATTTCGTGTCACGTTGTTTGTCTGCAATGAAATCCTAAACTAATGAACCGATTTTGATGATTTTTTATGTATCCTCGGTAGTAGGTCTAAGGATAAGTTGTTTTCTATTTTTATACCCGTAAGTAATAAGGGTGGGCTACCCTAAAAAGATTTTCTTAATTTTTGTGATATTTTTTTTATATGATTTAGCATTAAAAAATACATATAACCCTAAATTTTCACTCTTGTGCCATCAACTTTTTAATTACGATATAAATTTATATAAAAAAATAAACGTTTGGCGAACTAAATATATATTATATATATTGAGCGAAATGTACCCACATTGATATACACACGTTAATTGTTTTTCATCATTACGTCAATATATGATAAGTTGTTCTGGATTACTAATCCAGGATCACAGTGCCATCTAGTCCCAAACTGAGCAGAGCTTTTACCTTTGCTTTTGTAACGTACATCACGAGCTTATTAATACGAAAGAGAATACAAACCATTAAAATTATAAATTTAATATTTATTTATAAGTCAATAAATGAACTGTGTAAGAATTGTTATATATCAGGGGTGGCCAACTTGATTATACCCAAGATCTCCTGTTTACTATTGAAACCGTGTGCGATGTACCAATTACATATTTATTGAAATCTTAAATGAAACAACATAGTTCAGTACACAATCATGTAGTATTTTTTTATTTTATTAAGAGAGAAAACTAATCAATGTGAAAATTATTCTTAGTAACTAGGTACTTACTTAGTCTGTGCCTCTGAGCATCTTCCACTAGTCTAGTATAATCAGGTTTGTAGTTGGAAATTGCCAACCTTTTTTACGATTACTTTGCCAAGTCTGGTAACAGGCGTAATCGGCCGGTCGCCCCTGTTATATATATATAACCATATGTAATTATAATTGTATGGGATATGTTGCTTAACTAATTATACGGTACTATAATTTATATACTCGTCCTTTTCATTCTTTTACTGTAAGAGAAGGTTAACAAGAGATAAGAATGGTTTTGTCAACTAGACCAATATATCGAAAATGCGTATGTTAGTATTTAGAATGTGTATATTGAAATGCTTTCTGTCTAACGCCTCTTCCATATTGAGGTGTAAATATATGGAGCAGTTGTTCCTCGGCTCTGAACATAATTTATTGGGAAATTTCATACAACAGGTAGGTAATGACTTAAACTCAAAATATGAATACTGTAATACTTCAATCTAACCGTATAACTCAATTTCCTATTCAAGTCTGTCTGTATAAGTTATTTCGTGGGTCTATAAACAAGAGAGATATATTATTGTAATTTTTTAAAGATATTGTGACCCTATAACGCTTTTGGATTTGTATTTTATTTAAATAATGTATGATCTTTATTTATAAAATTAATTAACTAATAGAATGTTTAATTTATGTAAAAAACTTTTAAGTTTGACGCAGTCATTATTTCTAAGTATGGGAGTATCTGTTTGTAATATTGTAATAACCGTTTTTTACTACATGCATATGAATATAATATATACACTAAAATAACATTTTTTACAATTTTTATCTGTCTGTCTGTCTGTTTGTTTGTTCCGGCTGATGTAATAAGAAGTAACTTGGGCTACTTTTATTTTAGACAAATAAAGTTAAAATTCACGTGGACGAAGTCACGGGTACAGCTAGTAATAATAATAAACTCTTTATTGTGTACAAAGGAAACAATAAAAAAAAGAGTAAATAGAAAAGTAATAACAAAAAGCAGTCTTATGTCTTAACTTAAGCCATCTGCCATGGCATATTGGTTTATGGAATTAGTTTTTTTAATGGATGATTATGATATGGTACACTCGCCTGCGCTAACGGTTTACGCTGGCGGGGCACCAGTGGTAGATGATAAGATGAGCATAAGGTCAGGGCAGTTAGCTCACCTTGGCAAATGGCAATTTACACGTTGGTTTCCAGGGAGAACCGTGTGGAGTTCAACCTGACATGGTACATTGCTAGCAACAGGATTATTAGTCCACATTACTAACAATCCCCTTCCTTCTTCCTTTCTTCTCTGGAGTGAGTTAGATCTCTATACTGAGTAAGTTCTATTTCTATTTATTACCTTCAACCTTATAACTGATTTGAAGCGAAGTCACAGCAGCTATTTGTACAGTTGAATGGCTCTGTGCAATATTTTTGTAATTAACATGCGTATACAAATAGTTTTAATGATTTCTGTCCTATTAGTATTGTTTATATTAATGATATAATAATGTTATCATATGATGTAAAATATATGAAAATAAATATTATATATAATTTATGAATGTATATTCGGAGTGCATGTTAAATCTGGAATGGCAAATAGCAACGTGATTTCCGTGGTGCTGCTCATGTGCAT